TCAGGCGCTACTGATTCTTGTGGTTCTGGTTGTTCTCCTGAAGGTTCAGGTGTTGGAGGCACACTGCTTGACTCTTCTGGTGTTAATGATTCTTGTGGTTCTGGTTGTTGCTGCTCAGAAGGTTCAGGTTCAGGTTGTTCAGAAGGTTCAGGTGGCGTCGATGGTTCAGGTGTAATAGATTCCTGAGGTTCTGGTTGTGGCTGCTCAGATGGTTCAGGTTCAGGTTGTTCAGATGGTTCAGGTGTAATGGATTCTTGTGGTTCTGGTGGAGTAGAAGGCTCTGGTGTCAATGACTCTTGTGGCTCTGGTTGTTCCCCTGAAGGTTCTGGTTCTGGTTGTTCAGATGGTTCAGGTTGTGGCTGCTCAGAAGGTTCAGGTGTAATAGATTCCTGAGGTTCTGGTTGTGGCTGCTCAGATGGTTCGGGTTCTGGTTGTTCAGATGGTTCAGGTGTAACGGATTCTTGTGGTTCTGGCGGTTCGTTAGTAGGTGGAGTAGTGGAATCCTGTGGTTCAGGTGGTTGTTGTGCATGAACCATGAGCACCACCAACACCAACAAGATCAAGAAAAATGCAAGTATTCTCTTGGTTGAAAACATTTGAATAGAGAGGGCGTGTGCGATCGTGTTACGTTTTTTGTTGTTTATTTGTTATTGTGTGGACAGAGAGTCTAGCTCTTGTTTTTAAAACTAGTTTCTTCTATAATCCTAATTTAGAAGAGAGCTCGCTGGAGGTCAATGACTATTTAGTGATAATGGACATATTTCATATAAGCGTTGTTAGAATATTTGATTTCCAGTTGATTGTATTCCTTTTCCTTACGGACTTGACCACGTGGAAAACCAATTACAATCATGATCTGTTTTTAAACATGACAATGACAAGGAGGAACTGGAGAAAAAATTTTAAGGCAGTAACCAGCCATTTGAAAATCAGAGAGTATTGGTCCTCCCCCTAAACGCAATAATATTATTGGCATCTCTCATGGAGTGCAAAAGAGAGCTGCTTCACTATGAAATTACAAATGACATGTCAGCAGAATGAACAATTGAACACCGCTCTCTCTCTTTCTCATTCAATGAATATTTAAAAAAAAATAAATGACGACCTTCTCCACCACTTATCCACGTTTTCTTAAGGCATCTCATTACCCTCCTTCGAATCAATCAGAAGTTGCCGATAAGCATCCATCAAAAAAGCTTGAACTTGAATTCATTCATGGATGCTCAAAAAAGGGTTGTAAGGGAACATATTTTCATGTCAATGATGAACATCAATTGGTATACCCTGCAGCTGGATGTGGTGTTGTATTCGATGTACCAACGAACACTCAGAAAATATTTAGAAAGCATGACGATGATGTGGTTTGCATTGCCAAGCAGTAAGTAGTAGAGTCATTGCCATCATCTCTCAAGTCATGCTTTTGTAATGAACTTATTCATGATGGTACACATCATGCTTGATGTTGTTTGTATCATCTCTCATGTCATGCTTTTGTAATGAACTTATTCATGATGGTTCATGCACTGCCACTCTTGTACAGTCACAATCAGCGCTTGTTTGCACGTGGTCAAATTGGAAAAGATGACATGATTTATATTTGGGATTCTCACCAACCTCAAGCAGGTCCCATTGCATCCATTCCCACACATATCCATTTTAAGAATGGTGGTGTTATGGCCATTGTATTTTCCAACTCGGGTGATTTCATTGCATGTATTGGTGGTAATGATACCAATTCTCAAATTCTCATCTATGATTGGAAAAAAGTTAAAAGCAAGTGCAAAATGTTTGAGTACCGAGTGGTATGACTTGGCAATCACGCCTGATGATCGTCATTTATATGTTTGTGGTAAAAAGACACTCAAGATCTTCAATACTGCAGATTTATCATCAAGATCTGGAGTATTTGGATCTAAGGGTACTCTACAAAATACATATGGTGTGGTTTTTGTGGGTCCCAACGAGAGTGTTCGTACCGATGATGATGCCAGAAGTAGTAATAGCAGTTCTACCTCTACTACATCATCATTGGATGCACTAGTTGGTGTGGAAGATGGTTCTCTCTATCTATTCAGAGATGGTAAAGTGATTCAATCGTTCATGAAGGCTCATGAAGGTGCCATCTATTGCATGACTCGGTGTCAATTACCTCTGAATGCTCAGAAAGGTTCTGGAATTGTGAGCAGTGGTAAAGATGGTGTGATCAAGTGGTGGAGATACCACCCACAAACCACACAACTCGTACTTGAATGTTCTCTTCAAGTTGGAGGATGTGTCAAAGCGATTGTCGCTACTTGTCGTCCATGGAGTACTACTACTACTACTTTTCTTACGGATACGAAAGATACTACTACTACTAGCCCTTCTACTACCTCCTACAGGAGACAGGAAAGATAAAGTACCTCTCGTGTATATATCCAAATCCAATGGAGATTTACAATGTATTACTAATTTCACTCAGGTGAATACTCTCCTAGCATCACATTGTGGTTTATCACATCTCAAACAATTATGGGGTTTAGCCATCGTGAAAGGTTCTTCCAAATTCATGACTTCCGGCGATGATGGTCGTATCATTGTATGGGATTCTGAGACTAGAAAACATTGTGCTCAGTTAAAGATTCGATTACCTCTCCACTCAATTCCACCACCATCTTCTTCTTCTGATAATAATCATTCTTCCATTGAATTGAGAGGTATTGCCATTTCACCTCAATATCATGTCGCTGTCACGAGTAAGGAAGGACATCTCTTCATTTACCAATATCAACATGAATGAATTCCATCCAGAACCATTATTCTATCGAAAAGATAGTATTGAAGAAATTGCAACTCTTCAATATTCCAATGATGGATCCTTGTTGGTGTGTGGATCTCATGACAATTATATTTACATGTATCAATGTGAGAATTCAAAAAAGGATGATTGTGATTTACAACATGATCAAAATGCTCATGATAGTGAACAACGTAATGATTGTACTGATCAACATCATGACAATTATTACCATATTCTCAAAAACATGAATCATATCATGAATTATTATAATCAATCAATAGATGACAATCACACAAGGTTGAACTATAAATGGATTGGTAAATTAAGTGGTCATTCATCCTTCATTACTCATCTAGACATTTCCAAAGATGGTAAATACATTCGAAGTAATAGTGGGATTATGAAATTCTCTTATGGGAGGTTGAAACAAGAAAACAAATCAAGTCCATGATACCATTCATTGAAGATATTGAATGGGATACTCTCACATGTCCATTAGGTTATACAGTGAGAGGTATTTGGAAACCAGAAATGGATGGCAGTGACATTAATGCCATTGATGTGAGTTTTGAACATTCATTAGTGGCATGTGGTGAAGATTCTACACAAGTATCCTTGTATCATTATCCATGTTCGAACATGTCGAGATTTGGTTATTCAGAAATTGGTCATTGTAGTCATGTGACCAATGTGAAATTCACAGGTGATGGAAAGAAATTATTGAGTTGTGGAGGTGGAGATTTGACCATTCTACAATGGTCATTGAAAGATCAACAAGATTGGAATGATGTGAATTCGAGTAGTAGTAGTAGTAGTAACATTGGTAAAAGTAGTCCTAATAGTAGTAGTGGTAGTAGTAGTGTGACTCGCCCCATAATCAGCAGGGATCAAGGGTGCAAACGTCCTTCCACAAACCCTGGCCAATACTAGAATCTCCATGGCTAACTCCACGACTAGAAGTAGTGTTGCACATTCCCCACGACCACTCAGTTCACACGAATCTAAAAGTCCAAGAATGGAGAGTAGAAACTACAACCATAACATTACTCTTTCTGCAACGAGTAGTACTACTGGTCATATGAGTGGTGGTGCTGGTGCTGGTGCTGGTGGTATTACTGCTACTACTACTGCTACTACTACTGCTACTACTACTGATACTATTGGCCTTAATACCACTCAGCTTCCTCCTTCCAAACTTGGCTCAATGACCTCTCCTAAATCATTGACAACAACTCTTGAACATGCTTCTTCTTCCTGTAATTCATCATCCTCTTCCGGTGCTCCTCATATTTTAAAGATATTACTACAATTTCAATCCGATACGAACACTCAAGGTTGCAAAACGATTCTCCCATTAGATATCAATCAACCATCTCAATGTACTTTTAAATATTTACAAGATATTGCTAGAGAAGATTTTTATATAGACGATGAGGGTAATGAGACATTATTTCATCTGTTGTATCATGATCATGAAATGAATAGTGATATTTCAATTAGGAACGATCGACACATGCAAACATGTATCGATTATTTTAAAAAGATTGATTCCAATCAACAAGATCGAATCATCATAGTATTGTCAAAAAGCATATAATAAAGTAGTATTATTGATTTTATCAAGTGTACCAATCATCATGAATGTAGTGAGTGGTGTCAAAGGGTTGATGTCAAAGGGTTGATGTCAAAGGGTTGATGGGTGAGAGGGGCAGAGTTTGCTGATGAGGGTCATCACACTGCAGTGTCTTTTTGTTATTATTATTCTCAAACCTCTTCTCACTCATTCGATAAAGTTTGAGATTCAATAAAATCCAAATGATTATTGTTCATACCAGAATTCTGACCTTTTCCAGATCGATAAACCTCTTCTTCTTCATATCTCTTGTGTAACATGTGTGCTATCATGGTATGATATTCTCTCTTGAAATCAATATTCAATACTTTGACATAGTAATAAATGATATAACATGTTGCACACAATGCATACACACTCATTTGAACAATAAAGGTTCCATAAATAGATCGAATGGATGGCACTAGTAAACAAATTAAACATGCTGGTATGGAAATGAGGAAATTCAATGCCAATGTCACATACAGAGGTATAGAATCCATAATAACGATGGACCATGATGTGCCCAATGTCCAATTGGTCAACGATGAGTCATTATTTTCACTAAAACTATTGCTATGATGATGATGATGACTATTACTACTACTATAACTATTACTACTATGACTATTACTATGACTATTACCACCAATATTATTATGACTAGTCACAATGAGTAATTGATACAAATTCATGACCACATAACACACACTGCTCACAATCGAGACAATCCAAAATGTTTGAATATTCTGTTCTGTATTCATGACAAGGAGTGATTGTGGTGTTAAATACATGCTATCAAGAATAATATTTGAAATATCAGTCAATAAATACATTCCAATAAAGATCAATGTGATGATGAATAATACGAATAGAGCCTTAATATTGAGAATGATTAAATTTCTATAATTCAATCGATTGATACATTTTCTATTATAGAGACATAGAATGGCATTGCAAGTACAACCAATTTTGATATAAATGAAATTATACGACAATACCATACAATAGGCAATAAATTCACCTTTAGAAAAGAAGGTCTTTTCATTGTCCACTTGTGTGGTAGAGGTAGAGGTAGTAGTGGTAGTAGTGGTGGTAGTGGTAGAGGTAGTCACAGATGAATGACTACTAATCACTCCAATATTCATCAAATAAATCGATAGAGGTAATACAGTATAAATAAATAAATTTCCATAATATCCAAAAAAACGTTTCAATATCAAGGAATCCCATTGGAACAAGAGACGATACAAGTCAGCAGAAAAAATATTGATACTACTACTACTACTGCTACCACTAATACTACTACTACTAGTACTACTACTACTGAAAAAACTCGAGCAATAGGAAAATAATTGTTTCAATAAAAATAATACAGCCATCATGATGAATGGTATCAAATAACTCACTCCACACACCAATGAAATCCAATAATAAATGGAATTCATGAATGAAGGTAATATTAAGGATTGAGTGATTGGCACACTGGTCAATGCAATGAAAATTAAATAAACAAACACTCCACTCATGACTGTAATGTATACATTCACCAATTGATAGAATGTAATGAATATACAAAGACATACACATAATGCATTATATAAAAATACATTTCCAATGTTATAGAAGAGAGTGAAATAGAGTGGAATGTTGGAAAGTGGAATGGTGGTCGTTGAGGTGATTGAATTGAGGTACAAATCATTCGAATCATTCATCACGACCACTGGATGGATGATGGTTTTGGTCCATTGAACGAGACTTCCAACAGCAATGATAGGTCTTTGAGTACCAATAACACTCATCGAATCAACACCACGATACAATAAATGTACAAATCCATAACATGCTCCATATTGAATACAACTTGATAGAAAGAGTATGAAGAGAGATAATAGTATAAATTTACCACTCAATATTCCACTATTACTACTACTAGTACTACCACCACTACCACTAGTACCACTACTACTATCAATATCATGAAAGAACTCTGATCGTAGGTCTAGTCTATAATAGTAAAATCTAAAAATATTCATTCTACAATTAGTAATTTCCATGAATAAATATTGTAGAATGGGATATAAAAACATTAATTCTAAAATAACACTCAACATGACTACACATAGATAGAGAAAGGATGAATCATTATCAATGACTGGTAAAGTTCCCACACTCATGTTTGAAATGAGAAATCGTGTCGAGAGAAATTTCATAACAATGACACTCACGAGTAATAGAATAATTTTCATCATTCCACTTGAATGTGAATATTCTCTGAAGGATGGATGATGAAAATACAAGGCATGTCCATTACTATTGGAACTAGGTGCTGATTTTCTCATGAGCCAATCTTTTTCATCGTCATCATCATAGTCGTCATGATACTCCTTCTTGACACCACCATTCTTCCTAAAATCTTCATGTGGGTGGTGATCGGATAAAGTTGCACCATGATCATCATCGTCATGACCATGATCATGAATGGAAGAATCAAATGTTGTTGAGTGAGAGACATACATGGCATGACTAGTGCTCGTCGTTGGATGAATCTCTTGTTCCATTGCAATACTTGTATAATATTCATTCAACACTCGTTGTTTGATATTTTCTTGATAATTTTGTTTGATTTGTATGAGATGAAGTGACTCCTCACGATGATGATCATCATGATGAGGTGGAATGACATGAATGTCTCTAAAGGCTCGATCCAATGGATTTTGTTTTTCAATGGGAGGAACCAGTTGAATTTTCTTTTTAGAACTTCCATTAGTATTATTAGTAGTAGTAGTAGTAGTAGTAGTAGTGTGGTTATTGTGATTAGGGAAAGAATTCAATGAATGATCATGTTGCTGTTGCTGATCCATCTCTTCTTGTTTGAATGACTTTTCAGTACTCATAATAAAATAAGAAGTAATATCATCAATGACCATGTCTTGTGATGGTTGTTGTTGTTGTTGAGAGAATGATTGAGAGGATGGAGAGGATATAGGTTTCTTGTTGTTGTTACTTGTTGGACCTTTTCTTAATGAATGACCCAAACTACCACTACTCGAACCACCACCACTCAAACCACCACTCCTAAGACTTGTTGGACCTTTCTTGAAAAGTGATTTGACAACCACCTTGACATCATCTTCATCATCAACAGGATGACCACTACGACCAATACCACCACTCCATGCATCTTCATCTTCATACCTCTCATTAATCATTCGATGATTGAGATAATACAATTCTTCTTGTGCTAGAGATTTATCTTTCAATACATTCATATCGACAACATCTTCGTCATCATCGTCGTCATGTTGTTGAACCTTTTTTTGAAGTGAAGACAAGTTGATTTGACCACCACTTGTCGATGGATCCATCCTACTACTAGTAGTAGTCGTGGCAGTCGTGGCAAGAGTATTGGAAGGTGTCGTATGGACCTGTTCTTGCAAGTTTTGATGATTAGAAATGAGTGTCGATGTTGAAGATAAATTATCATCAGTGAGTCTTTCATCGTCGTCGTCGTCCTCATCGTCATCATCATTGTCTTGATCGTCATCATCCTCTTCATCCTCTTCATCATCCTCATGATTTTCGAACGTATCATTTGGACCAACAAATAGTTTCCCACTTGTTGTATCTTGTGTTGGTAATACATCTAAAAATCGAATAGTTTCATTCACTTCTCTCATCTTGTCAATCCATTGAAACATTTCATCACTACTTTGAGCTTTGACAATTAACACTCTCTTTTTCGTGACAATTTTGAAAATATTATATTCATTTTTAAATTCTGAAAAACATTCCACAATGATGGCATTATTGATATCAAGTGATCCTTTTTCTTTCTTTTTATCTTGTTTTGTGTAATAGGAGAGTATATGTTGATCATGAAATGAAAAGTATCGTTGTTTCCAATTCTTGACAATTTTACCTTGTTTAGAGAGATAACCTTCAAGATGAATGAGTGATGAATGAGAGGGTATCTGGTTGGTGGATTGTCTTTTTAATTTGAAACTTGAAAAGATGGAAGGAGTTGATGTGGTGTTTGTACTGTTGTTGTTGTTATTAGTATTGTTATTATTATTGTTATTATTATTGTTATTATTATTATTATTATTGGAAGTGAAATGGATGGGAGTAGGTGTTGTGGAAGGATTGTTGTTCTCCGTGTGGTTATCCACGAACGCCGAAGAAATGGATGGGTCCATGATTGTGTTGTGCTCACAGAGATGTTGTGTGACAATGTTGATTTTTTTAAAATGTCAAATGTTCATTGTAACCAAGCAAGAAATAAAAATTGATTAAAATTTTAAAAAAAATTTGTAAAACCGTCTCAATCCCGAACCGAAATGTCTTGCTCCTCCACAAGTGATGCCTCATCCGGCGCAACACATTCGCTCGACAACCAAGAATCTTCAAATATTACCATCACTATTCGATTGATCAAATCATTTGCATATAGAAATATTAAACTAATGATTCTCAAAGATATTCAATCGGAGCAATTGACTGGACATGATTTATTAAATTTAATTAAAGATAAAATTGAAAAGGAGAGTGCATATCTTCCACATCGTAATCGACCATATGACACTTTAAAGATGTATCATCATGCTCATTCATTCAAAGCTAATAATTTAGTAATTAATTTTCAAGATGATGATAAATTAGTATTACACTTGGATAAAACGTTAAAAGAAAATGGAGTGGATAATGAGGCTGAGATTTCATGTTTCATTTGGAAAGAATATTTAGAATTTAAACATAATCCAGAAATTAAATGGTAATTTTGAGAGCGCACTGAATAAACATGGTGTGCATGAGCTTTAAGCTTTTACCAGGTCGAGGAATTTCTCAAGTGATATGAATAACTCTAGCTTTTCTTCTTGATTATCATTGGAATCCTCATTTTGTTGCACGTTGGACTGAGGTTGTGACTCTTCACTTCCTGGGTTGACAAATTCAACTCCATTCTCAGTCAACACAATGGATCCAAGTGCTGCTGCCAATGATGTGGGTTGCTGAATACTTTCCTGTTGTTTCTTTTTCAATTGCTTCTTCTTGAACAGATCCACTTGTTTTTGATAATCATCTCCTAAAACGTATTTAACAAAACGATCAAATTCTTCTGCGTCCGTGAGAGGATCTAAACCACTTTCAAATAATAATTCTTTTAAACAATTAATACTAAGCATTTTCTCGCCATAACTATTCAAGACAAAGTACTGGACGAATATGTCCTTGTATTCAGTGTCTCTCTCCAATTCGTATTGCTTACTAAGAAAATCCAAGAAATCTCCAAAGGTAAACGATTCATCACTGTGTTTTAAATGTTGATTGTAATGCAACATTAAATGATCGGTGGTGGGTGAAGCACCACATAACCGTAGACATAATGCTAAATCGGAATATATGTTTAAGGTTTTGAAAGAGTGATGAGGCTGTTGTTTGTTTTTCTGTTGTTTTTGTTGCAACACTCGTTGATACACTCTCTCGTAAGTTTGAATTTTGGAAACTGTAAAATTAAAGGAGGGAGATTTGGATCGAAAATTTTGAGCGAGAGATGAGGAATTGATGGTGGCAGTAGTGGTGGCGGTGGAAGAGGTAGTGTTCGTAGCGGTGAGGCTATAACTATTACTTGATGTTATTGTTGTATTTGGAGTGGCTTTAGAAGAACAAGTATTTGTTGGGTTTGAGGGTTTCACGGAATGAGATGATCTTGAGCCTCTGTTCGATGAGGTCGTTTGCTTACCACTGTCTTGCCTAGAGCTGGAGATATTTGATGAAGGTGTGCTATTGGCATTTGTAGTTGTTGTTGTACTGGAAGCTACATTTGCTGGTTTGGGTGCTGAAACGGACCGAGTCTTCATGGAGGATCTTTTGACCGATGATTGGGTCGTGGACATTCTTTTTTTCAGTATCTATTCAAAACCAAATCACTCACTTTAAACACATCATTGGCCATCGTAGATGTAGAATTATTACACAAAGATACTACTAGTACAGTGTAGTGATTCAAAACCATAGCATGCATGATTCATTTAATATTGAGATTACTATTTAGCACTCGTAATGACTCACTGAATGTGTACTCGCAATGACTCATTGAATCTCTCTATTGCAATTTCACTTCCATCAAATAGGCATCTCTGGTTGGCAATGAACCAATATCATCTTTGGCATAAAAATTCTCCAAAGTCTTTTGCTTTGTAAATCCTAACTTTTCATAGAATTTAATAGCTCCTTCGTTTGCTGTATGTACATGAAGAAAACATGTTGAAATTCCATTTTGTTTAGCAATATCAAATATTTTCTCCATCAATTGTTTACCAATTCCTAATTTTCTATATTTTGGTAATACTCCCAATAACATGATATATATTGCTTTATCATTATTATATTGTTCAATTCGACATGAAAAACTTCCAACAGCAATATCATTGAAGATGGCAAACGAACTAAAATCTGGCCCTCTTTGCAATATTTGTTCATAAATTGAGTCTCTATATTTAATTGGATAAATATAATTATTGAGAATTTTCAATTGTTCAACATTCTTATCAATGACTCCCATGAGACGAAGTTTTTGATTTTCGGAAAGTTTTTTATGATTCTCATGAGTGGAAAAGAAGGAACGATGATCGATGAGATTGGCTTGATTATTCACTTGTACCATGTTGTTATTTTAATGATGAAATGAAAATGGAGTGAATGAGAAGGGATCGCTATGAGTCAACAATGATGATGTGAATATTTTTTTTTGTGTCAAAACACTAAGACCTCTCCTCTTCCTGGGCTCTTAAACCTGCTACTCCAGAATTCAACACGAAGAAGGGTTCGTTGTACAATGTACATGACGAGCGTATGAAGACAAGTAATTTATTGATCACAACAAAAGCCATCCTAGGATGACGCAAGATTACGTTTTGATAGGAATACAAAGCTTTGTAAAAAAAAATGCAGCCATCCTCCTCCGACCAGCAACCATCAAACAACAACAACAGCAACAGCAACAGCAACACCAACTCATCAACACCTGCTACCACCAAGTCGACTCTTAATAGCATTACTCAAGAGGCGATTCAAAACGTTGCTAAATATCTTCCAGGAGGAGATACTAAGAGAGCGGAACAAGAGATTGTCAAGGATCGAAAGTTTTGGAATAACCAACCTGTACCTAAGATTTGTAAGTTTGTGATTTGATGGTCTGCCTATTATAATGAATATATTATTTATATCATCACTGTATCATGATTTCAATCACGATCAAACATTATGTATCATCATCCATTATGATTATCGTCGTTGTTGTATGATGATTGTAACCCATCGTATTCAACAGATGAAAAAGTTGAACAACTCGGAGAAATTGAAACTAAGACTGTAGATCAAGTTCAAGCCACTCCCTATACTCTTCCAAAAGGTTATGAATGGTACGATTTAGATGTCAATTCCGAAGAAGATATTTCCAAACTCTATTCTCTATTGGAGGGTAATTACGTTGAAGATGATGATGCCATGTTTCGTTTTGCATATACAAAAGAGTTTCTCAGATGGGCACTTGCTCCTCCTGGATATAGAAAAGATTGGCATTGTGTCGTGAGAGTGGAATCATCCAAAACATTTGTTGGATTCATTGCTGCCATTCCCATGTTGATTGGATTGAGACATGAATTTAAAAATGAGAGTTCAAACTCGACGTCGTTGGAAACTACGAGTGTTTCCATGGAAACAACGACGAATAGTGATGCTGAAAAATTTGAAAAAAGCGTTAAAATGGTTGAAATTAACTTTTTATGTGTACACAAGAAATTAAGAGAAAAGAGATTGGCACCTCTCCTGATTGGTGAAATTACTAGACGAGTGAATTTAACCAATGTATGGCAAGCCATTTACACTGCTGGTGTGATTATTCCACGTCCTATCAGTAAGGCAAGATATTATCATCGTAGTTTGAATCCAGAAAAATTGATTGATATCAAATTTAGTTCCATTCCACCTTTTGCAAAGAGTTTCCAAAATCCATTAGAAGTCACTAAAAAGTATTACAAGATGAATGTTAAAGAAAGATTACCAACAATGCGTCCATTACGTAAGAAAGATTGTACTCAAGTAACCAAATTATTGAATGACTATTTAAGTCATTTCAAAGTAGCACCATTCTTTACAAAAGAAGAAGTTACTCATTGGTTCGTTGGAAGAGAAAATGTCATTTACTCATTTGTCATTACTGCTCCTGACAATGATGATAAGATTCTTGATTTTATTTCCTTCTATTCTCTTCCAAGTACAATTATTGGTAATCCAAAACATCAAGTGTTGAAGGCAGCGTATTTATTCTTCTATACTTGTTTGAACACCAATGTTGAATCTCTCATGAAGAGTGCACTCATTGAAGCTCAAAATAGAGATTTTGATGTCTTTAATTGTGTGAATATTATGGACAATCAACAATTCTTAGACAAGTTGAAATTTGGTACTGGAGATGGATATTTATATTATTATTTATTTAATTACAAATTCCCAGATTTACAACCTGAACAAGTTGGTTTGACCATGCTTTAAATGTTTGGGACTTGTTGGAATGAATAGTCGTACTGCAGCAGTAGTTGTAGGTCAATAAAGGACTTGAACGTTTCGGAACAGTGAACAATCCCTCAGTGTGCTCCCTTACTTCTTTGCCTCTCTCCATACTGTATGGAGACCGTTGTCAATGCACGCTTTTGAATCTCGAAACGACGAAACTGTTCGTACGCTTGTTGATGGCTGGGTATAATTGATCGTTTGACACTTGTCGATGTGTTGGTTGCACCTGTTAGCAAAAAGCCCATGCCAACAGCACACCGAATTCGAGAAGAGCTGTAAATTTTTTATTCCCTTAAAAAAAATTGAGAACGACGAGATTTGAACCAATCATCAATTCTCTCTAAACTCTGGATGTTGTACGAGCATCTCATGAAACACAATACATAAATCTCTGTTTGATAATAGTAAATGCCTTCGGAACAAGAAATGGACAATGAAAGTATTGCTGACTCTAAAAGCATACATTCTCAAACATCATCATCCATTCAACACTCGTATACGATTGAAGATCTACTCAAAGATTGTGAGAGAATTCTTCATACCCAATACGGTCTTAAACCATCATCACCGTTCCGTGATGTCAAATATCCATTATTAAAAGAGATTTGGGACTCCATCGGAAGATACTTGTATCAACAATTAGAAAATGTAAAATCTGTCAGTGTAAACAATATAGGGAGGTTTTCATTTCTAACTTCTCTTCTCCATACAGGTAATAACGGAATCATTGAAACAAAAAAGGTTGTATTTGTAATGAGTGAGGCATTTGCAAGAGATTTCAATCTAAAACTACGAAGAAATTATCGAAAATTTGTCGACAATTCAATACCTACCGTAGAAGTTAATTATTTTCTTGTTGCACAGAAATGCTGTACAACGAAAGAAATTGTTCTTTTTGTCATGAAAATATTAAGGAATCGATTAGGGGAAATAATGTCAGGAGGAAAGAAAGTTCGAATTGATTTTTTCAGTGTTGGATCTCTCAAGTGTGATAAAAGAATAGTTTCAGATTTTGAATTTGTAGATGCCTTGAAACAACCAATCACAGAAAAGCAATCAAGTACGGGAAAGATGAATTCAGGATCTCATCGAATCACCTCGTCCGAAGATTTACAGTTAATGGCTTCAAGAACACGAAAGAATTCAATCAAACCTTCTTCTTGGAGAAACATGCTCCTTTTATCTCAAATGAATGACAAACAACATACGAAATCAAAGGATCCCAATGATGATTCAATTTCTGTGCATTCTTCAGTTTCATCTAGAAGTGCCAGAAGTTATACCATCAAGAATCAACACCAGTTTCAACGACCTGCAACAGCTTCTTCAACTGGTTCACTAACACCACGACAAGTACCACGAGGTAACGCTTTGAACGCGGTGAGAAGCTTACAATCAGGAGAAAACAACCAGGGCAGGCCTCTTTCTTCCAATTCAACAATACAGCATTCACCAAGAAGTCAGCTCACAATAGGGATGAAACCAATAATGGTTCGTGTATTTCCAACAGGAGTAATACCAATCAGAACTCAATGAACAAGGTGGAATTGATGAATCATCAATTTTCTGCTGCCTTAAATTATGGACCTCACGACAATGGCTTCAGACAACCTAATGCACATGCTGCAGCGACTGTCATGAATTTAGCAGTTCAAAGATATGCACAACAGCTGGAAAGTACGAGGAGAGAACAACAACAAGACTTGGATTTATTCTATCGGCAGCTCATTCACAATGTTTGTGTCAGTGAAGAATTGAGAAGAAGAAAACGGGAGGAGGCACAACAAGTTCAAACACAACTCGTTCAACAAATGCAACATGCACTCCTGCGAAAAAGATCGGATGATGAACAGTATTCCAATTATTTCAACAATGAAGAGGATTCAGACTTGGATAAGAACAAGAATGGTCTCTTAATGGGATTCAAAAAGAGTGCAAGAGGGTCCAGAGACTCGAATGTGCAATTAAGGTCTTCGCTTCCAAACCCTCAAATGCAAAGAGCATATCCCTTTCTGTCCATTGACGAACAGAGCCCGTTGCAACAAGGTCTTCACATTCCCAACAGGTTCGAGTTGAAAAATTTCTTTGACGAGACAGTGCGTAGTAAATAGTTTTACAGCATCCCATTATTTATATCTGTGTAAATTGTTGATAGTATTGATAATATTGTTGGTAGTATTGCTTGTACTGATCTAAACTCCATCGTTGATCTCCAGATTTGAGCTTTTTAGTTTCAGAAGTGGCCATTTCAACTCCATTTTCAAGTCTTCTCTTTCTTTGAGATTCATACTGTTCGTCTTCTAGTTTCTTAATTGCCTCTTTAACTTTTTGTACGGTTTGAATAGTTTGAAATTGATACACATATTTTTGAAGCAGTAGTTGCAATACTTCAATTTTGAAAGAGATGGTCACAATACTAGAGTTCTTCTTAGAAACTCTTTCAGAATCGATATGTGGTGATGGCATTCCCCATAGAGATAGATAATGTTGCACAACTCTATCAACAGATTCTTCATCTTGCATGTCATCTTCATGTGAACCAACAGGAGCGCTGTAATATTCCAAATTTAGCAGTTTTTCAACGAGATCTGCATTGGCAGTATTACCAGTGCTCAAAACAACATCATTTTCAAACTCTAGTAGGGCTTGATATGCCTTCTTAGTGGTTTTGAATTCATCAATACATTGGTTAAATAAAGTTCTTGCTCTTTCAACATCTTTTCTAACTTTCCAAACAAAATTGGCATGTTGTAGTTTGAAATAGCATCTTGCCATTGTACCAACAATGTTCTTCTCTTGTTCTCTATAAATGATTTCAATTTTATCAAAATTGTCTGATGAAGATCTATATAAATAATGAATGGCATGAGTCAACGATTCTAAATGTCCAATACATCTAGATTTGATTAAATCATTATATACTTGCTCAATCATTTCTGGTTTAGAATTATTCATCTCTAAATATTCAGCAAATTGAATATGAACCTGATATCTATTCTTTAAGACGCTATAGGAAGTGAGTCTATGGTATACTTGTACGACTTGATCATGAAGATTTTGCTTTTCCAAGAATGAAATGTATCGATTCCAAAACTCAGTGTAGTAAGAGCAATAAACAATAAATCTTTCATGAGTTTGAATGACATGTTCCAATGTACACCACTTGGTGTTATTCTTCTTTTCAAATTCTTCTTCTTCATTCTCAATATATCTTCTAAAATGTTCCAATTCATGCTCTTGGAATGGTTGAACATGAAAATATGGTCTTCTAATGTGATCTTCAAAGGGTCTAATCCTTTCCAATTCTTTTTTTGTTGGTAAATATAAATTCTCTCTCCAATAGGTGGTTAAATCATTCAATTTGTTAGAGGCCTTATAAGCATTCATTTCTTCTGGAGTGTGAGCATATTGTTCCACTGTTAAGATTTGTTGGGATGATTCTTGTTCCTTTCCATCACTTCCTGTTGTAGAAGATGACTCTTGTTTTGGTGTATGAGTTTTCATAAAATCTTTAAACTGAGACCAAATCAATGTCAAATCTCTACATGGAACTTGAATTGCTCGCTTATACAACTTGACAACATTTTCTAGTTCATCTTGTGATGTTTCAAATTCAATGTACTTTTCCCAGAGAATACGAGCATAGTAATCATTACCAATGGATTGGAGCGCTCTTTCAAATAATGCTCTAATTTCCGATACATCTTGAGATTGTTCAGCAACAAACAGACAGTAGTGCGACCATAGATCTGGATTATTAGAAATTCCAGTCTTTTTATCAATTGCCTTTTCATAGACTTGAACCGTTTGATTAAAATCTTTTGAAACTTGATAGGTTAATTCCGCATACTTTTTCCAATACCCGAAAAGGAGAGGAAATTGAGCAAGAAATTGAGAATATGAATCTAAAAGCTTTTGGGAAATATCTAGGCTTGACGGGTTCATACCAAATTCAATTTCCAAGAGAGTAATGTATTTTTCCCATGTATAATAATCGCATGGATTTGCCGTTAAGACACTCTCATATTCTTTCATAAACTCTTGTGGTGTTTTTGTTGTGGTTGATGATCCCGAAGAAGTGTGCTGATGATGATAATTATCCATTTTTTTAAACAAAAAAACTTTCGTTGAACTGGCCACAACACCATCCTTCGTTGATTGTCAATTGTAATCTCAGTTGTTGCTGACAGAATCTGGTTTTAATAAGAACGATGGAATAATTCATTACGGATCAACAGACACAGATGAAATACTTTAGAAAAAAATTTTCTTCATTTAACGGATGCTTGCAGATCACACTCTCGACAGCCCTCTTCCTCCTCTCCCCGAAGCCATTGAAACGTATGAACAAACAAAGACCAATGTGTATGATCTGTTAAGGAATGCTCCTAATACTCTCCCTTTAGAATTTAATGGGGTCAGTTCAAGATGTGTTGCTCTGCTATTTGATTTTCAAAAAACGGAACAAACATCTCTAAATCATCTGACTCCGGAAGAAAAGGCTTGTTATTTGTGTAGCATTATATTACATGAAGTACATGATACACTTCATTCTTTGCATGATATTGCTGAAGATAAGGTGGTGAAAGGAGAAGTATTGTCCCAAAACGAAATTCAGTTTATTAAGGATCTGACGCAACAATACAACACCTTACTTGAAGATATACTCCCCGATCTGGAGGTGATGGCGGAGCAGCAAAACCCAAGTACAAGTTTTATTGGTTCCAATTCTCAAACGATGGTTGGAGTTGATCCACAGCAACAAAGAGCTGATAGAATTATCATTATGGATCATGAGAGTAGGAGCGGATTGGAAAGCAGACAGAGAATGAACAGATCGAACTCTCTTGCTTCCAAATTGAAGGATCTCACAAAGGAATATATGGATATGAAGAAAGCCAACCTCAGTACACTGTTGCTATCGGAAGATCAAGTTTCCCAATTCGAAAATCGACACATATCCATGTCCAATGAAAGCCTCATGTATTATACTACAGTAATGCTAGTATCTTCGGTGGATGATAATCACAAATTTCGACATTTATTTCTTTCAAATTATCGAATGTATCTTTCATCCACCAACGACATGTTAACTATTAAGAAAAGAATTGAGTTGTATGATATACAGAAGGTATCAAAGCCTTCCAAAAGTGATGCTGATTTGATTGACATAACTCTGTCTGGTACAGCTCAAGGAAGAGAATTAGTATTATACACAAACGAATGTAGCAAGTTGAGAGAGGAGATTGAAAAATGTATTGAAATGTACAAATCTCCTTCCCTTCTTCAAGAAACATCAATAGAAAATTTGGAAAACTCTTCTAAAAGAGTGCAAAATGAAAAAGTTTCGATTGAGGTTACAATAAGAAAAGCAGATAAATTAAGGCCAAGCCCAAAGAAAAGAATCGACAACCCCATTTTTTACATGGGAATTGGAAATCCAGAACACTTTGGTCAAAATAGAGAAGAGAGAGTCAAATCTAAATCAGTGAAGACAGGACGCTCCCCTGAATGGAACGAGACGTTTACGCTTGATCTATTACCCAGTAATGAATTACTGCTGGACGTTCGACTCTACAGCAAAGTTGGTGCAACGAAGAATGATTTTGCTTACGGTGTGGTTAATATTCCACTGAAAGAAATTCTCATTCCAAAAGAAGAAACGAAAGAGATGAAATCAGAGCTGAAAGGAAAGTGGGAAATTTGGTGTGGAATGAGCAAGACAGACACTGGAACTAGAAAGGAAGTGGTTGGTGATCTATTTGCCACGATCAAACTACTTCAGGATCCACAAGCTCTCCCAACGTGGCTTACGAATCAGCTGGCTCAGCCAAAAACCACTCTTCCTTTGGCTTGTTTGTACACCAAATTTCTGCTTTTTGAAAACTGCCAAGAGGTTCCATACATTTATGGCTCAAATATTGATGAGAGTAAGACACAAATGTTTGACTCAACCACTGATATTGTGTCCATCATTCAACAACAGTCCAACTCTTTGACTGCTTTGATAGACACAAGAACCAAAAGAAAAATATACACTCTCGAAAAAAGTTCGTTCTTAAAGAAAGAGTACACCATCAGAGATCATGAAGGCAACGTTTTTGCAAAATGTTTCCACAAGATGAAGACGATTCGCAAAACCAAAATTAGAATGTATTTAATGAACGGGGAGTATTTGTATTCGATGGAAGGTGGTTGTTTTGATGACAAGAAGAAGGATAATGAAGTGATCGTCTTGAATAGTTTGGGTTATCCTGTTGCAAGCGTTCTCTTTGGAAATAAGATTAGCGGAAGAGGAAAAATGATCATGGTCACAATATTGGATCCTCTTGTTGACAGACCGCTGATTATTACGTTTTGTCTTTATGTTTTGAGAACGACAAATTGAAGGGTAAATAAAATATCTTGTCATTGTAGATCAACAACAATTTGGCGCCAGGTTCTACAGAAAAAATATCGACACGGTCGTTCCATTCATTCATGATGCATATTTCATTCTGCGACCAGCAAATTGAAGAAATCGATCTTGAGCGGGTAAGTGTCGATTCATTTCATTGTCTTTATCAATTTGTAACAAAAAATATAAAATATATTTTCGCACAGTTCGGAGGAGAGGAAGACAGAAAAACGCTCTCCCTCGTTAAAAGCTTGGATTTGTCCCGAAATCATATTCATCGACTTTCCAATTTGCAAACATTTACATCGTTGAATATTTTAAATATATCCAGAAACAAATTACGTAAGTCATTACCGTGTGACTAGAGAGCCCATCATCGAATGTAATAATAATTTGTTTCGTTCGCTATAGGAAAACTTTCTGGACTACCTCTAGGATTAACAAAATTGGATGTATCTCATAATTTACTTACAAAATTAATTGGAATTGAAATTTTGAGCTCATTACAAGAGTTAAACGCAAGTTACAATCATATCAATCACACATACAATGTATTTATTACTCTAGGAAATTTAACATCTCTAAATCTATCAAATAATCACATAAAACAATTAGATGGCATGGAACATTTAGCAAAACTTGTGGATTTAAATGTAATGAACAATGAAATTAGTAGCTTTGATTCGATACGAGGATTAGCCAATCTAAGAAATTTGCAACATTTAAAAATTAAGGGAAATCCAATTGCCAAGTAAGTTTCATTGAGTGTGCTTCTTCTTTGATTCAATACATTACTTCAAAAAGACATTCCAACTATGTCCACTCACTTTCCAATTTGGTTCCATCTTTGGTCCATGTGGATCATGTTGATCTCAATAGTGGACTTGTTGATGAGTTAGAATCTGTTGCAAGTACAGTGTGTCATTCGAATTACACAACAACAGCTGCAACCACATCGGATGAAGATTCAGAATATTCAGAGCCGTCCTCACTTCGAGCAAGAAGAAGATTTAGCTTTCAATCCGATGTTGAGAACATGTCAACTTGTTCTGCAGCCTTTATAAAAAGACCTGAAACACCACAAGGAAGAATTCAACGACAAGAATATCAACCACTCCAAGTTCATACGACTCATCATGAAAAATTAGCTCGACCATCCAGCGCTCCCAAACGATCCAATGCCTCTTCGTCCTATGTCAAGAGATCCATGAATTCATTTAGACCATCAACAACCACCAATGCATCTACTAGTTTAAACACTGTTCAAGATCCTTCAAATAAGACAGTCAGCAATAGAGAACTCGATGATGTCAAATTGGTATTAACTCAACAACAACAAGAAAATTCTAGACTTGAAAAAGTCAATGAAAATTTGAGAGGAGAAATTACATCTCTAAAGAGTACGATCAAAACTCTACAACAAGATTGTGATACTTTCAAATCCTCTAATGAAAATATTTTAATGGAATTGGAATCTCTTAGAACAAGATATGATCGAATGCAACGAAACTATCGAAATGTTCAACAATTATATAAGGAAGAAAAACAAAAGAGAATTACATCCGATGAAGGAAGAAATGAATTACAAAAACAAGTATCTAAAATGAGAGTGGCTCTTCATCACCACAAATCACGATTAGATATTGAACACAAAGAAAAAACTCATAATTATGACATGTTGAAGGAGCAACACGAACAAACCAAACAAGATCTTGTTGTCTTGTTGGAATATGTTTCAATTATTGAACAACGATCTTTTCAACAACAACAAGTATTGGATGACATAACCAATCTCATTCATCAAGAAAATGAAATCAATATTAAGGAAAGTATTACAGCAAGTTTATTATCCACACAAAACACTCTTGAAACGCATACACCTGAAATGACTGAACGAGTGAAAAACATACTGGAAAATTATCAGCCTGAAAGATTGGCTAAAAAGAGTAGTAGCAGAATGAAAGGCAATCCAAACGTTCGAAATTTCAATGAATTGAGACATTTGGTGCATCCGCAAGCCAATTCAAGTACTTACAAATGGGAAACAACTTTAAGAAATAATCCTCAAGTCCTCTCTTCGGCTTTGGAAACATCTCAACCTCAGCACCCGATCGCATGCGCCTCATCTTCTCTCAGTGCTCATCATTCAATGAAAAAGAAACCCGTAGAGAGTAATAGTAATAGTAGTCATGGTACTCCAAGTCAGTTGTTATCTTTAAACCATTCTTCTCACCCAACTATGAGTCGAGAATCAAAAATTTCAATCACCAAAGATCAATCCATACACAATTCTCACACCAAGCATTCTCCAACCATAACCATTCCTTCAGTATCACCTGAAAAGAAACCATCTTCTAACATTCAAAAAGATCTTGGATCATCACAAATACTAAAGATTATTGAGGAACAAAATCAAAATCTCATTACTCAGCTCAAATCCAATGAATCTTTTAGCAACTCGAATTTTGAAGAAAAAGCAGAACTACTTTCAACTCTCAATGATCTAACACGAGTCGATGTGAGTTCAAGTCATGAAAATTTATATTCATTTTCACCAAAAGATAAGAATACAATAGAAACAACAACCTATTTGAATCATACCAATATGGAGAGTAGTGATTCTACTCTTTCAACTAGTGACAGACAAGATCCAGTAGAGGTACTTTCTAAAATGTCGCCCTCAGAGCTTCAACAATTGTTGGCAGAATTATCTCATCAATATTCCACACATGAAATTCCTTCTCAAGCCATGTTCACGACCACAACAACTTCTGCATTGACCAGTGATTCCATCAATGTTTCATCAAATAACAACCCAATGACTGATAGAGATAGTTCTTCTTTATGGAATGATCTAAACGTTGGAATTACTCCAAAAGAAAGTGATATCACTCTAACCAGGGATGTTCACTTTCCCTCACCAGAGAAACAAACACTCACAAGTCGTACCTCACCCTACAAGAATGAAAGAGAAATGATTGTAAAACAGAGATTGCATGAACGTTTGGCACTTGAGAGAAAGAAAATGGGAGTTGGAGGATTGGATTTGTAAAATAATAGGAGGAGGGTTTGAATGGATCCTCTGTAAAGCACCGTGTCTTATGGCTGCAGCAATTGAATGGTCGCTCACTTTTTGAACGGAGATTTGAAGCGCGACCACGGAGAGAACGATCATTGAAGGAAAATTATGAAAAAATATTAAAAAAAATGCAATCATCCACTCGTCACAATCATCCAGCACGTATTCAACACATTCTCAATCACTTGAATCCACCACCATCATTGAATGTCTGTCATCATTCAGATTCGGAGGATCATGCTTCCATGAATCATCCTGTCATTCAATGGAATACCACCTCTGCAGAATCACAAAACAACACTTGTGTCATTTATCAACAAGCCAATTCCGAATCAGGTGGTATTGTTGTCTTGTATTTGAATGATGGTCCAGTCAATGCTCTCTCTGATCGAATGCTCAAAGCAATTAAAATGAATATGGAACGTGCCAACAATGATGATCAATGTAAAGGTATTGTCATTGCATCGAAATTGAAAGGTTCTTTGTTGCAGGTGCTGACATTACTGAAATTAGAAAGAGACAAGTCAAACAGAGTAGTGGTAGCAATGACAAGGGTGAATTCTTAGATTTTCTTAAAAATGGAAATTCTTTAATGAATTTCATTGAAAATTCACCCAAGAACAAACCAGTGGTAGCTTGTATTGATGGTGTTGCACTTGGAGGTGGTCTTGAACTTGCAATGGCATGCAATGGAAGAGTATGTACTGAGAATTCAACTTTGGGATTACCTGGTAAGTTTTGTGTGTGTGTGTGTGGATTGATGATCATCATGAATTTTTTCATTGTGTAAATTTCATTGCGTGTATTCATTTCCTATAATGATAATATGACATGTATTCCATTTCCAACAATGAATTTATATACAAACATACAAATGTATTGATACAGAAACCAATTTAGGAATAATTCCAGGTTATGGTGGATGTAATCGACTTCCTCGTCTCGTCGGAACCAGAACAGCATTAGAAATGATGATTAGTACTCAACCTGTGAAAGGAAAACAAGCTCAATCCTTGGGTCTCGTGGACGTATGTGTTGTGGATTCGAGTTCTGCTCTCTCTGCTGCTCATCAATTGTGTTTGGAAATGATTCAAGGTCAACGTGCCATTCGTAAGACTCTTCAATTCTCTCAAAAGTTATTACAAGAAGATGATTCATTGAATCTTGTGAATGCAGTTGAGAGTAAATTAGATGCCATTCAATCCAAATTACCACATCTCAAAGCATTACTCAGAGTCGTACGTGAGACTGTTCAATTCCCATGCAATGGATTGTATGGACTTGATGTTGAAATGAAAGAATTTGCAGGAATTGCCAATCAACCCATTTCACGTGGAATGGTTCATTACTTTTTAGCTCAAAAAGCAACCACAAAATTACCAAAACGTTTATTAACCGCCAATTCTAATAATACTACTACGACTACAACTACTACCAATAGTGGACATATCAAATCCTTAGCAGTGATTGGAGGTGGTACAATGGGTGCCAACATTGTGGTGAATGCATTGGAGAATGGTATTCGAGTCATTTTGAAGGAAATTAATCAAGATGCATTGAAGGCTGGTATGGAACGTATTCGTAAAGGTAAGTTGTAAATGAATCATTGATCAGGGAGTTGTTGAGTTGTTATATTCATGTCCAATCAACAACCTTGCCGACGACGTATATAACCATTCATGTCCAATCAACAACCTTGTCCATGATGAATATGTATAACCATTCATGAATTGTCCATGATGAATATATATTTTGAATATTTCAACACTATAGTGTTCCAATCTAAATTGGATCGAAAGAAAATGACTCAACAACAATTTGACAAGATCTTTTCTCAACAATTGGTGGGTCAAATTACATTTGATTCATTCAATCAAGTCGATATGGTCATTGAAGCTGTTTTAGAAATTGTTGAATTGAAACAAAAGATATTCCTTGATTTGGAAAAGCATTGCAATGACAAGTGTATTCTTGCAACAAACACTAGTACGATTGATTTGAATAGAATTTCTGAAAAGATGCAATCCAAGAATCGATCTCGTGTGATTGGTCTTCACTATTTCACACCAGCACATGTAATGCCATTATTGGAAATTGTAAGAACGGAACATACATCACCACAAGTATTGATGACTTCACTTTCATTTGCTAAACAAGTGAAGAAGACTCCAGTCGTTGTTCTCAATGTTGTTGGTTTTGCAGTGAATAGAATATTTTGGCCATATGGTATTGCAGCTCAATATTTAGTAGAACGTGGATTGAGTCCTTATCAAATTGATAAGGCAATTAGTCAGAGTGTGATGCGTGTTGGATTCTTTACAATGGCTGATATGTGTAAGTAGTTGTTGTTGTTGTAGAGTTGTTGTAATTGTTATCATTGTTGTTATCATTGTTGATTGAACCCATTCTCAAAAAATTTTCATTTTCAAATCTACACACACACCTCTCCTCCCAACACACACACATGAAATGTACTACTCTTGACACATCTCCTCCCAACTCTCATGACAACTCTCTAAATTGTAACTAGCTGGTCTTGATGTTCTCAATTATGCCTCTCAATCCATTGCTGGTGCTTACAAGGAGAGAGCAAAGGATTCTCCATTCACTAAACTCATGATTGAAGCAAAGAGATTGGGTGAAAAGACCAATATTGGTATCTATAAATATGATGCTAATGGAAAGAAAACTCCAGATCCAGAAGGAATGGAACCAATTATTGCTCAAGTAAGAAAAGCTGCTAAATCTCCATCTCCTTTGAATTACACAGATAAGGATATTTATGAAGCATGTTTATTCAATGCTGTGAATGAGGCTTGTAGAGTCATTGAAGACAAAGTGGTATTTAGAGTGAGTGATATTGATGTTGCGAGTGTAATGGCAATGGGATTTATGCACTTCTATGGAGGTCTTATGAAATGGGCAGATGAGCTTGGAGCAAAATATGTTTATGATCGATTGAACAAATTTTATCAAGACAGTGATGGAAAGATTGTTTCATTTAAGCCTTGTCAATATTTGACTCATTGTGCGACTAATAATTTGAGTTTGTACAGTGCTGATTCTGAATTGATGCAATAAAGTCTCTTGTTGTTGTTGTTGAAACTGGCATGCATGATTAATTATTAACCCTTAACTACTCACAGCCAGTTATACACAAAACACGGCAAGTGCCCTGAATGGAGCTTTGAATCTTGCTGTTGGAAACTTTGAAATATATTTTAGGAGAAAAAATTTATTTTCAAACTGATTTCAAGCAGGCAGCAGTAGTTAAGGGTTGACATTATTAATTATTAAGTTTTTTATGGACTCGTTGTTATTGTACGACCCATTCATTATCGTCTCATTTTGACATCATTATTCGACAATTCATACATTAAAATTCCTGCTGCATGACTTACAGAAAAAGAATCTATATTGTTCTTCATGGGAATATACACAAATTCCTTATTGGGTATTTGAGACATGACCTTTTGGAATTCTCGATCTTGATACATAAATCCATGATGCTCATTTCCCATGACAAGGCAAATATTGTCCAATTTTCGTTGAGAGTTGTTAATTCCAAGAATTGATTTTATGGTATGTTTTTGAGAAGAAGAAGCATCTGCAATCAAGGTGTAATCACAATTCAAGTGTTCATGTATGACTGTGTTATATTCTTCTAACGGCAAGTGAAAAACTGGAATATTCATAATATAATTTCGACTACTTCTAACACATCGCTCAGTAAACGGTGATACACAATCTTCGCTCAAGAAAATTGCAGAAATATCAAATCCAAAGCTCATTCGAATAATTGATCCTAAATTATTTGGATCGCTTATTTTGTAACAATAAATGTAAATATTTCGTTTTCGAGGATGAAATAATTGTTGTGGGTCATAGTTATCATAGACAGCACAGTATCCATCATTACTCACAATATCTCCACAAATATAATTAATTAAATTGTCTGTTACAGGAAATTGTTGTGTTTGATGATTGTCTTGAGAGAACAGCAAAGGCTTATCATGTCTATAAAATAGCCATTTTGGACGAATGTTATATTTTTCGAATGACTCGGTAATTATTTTGGAACCATTCATTAACAGAGGAAGCGAGTCGAAGTGATACATGTCATCTTGTTCGCTTTTTAATATTCCATTCATCGGATTATGATCATCATTGACTTTAGAAAAAGGAAAACATTTTTTGAAATATTTGTAGTATTTAGTTCTAATTTTGAGGCACTGCTTGATGATCGGGTTGGATTTGCTTGAAATGATTCCAGTGTTCATCAGGTGGTAGTGCTCAATTATTTTTGTTTTTCATTTTGCACACAAAAAAAATGTCCTACGCTCCAACGCAGATCCAACACACTGATTCTGATGGTGAAGGAAGTGAAGCAGAAAATGATACAGCAACAACATCATTGACTCAGTCGAACATTGCTACTCAGGTTCAAGATGATACGAACAATGAAGAGGGCGATACTATTGAATTTGATGAAGATGATGATGACAACGATCAAGCTTCCGAGCATCAGAAAGATGATAATATGAATACAACAGCCGATGATGACGATGATGAAGAGGACATAAATAATGAAGAAAACTCTTCAAAAAATGTTGAAGAAGCATCGGAAAATCAACCTGTTGCTGAAGAGGATACTACTCCGATCGAATTTGATCAGGAAGAAGAGGAAGAAAAGACGCCCTCCAAAAAGAAAAGAAAGAAGAAGGACAAAGCTCAATCACCACAGCCTAAAGAGAAACAACGTAGAAAAAAGAAAGATAACGATGAAGATTATAAAGAAAGTGAAGAAGAAGAAGAGAACAAGTCTTCCACTGATGAAAATGCAGGAGAAGAGGAACCAAAAAAGAAAAAAAGAAAACGATTGCAAAAGAGTAAAGACACAAGTAAAGAAAAGAGCAAAGAAAAGAAGAAGAGAAAAAAGAAGGATAAATCTGAACCAGAAGTAACAGCAGATGCTGAAAATGAAACATCTCTCGTTCATGATGACGATGAAGAAAATGAACCTTTGGAAAAAGCAACAAAATCTAGAAAGATTGATGACGATGATGAGTTTAACATTGTTCTTAAAGAGGTGAAATCAGCCTCTCGACGATCCACTCAGACAGAACAGCTTGACACTTTGGGTAAAGATCAAGCCAAAGAACTTGTTGCAAGAATTAATGCTGCCTATGAAGATGACGCTGAATCGTTTTTCAAAAAGAAGCCTGCACTTCACAAACTTCAACTTCTTCCTGAGCTTACAGAAGCTTGTAAAAAAGTATACTTGCAAGGATATTTGATTGAAGAAGGAATTTTGAAATCATTAGAAAGATGGCTTGTACCAGAAAAAAAAGATTTACCTCCACCCAATATTAACATTCAAACAGGAGTATTGAACATTTTATATGATTTACCAGTATCCAAATCCATTGACGATGATGAAAAAGTTTGTATTACCAAAGGCCACTTGAAATCATGTAGAATTGCTAAGGCTGTAAAGCAAATTGCTAATAATCCTAATGCACCAGCCAATAATAGAAAAATTGCAAAAAAGATTGTAGAGAAATGGAGCAGATTAGTTTATCAATTACCCTCTGAATATAGAGAAGCGTACAAACATCGACGCCCTATTGCGGTTGACGATCAGATGGCAGATGAACACACCTCAATTACTCCTAAATATGCCACTGCTTCAAAAAGTAGTTTTGAGTCACAACAACCTCCAAGAAAAAAGAAGCTTGCAAATACAAACTCCATTCGTGCAAGCATCCCTAAGAAAGAAAGTTTTGATTTTGTAAGGCTTCCACCATCTAAAGAACAACACAAAAAAACAATCGTTGAAAATGAAACTCATAAGAGACTTTTGAGCGTTGGCAGTTCAAGCAGAAGAAAATAAAGTTGTGGAAAGAAGAAGACTTTCACCAGTGATTTGATTGGGAAGTTGTTTATTGGTTGCTCAACTGTTCATAGCCATGCCTATCATCGTCACATGGATGAAGACCTTTCATTCTATGAGTCGATGCTGCTTCCTTATCTACCAACTCCAATTCGTGAGAGATCCTGAACGTGGCTTGAACCAGCAACGCTTTAAATTCCAATACACAAAAAATATTCAGGTATGTCGTGATGATTCATTCCATTTGTCTGATTCGAATCGGACTGTGTTGGCTTTCAAATGTGGATTGAATTGTATGAATATAATAATAATATTAGTAATGATCTCAGACGTGCAATTAGGTGTTTTTGCTAATTTTATGGGTGTGATGATCATGGTTCTTTTGGTCATCTACCACTATGTTACAGCGTCTAGGGAGGTACGTAGTTTTGATATTGTTTAAATTCATACGATTATATTGATTCGATCAGGATTAAACTCTCTGATTTGAAACAAATCGCTAGCCACTCTCTTAACAACTACACCACCATCCCGAACCGACCCGTTTTTGCTAGCTTTCCCCATTCCAACACCATCACCACAACAGCCATTCAATAAAATCCTTCTTCTTAAATTCATCCCGACAATGTGATTGTTTTATTGCCATACTTTCAGGAGAGATAGCTCGCAACAACGATCATTGGTGGGTTGGGTGGCGCTCTGGCGGTTTGCCATTGGCCTTTCTCTACGATTCCCTTCAAGAATTATTATTTAAAAAAACACAGCGAATGCTTGCATCATCATTAGCAAATGAAAAAGAAGGAATTTAAGGGTCTCGACCTCATTTCGTATGATGTCGACATGAACGTGCATGATTTAACGAAAATAGCAAACCGAATTTTAGAATCAAAAGGAGGAAACACCGCATTCAAGAAAAGTAATCCCTCAATTTTGGGCCAAATTGACACATCGGATGTAGTCGATCAGGAAATGTACAATGAAATTATGAAACAAAACAGAAGTTTGCAAGTGTCAAATACTTCAATGATGGAAACAAGCCTTTCTCAACAGACAAGAACCATGCTTCCTTTGTTCAAAGCTCACTCACGATCATCAGACAAAAAAGGACAACAAGTAGAATCTCTATTGAGCGATAATGTGGTTGCAAAAATACCAATCAACAAACACTTCAAAGAATCTAATTTTGTGGATCAACCTCCAGAAGTTTTAGAAAAATGTTTGAGAGACGAATATGCAGCAAGATATTTGGAAAAATTGAACATTTCTGTCACACAAAAAAACCTCAAGATTGTCAACAACATTTTACCAATCACACATTGTGTAGCTCACAAACATAGAACACCCAATAACGAGCTATACTTGTCGTTCACTCCACAACCACATCTGGTTGCTGGAAAATGTGGCACCAACGCCTCAATGTCACTCAGCGGATTAACACCAACAAGAGTTGCAGATAAGGCAGAGTTTGAATATCGTGTGATGGAAATAATGGACAAGGAAATGTCAAATCTTAATTTTCAAGCTATTGCAAATGGCGAACCAAACAAGACCTCTTTAGTAGAAGAAAAGGGATCTCTTCAACTTAAACCTGAAGAGTCAAATCATCCCAAAACAGGACTTGTTAATAAGGAAGGGAAGCTCACTGTACCAAAGTTTGAGGAATATAAGAAATATATTTATCCTTACAATCTTATAAGAGAAAAGTTCATGTTAGACGGTGAAAAAGAGGAGATGGAACAATCAATATATGAAAGACATCAATACAACACAATGATGATCGAACGAAGTCGAATGGCAAGAATGCAATCATTTCTTATTAAGGACTCTAATCGATCTCTAAGTCGTTCGAACTTGAGGATGAAAGATACATTTGAAGAAACAGGAAGAAGTAAGTATTACATATCAATTTGATAAGTATATGGACACAATTATTCTACACTTGAGCGCAACAGGTAAATCAGTTCTTGGAAAGAACAATACAAACCAAGTATTGGATTTTCACTTCAACGAACAATTTAAATGTACGTTGTTCATTTGATTCCAGACCATTAAACCAATCACTAATAGTTGATGAGAAAGAGTTGGAAAAAACTCCTCACTTATCGTCGTTTGAAATTGTGGAGTTACAAAATAGTTTCTTCGAAGAATTTCCCTTCCAACGTTGGAACTGGATTTCAGAGAAACAAAAAAGATCAATTGCAAAGGACATTACAGACATTAAGCTTAGTACGTTTCTTGTGTATTTTTGCAAATATTCTCAAACTGTTTTGTTTATTAGCCACCTTCATTAAGGTTTTTATTGAGTTTTGTTATTGGACGTTCTTACAAGAATTCTCAAAAGAAGTGGTGGATCGGTAAGTCAATTTAGTTCAGTGGTGTTTTAAAGATAACACAATGGTAAAGGTATGACCTTGAAAAACGATTTTTGTCCGCTTATGAAGATCTAATTGAAGATTTTAAAAAGTTCAGAGGTAGCAAGATAAAAGTGACTACTAATCATCCAATAATTCTGCTGTGCATTCGGGTGACAACAGAGAGTACATTAAGGATATGCTACCAAACATTTTGCAAAACCAAGTACTTTTTGACGCTTTGTTACAAAATGTCATCGTTAGTGTCCTTTTTATTCGATCCAGACTCTGATGTACTCAGCAAGCTACCTCCCATTGAATGTAAGTGTTGTTGAGTTTGTAATTAATTTGAATATTTCGTGACGATTTGCAGCAAATGCCAAAGAACGAAAGATTATTGAAAAACTTTCTCGAATAACAAGGAAAGATGAGCTGGTGTCAACGAAGCGAAAAGCAAATTCTGTCTCTCCAGTGATGACAAGCGTGCTACTGTCGTCTCCATTGAGAGACAAAAACTTGGAGTTCTCGGACAACCTGTCCAAACGAATCATCAAATCAGTTGTTTCAGTGTTGAGTGAAGACTTGAGAGCGAAATTGATGAACATCTACATGAAGAAATCAAAATAATAATACATCATAAATGCCCTATTATTTGATGATTTAATTTACTTTGAAAGATGTTCGTATTTATATCCAAAGATGTCTGCACGGCCAATAATTTCACCACCACGGTACATAATATATCCTGCAATTAAAGCTCCCATAAACACTGCAAACTCACCAACAGTGATTTCACCTGGCTGAGTAATTCGTTGTTGGAAATAACAATATTCCTTCTTTAATTGGGTGATCTTGTGTGGGAGAGCAGCAGCGGTGATCTTGAAGTATCTACTTCTTGCTTCCCGTTGTGCTTTTACTACTTCTTCAAAATCAAGAGAACTCAATTCTTTCACGTGTTGTTCTCCGGCCAAATTATTCATGGAAGCAGCAAAAGAGTTTTCCCATGAAAGGGCCTTCTTTTCGGTTGCCTTGCCGATTCTTCCAGCAATGCGGGAGAAACGTTTCAAAATACTTCTCTTACCCATTTTTTTTGCGTCTATTACAAAGTTTATTTATGCCGCTTGATGGAAAGCACAAGACCATGATGAAAGCTAAGGCTTGGATTCATAAGGATTCAAGAAGAACAGAATTCGGAATGATGAAAAACCCTGTTGGTCTTTAATTCAGCTTTTTTAAGCCCTTTAATCTACATGGGTACAAAATTTAAGCGTTGATTTGTGGATATTCAACGGATGGTTCAAGTTGTTGTGAAGCCTTTTCTTCTCAAGAGTTTCCCAAATTTCAATTTGGGCCATTACTTCATCAGAAGCACAGTAGAAGATCAAGCCACATTCATCACAAACTGAGAAAGTATTTTCCTTCATAACCCAGAATTGCATATCGGTAGTATGATAATCAATATCGTTAGCTTTCCAACAATCTCCCAAACAACCAACAACACGTTCTGGTTCTCCTCTAGAAGCAACTATGATTGGATTGAAAAGGCTAGAACCCACTCCTGATTCAATATCAACAACTTCAGGCTGTTGTAGGATTAAATACAATCGTCATCATGAAAATAATAATAATATTGGTAAAATATATGATGATGACAATTTGTATTACTTACAAGGTGATCATCAAAAAGAGTTGGATCCAACAATTCAGCACGTTCAGATCCCACAGCTCTTTCAAAGACTGTTGGCAAATTCAACCAGTAATTTTCCAATTCTGGATCCTCTTGTGATGGTTGTGGTGTTGGTTCCATTCTTACTTTGATGGCCTCTTTGTCATATTGTCTTTTAGCGACTTTGTCCTCATTGAAGAGGGAAAGAGCGGTGTGGTATGGCTTTTGGTTATATCTGAATTGTGTAAGAGACTTGCTGAATACTCTTCTCAACATTTTTAGTGCTTTTTTTGTTGCAGCTTGTGTTCTTCATTTTTGCCAAAACGGGGTTTGTTGACTGTTACAACAGCATTTCAGCGCTTCTTTCATCATACTCGAGAAAAGATGAAAAAAATTAAGTAGAAAGAAGAGTCCTCTTAGTTTCAAGAGATATCGAACAAGATTAAGAAACATTGCCGCTTATTGGAGTCTCGATATTGATACGATCATCGCCATTGTGCCTCTAACTCGGTTCCAAAAAAATGAATCAATTTCGAGTGACCTTTTCGGATGACGAAGAAGAAGTAAACAACCACAGCCAATCTCATCACTTCGTACACGAAGAGGACGATGATGAAGAATTATTCTTGGGAAGAGAGACAAATAAAAGAGGTTTTTATGCCGAGGATTTAGAGGAAGAAGTTCAAGCTGATCCGTTGTTCCAAGCAAAAAAACATGAATTGGAACAAAAACGAAAATACAGGAGATTGTCTACTGCATTTATTGCTTCGGTTATTGTTGTAGCTACGCTTTTGGTGATTTTAGGATTTTCTATTTATTTTAACGTGTCATTATATTTTGGAGAGAAACCACAATCGGAATGCCTTTTTGTTTTTAATGAAACCTTTCCGATCGACCCTAAAACCTTTAGAGAAACTCGTCACAATAATTTACTGAGATTTTTGGAAGTTTTTGAACCAACCCATTCAGAAGATGATTATGTCATTCATATACCTAATACTGAAAGATATAGATCGGAGATGTAGTAAGTAATTTCCACAGAGTTTTGCGTGCTCATTTAAAAATTAGTTTTCTCTCTGGAATTTCTCAATCCTCCAATCTTCTATCCAACTCTCATTTATTCTTGTCATTAACAAAGAATTCATCGATTTTATGTATGAATTATGGCAACACCAACTCATTTACATTAAGCGAAGGTTCATATGTAGATTTTATTATATTTGGATATCAATCATGTCTTCAGGGCATCAAAGGCCAAAATTTCACGAAAATATTAAGCGTATCTGCAGATTTCAGCGATTTCTTTCCAAAGATTGAGAATGTAACATGGTCCCAAAATAATGACATCATTATTACTATTTCAACATTAATAGATGAAATGACACAACAAGACAAGATGATGTACCATTACATTTCTCGCTTGTTGGAGAATCTATTTACTTCTACTACAACAACGCTTTCTCAAATGGCCATTCCTTTTAGTGAAGAGGCAAACAAGTTCAATGAAGAGTATTTCAAAAGATTAGATTCATGCGTATCAATCAATACAAGGATTGGATGGCCTCAATTTAAGGTATTGGAGTCATCGGTTCAAGTTAATGGGGTGGAAATGAAGACACTAAGTATGGAATCATCATACTCATATCTTAATAAGAAATACTCAACAGCTGACACCATTTCACTAAATTACAACAATACGTTATTTGACAAGCTAGTGAACATCATAGATAGTAATATCGAACAAATAGAAAAGTACAAGATCGACGAAGGAAGGAAAGCCATTGTTTTACAGAGTTTGATCGAAAGAAATACGATGCAAAACCTTCTGAAAATGGAGATAGTACAGAAAACAAATGCGTCGCAATCTCACTCTGACTTTATTTCTAAATTACAAGAAGAAAACTTACCTCGACTATTTATTTCTGAAATTATGATACAAAACGTAGAAGGATTACCTGTAAATAAGATAAGCCTCAATAATGGCCTGATATTCGACTTATCTCTCAGATTTCCTTTTGGTGAAGAACTCAAAAAAGTTAATACAGACTACAGTAATTTGCTCACCATACACACAGAACAGGTACTGAAAAGTGTTGGCTCTAAACTTTTGAAGAAAGTTATGTTCATTGTGGGTAACGATGGAATTTATTCCATTAAGAAATTGTAAATAATAATTTACATTAAATTGAAATGTTTATTTGGATGCACTTTTTGGGTTGCTGGCACTTCTCGTTTTTTTCTTTTTCTTTCTGTTGGCAAAATCTTCTCTGGCTTTATAACATTTGTAGGCTAATTTGATAATATCAGCAGACATTTGGATTTTTCTTTCGGCGTCTTCCTTTTCCTTTGCGTTGGTAGACCTATCGAATTCTTCTTGAATCTGTTTGTCTTGTGTTTCAAGTGCATATCTTTCCTCTAACTTTTTAAGCTTGTCAATCTGTTCCTCTCGCATTGCCTCCCAGTGAATTATTTTTGATCTTAATTCTTCAGACTCTTTCTCATACTTCTCTCTCCAATATTCTCCTTTTCTCTTGAGCTCATCCGTCTTTTTTTCAAGAAAGTTTTTAATTTGAGAAAACACGTTCTTCTCAACTTCGAGCTCAATATTCTTTTTCAGAGATGTTTCTTCTAGCTTTAATAGAGCACTACTTTCTCTTCGTCTTCTCGACTCGAACGCAGCTTCTTCTGTGGCATGTGTCTTGGAGTCCTCATCCGCAGTTAACTTTTTCAGCTTTCGTAGTTTGTTGAGAAGAGTGTTAACCTTTGTGCTTCTGTCGTCCACTTCACTCTTCTTGAGCTCTTTTTCTTTAATTACCTCATTCTTCAATTTGTTGACTTGTTCAAGAGTTTTGCCCTCAATTTCGGTAATGTGTTGTAAATATTGTTTCTTTTCTTTTTCTTCAGCAACTTTCTTCATAAATGACTCGTACGGCACATCAGGTCTAATACTTTGAGGTGTTGATGAATGCTCACCATCTTCCTCATTTTCCTCAGCTGCAGCTACAGCAGAGTAATTGAGCCCTTTGTATTTTGGAGTTGTAGATTTTGCTACTGGAGGAATCAATCCTGCTTGAATCTCCCGAAGCAAAGTCACGAATATGGTTTGGATTTCATGGCGTTCTGATTGAATTTTTTTCCAATTTTCTAACTCGTTAGGTGTTTCTTTAAGATTTCGACACAATTTTCGAGTATTTTCTTTCAGTTTAAACTGAATCAATTCCAATTCTTCTTTGATTTGATTAATTTCTTCAATAGATCGTGACATTGTATTATCTTGCTTGTGAGCTCTTAGAAAATATGACAGCTCTTCATATCGCTTTCCAAGAACTTTTTGGTCTTCTAAAATGTTGGCCACTGCGTTTGTTTCTTGATCAAGAGCATCTTCCTCACCCTCTTCCTTGTCATCTTGATCATCGTTTCCCATGAACTCCTTAATATCTCCAGAAAGCAAATCCAATAATTGGAGCTTCTCGAGAGTATCCTCAATGATAGCACTTGCTCTCAATGCAAAAATCGGAGGAATGGTATAATCAGTTGCGTTTTTCGACTTCCAATGCCTATTATTTGTTCTGTTTTGTTGTCGTGATACATGTTTTGCCGGTGAGGTTGGAGTTGAGAGCATTTATGTGTTGTATTTTAATGATTTGATTCAATCGGAAATTGTTGATGATCTTTGTGTATCTCAGAGTACGAACTTGTTGAATTTTTTGAATTTTGTAAATCAAGTATTGGCGGGTGAGTCGAGTCCGTGCAGAGGGAACGTCAAAAATTTTCGACAATACAAGCGCCACATCAAATTATGTCTCAAAGGTTGTAAGTTTTAATAAGCACACATCAAATTGTGTCTCAATAATAATGCAACAAGTTAGTTGTTGAAAATTACTTTCTTTTTCATGGCAGCAAACTCCTCTTCGTCAATGAGCCCTCGTTGCAAGAGAGAGGCAAGTCTTTCAATTTCGTCGATAGCAGCACTTGATTTCAGTGGTACAGTGTTGGCAGTTGAAATTCTATTCTTTTCTAAATCACCCATATCTCGATCAGTGACTTGATTAATATCCTTATATCCTTTTTGTTGTACAAAATTGTGCATTTTCGATGTAGCTTGTTGAATTTGTTCATCTGCATCATTATCTTGATAGGACGATGTTGAAGAAGCTTGATATCCAACTTTTCCTGCAGTTGGCCTTGATGGTGTGGTTGGAGGCTTACTTGAAGGAATGGTTGGAGGAGTTGGTTTTGATGAAGTGCTCGTGTAAGAATTGTCCACATTGCTCGATGGTCTCGAAGGTACACTTGGAGGGTTTGGCTTTGAATAACCTCCATACGAGTTGCTGCTTGTGCTTTCATTGAGATTATTGGAGCTTCCGAATCGAGAGCTTGGCTTTGGAGGAGCATTTGGACTATTACCACCCATGTTTGGAACACCTAATGAAGGGAGTGATGAAGGTGGAGGAACCATAGGCTTGCTATTGAGAGCCTTATTCGATGATGGCAACACTGGTCTTGCATTATTGGAATAAGATGGTGATGAATTAGCGCTTGATGATGTTGGTGATTGATCTGAGCTTGGTGGTGAAATCGATGAAGGCTTTGATCCAGGTACTGGAGGAGGTACACCACGAGAAGGTATTTGTGGAGGTTGTTGTTGTTGTGGAGAGCTTGTTGTATTTCTAGTGCCAGGAACTGGAGGAGGCACACCACGAGTCGATGATGGAACCGGAGGAGGTACACCACGAGAGGGAATCTGTGGAGGAGGTTGTGAATGGCTTGATGATCGATCATCATCGTCATTATTATTACTATCATCATCATCATCAAAGGAAGGAGGTCTTCGGGTCGGAATTGATTTCATACCTCCTGGAACTATGGGAGGTTTTCCAAATCCACCACCACCACCACTACTGCTGTTGTTACTACCTCCTGGAACCATTGGAGGTTTACCAAAGGAAGGCTTTGAAGAGGGCATACTTGGTGGAGGGGAGTTGCTACCACCACCACTTGATCCTTTGCTCATTTGCTTTCTTCTAATTTCATCCATCATTGGATTACCGGTTGGAACAAAACCACCCATTCCACCACCAGAAGAGCCTCCTCCTGAACCACTACTACCACTACCACCACTATAACCACCACCACCTCCTGAACTACTGCTACCACCACCACCTTTTGGTGTTTCAATCAAGGCTCCATCACGAATATTCTTTTGACTTTCTGGGACCTTTTTCAATTTTTTACCCTTTTCAATATCGTTGAGAAGATTGGCACGTCCTGCACTCGAGGGAGGTTTCACAGCCACCATGTTGGTTGGTGGAGGAGGTGGTGACGACACACCTACAGGGGGAGGAGGGACTGGCATGACGATCGTGTTTGATCTGGTTTAAAGTTGCGATTATTTTTTTAATGATTGGTAAAATGACAGTTGCCTGTCCGTCACCCATCTCGTTTGTGTGAATGGGAATTTTTCGGAGTTAGGGTATCAAATTGTGGATGAGATTATTGAAGCTGATTATTTGATTACAAATGTCTGACAGCGTTTGCATCATGATGACCATCACCGCCAGATGGGAGAGCCTTGGAGAGGATACATCTATTCACAACAGTCACATTGGTATGAGATGGTGTGATCATCGTTAGTATGAGAAACGTATTCAAGAAGATCAATGTCCTACCTCAATCTTTGTGCAAATTAATGCAGCTGATTTCTTTTTGTATGAGAAGCAGTAATCACAAAGTTATTGCAAATCTTGACACGAACTGATTTCAATCTTTTGGAATGATATAAACTTCATAAGGGCCATGTGATGACAATATTGTAGAGGTTGCAGAATTTGGTAAAAACAAAAGCACTTGTGCAAATAATTGATAAGTTCCAGGTTCAAGAGATGTAGTCTGAATGTTGAGTGGCTGTTGTTGTGTGAAAATCATGTTCTGTTCATTTTGGGTAAACTCTTCAAATTGAAATGTCTTCTTTGTTTGTAAAAGAGTTCTTGATTTCTCAACCTGTGAAAGTGAAGTGACAAGTTGAAGGGAAATAGATCTCAATGCAAGATTTGATTGAGGCCCATGTGCTGAGTGATCTTGATGTTGTCTTGTAACGGAGAAATTATATTCAATTGTTTCTCCTTGTTTGATGAAATTTGAGCTTAGTGAAAAGTGTGTTTGTAAACCTGTAATAGCACTTTGAATAATATCATCTTTTGCAGGAGTTGGAAGAGTACCTTGCCATTGTTTAGGTGCAAGTATTCTTAGAGATGGATCTTCGAATGCCATTGGATTAAATGGATTATGAGTGTCTTTGGTAGATTGTCTCAATTTTGTAAGGGCATCATCTGAAGTGATTGTGTTAGTATTGAATCGAATGAAACCAACTTGTCTTAATCCTTTTCTTCTCAATTCATTTCTTAACTCTGGAAGAAGTGTGGAATATAATTGTGTGACGTTGGTCGCATTTGAAATTCCAGAAATTGTTGAAGCTTTCACTCTTCGAGTCGTTGGTATATTCTCTGTTTCATCCGTCTTTACGAGATAGGTATCTAATAAGCCTGTTTGGTTTTTGTTATTTGAAGGGGGAGCTTTTTGAGCAGGTTCATTAATTTTCTTATTTTCTTTTCCTGTAATTTCTGTCATTCTTTTTTTGAACGATTCTTTTTTTTGTACATCTTGTTCCAATTCTCTATTTCTTCTCCATTCTAAGTCCATCAAGTCATCGTGGTCTTTTTGAAATCTATTGTTGTGATTAGGTCTTTTCGAATAAATTGATCTATCGGACAACACATTGTATTTTTCAACTTGAAGAGTTTCAGGATTAATTTTATCAAACATTTCTCTTTCACTTCCAACTATTCTTCGAATGCCTTCATTGGAAGAAATTGATTGATCTGTAGTGTTAGAGTTTAACAACCCACTCATCACAGCAGTTGAGGAAACAATTTTAGGAAATACCTAAAATATTAAAATAATTATTATTACAAGCATTCATATTGAATATTAGATGAATTTTGATTCCGTTAATAATGATCAAACATGTTCAACAACACGTACAATATTCATAAATTGTGCAAGGAGAGAGCTGCGTCCCTCACCACCATTTTGTTGTGTTTCCGAATGTAGTTGTTCGTCCAACAATGGATGGTGGTTGCAATGATCACTACTCATCAAGTGCGGAAATTTTTTTAACGAGAGAGCCTCTTCGAGAACTCTTGAATGCCACTAGAGAAGGGTCCTTATTATTTTTGCTTGAAGATTATTCGATGATGAGGTGTTTCATCTTCAACGGGTTGCTTTCTTTTTCGATCATGCACCGCTCGAAGGGTCCATTACGATAAATATACCAGTTGAAGAGAGTGTTAAAAAAATGTCCAAATCGATTGCCAAGACATGTTATGATGTGATTATTACAGGTATGTCTTTGAGAGTTTTGTTGTGCTTCATTGATGAAACTGATCGAATGGAATCATCATCAATATTTTCCAAAAAAAATCATTCCGTAATGAATTTTAAAAATTTCAACCTTTCATCACCAAATGATAACCCCATGATAAAATGACATTTCTTTCACACACATGTTCTCGATGATGATACGACTTGAATGGTTCTGAATTCCATCAAATTCATCACTATATTATTGAAATAGGTGGAGGTCACAATGGTCTCGTCTGTGCAGCGTATATTAAAAAAACAATGCCCTCTCTTTCTGTTTGCGTTTTAGAAAGAAGACATGTGACAGGTGGTTGTGCAGTGTCAGAACAAGTCCATGATGGATATAAATTCTCACGTGCTTCGTATTTGTGTAGCTTGTTTAGAGGACATATTATGGATGAATTAGATTTGAGAAGAAGAATTAAATTAATTCCTAGAAATCCCTCTTCCTTTACTCCAACTTTGAATGAAAATGAATTTCTATTTTTGGGAAGTGATGGAGAAATGAATAAGAGAGAAATTTCTAAATTTTCCAAAAAGGATGCTCAAAGATTTGATGCTTATGAACAGCAATTACAAAAAGTAGCACAAAGTGTTGAATACTTGTTAGATTGTGGTCCACTTGATTTGGGTTATGATGAAAATGCAAGTGTGAAAGATTTATTATTTTCGGATTCATTTGGCATTTTGAGAAATAAGGAAAATAGAGAAAAAGTAAAAAGATTATTGGATGCTGCACGTGAACTTGGATTAGGAAATACTAGTTCTGCACTTGATATTTTCTTGAGGTACGTAAATTACAAGATGTGAAAGATGTAAAATTCTTGACATGAAACAGTCCTGCAAAGAAGGTATTGGATCATTGGTTTGAAAGTGATCTCTTGAAAGCAACACTCTCTACCGATTCTATTATTGGTGAATATTGCTCTCCAACCACTCCTGGATCTTCCTACGTGTTGTTGCATCATGTCATGGGGTATGTTCATTCATGTGTGTTTTTGATATTGTCAATATTGTCAACAATTATTGATCCATAGTGATATTGGGTATGGAAAAGGTATCTGGGCCTATGTTCAAGGTGGTATGGGTGCTGTGACACAAGCTCTGACTGAAATTAATAAGGAACTTGGAGTGGATGTGTATACCAATGCACAAGTCAAACAATTTACTGTGAATTCAAATACTAATCGTTGTACTGGTGTTGTTCTTGAAGATGGAACAGAAATTACTGCCACTAAAGCTGTTGCTAGCAATTGTGATCCTCACACTACCTTTAGAAAGGTAAGTTACACAATGTCATTGGGAGATCATCATGTTGACACCTTAATACTCGTCATTTGTTCTAAATTTCACTTATTTTCACAACATTTTTCAAATATTCACAAATATGGATTATATTTTCTTTCATGTGATCCTTGTTTTCAATATCATTTATTGACAATTCTCTTGCACATGATCCTTTTTTTTAAACACCTAATGAATATAGTTAATGAATCAACAAGATTTAAATTCTACCTATGGAGAAGAATTTGGAAGAAAGGTCGATAACATTGATTATTCAAATGCTACTTTCAAAATTAATCTAGCTGTGAGTTCTCTTCCAAGATTTAAATGTTTCTCAACTCCAAAAGAGTCAAGAAAGAGTAATGGAAGTGGAAAGGAACACTTTGGAACTATTCACTTTGAGACATCAATTGATGAAATTGATCAATCTTATTTGCAAGCTAAATCATCACAACTCTATTCTGATAATCCAGTAATTGAAATGACCATTCCAAGCTCATTGGATGAAACTCTTGTTAAGAATAAGGATCATCACGTCATTCAATTGTTCACACAATATGCTCCATATGATTTGAAAGAAGGTCACGTTTGGAATGAACAATTAAAGAGAGATTATGCAAATAAGGTTTATGATAAAATTGAATCATATGCACCTGGATTTAAGAATTCCATCATTGGAGAAGATTTATTGAGTCCATTGGATTTGGAACAAACCTTTGGAATGAAGAAGGGAAATATTTTCCATGGATCTATTCGATTGGATCAATTATGGATGAATCGACCATTTAGAGGTTTCTCTAATTATCGTTATTTCGATAAGAAACATGGAGTAGGATTGAGTAATTTATACTTGTGTGGAGCTGGTGTTCATCCAGGTGGTGGAGTGATGGGAGCATGTGGTTATAATGCTGCTCATGCATTGTTGAGACATTTGGGATATCAATAAGAGAGTGTTGTGTCTCATGATATTGCACAACCTTATTGAACTGTTGTGTGACACGTGTGTGTTCATGAAATGATGAAAATAATAATTTCGACCATAACGTGTAGGTGCAATAGTAATGTCATCACATTCATAAATATATATTTTACTAGTACGATAGGAACTTCATAATAATTTTTACTAGTACGATAGGAACAACACACAATACTGAATCGGTATGGGTTGACGTGTTAAAGATTTTTGATAATGGCATTCACAAGTGTTTCAGTATTTCCTTTTCCTCCTAAATCTGGTGTTATCACACTCTGATCATTCATGACAACATCCACTGCTTTTTCCATTTGATCTGCAATTGGATTCAAGAATGAACAGTGTACAGGATCATGTTCTTGTAAAAATCTTAATAACATGGCACAAGCTCGAATGGTTGCAATTGGATTGGCAATTCCCTTTCCATAAATATCAGGAGCACTACCATGAACTGGCTCAACCAATGCAAAGCTGTCAAGCATGATACAACAACGAAATTCTCGATTTTAAAAAACAAATGAAATTAAAAAACACATACCTGTCACCCATGTTGGCAGATCCAGTAACGCCCAAACCTCCAACAAATGCTGATGCAGCATCACTCAAAATATCACCATACAAGTTAGGAGCAACTAGAATAGATATTAATTCATTGGACAGAATGTAACCATTGTGTGGAGTGATTATGTGTTCAGAAAATTCACAATTTAGAAAATCAAGTGCAATCCATTCATGAATGTGTTCATTGATGGTAATGAAAATTCCAAACATCGTATATTTACATACCCACCACATCATATTGAGTTGGATCCAAAATCATCTTGTAAACCATTGAATCCACTAATTGTTCTTCAACTTTCACTTGTGGATACTTTTTAGCAACTTGTAAACAACTCTCTCTAAATAAACCATCACTCACACTCAACACATTTGATTTGTGAACAATGGTTACTTTTGGAGAATTCTTCTTATTTCTTTGAATGGCCAATTTGAAAGCCATTTCTGCAATTCTCTTACTAGCTCTCTCTGTAATTAATCGTTCAGCAATTGCAATTTTTTCTCCGCTTTGAGGATCAACAGATAATTTCTCTTTCTTAATGTAGAGACATTCAGTATTTTCTCTCACAATTAACATGTCAATTCCTTTTTTAACATCTTGACATGGTCGAATATTGGCATAGAGATCTACAAGCTTTCTCATTGCAACAATTGGAGAGCTGTATCCTTCCACTCTGTTATTGAACAAGAATATTTCAAGAATATTTCAAAACGAGTATTGATTTCATTTCAAAACGAGTATTGTGTTAAAATAATTCATGAAAATTTCACACTTACTTGTGACTTGGAGATTGAACAGATCCAAAGATGGCACCATCACATTTTGTTTTTAATGCTTCAACTGTTTCAGAAGGTAAACTCTTTCCACTCTTTTCAAAAGTTTCCCATCCAGCTTTTGAAAAAAAGAATTGTGAAACATTTTCAGTATGTGAACATACAAACCTTCTAAGGGAATATATTTCAAGGAGAAATCTTGTTGTTTTGCTGCAACACTCTTAGCAATGGCAGCATTCATTACTTGAATTGCTGCAGGTACGACTTCTTTTCCGATTCCTAAAATGGAATTGATTTTGAAATATTTCATCATGATTTTACATGGATTAAATATGGTCATTGAGAATTTATCAATCCAGCAGGATCACAAAATGACCAGCACAATATTTCATTTGAACTTACCATCAGCTGGAATGACACCGATCACTTTTTGAATGTATCTCATTTGATGTTGTTGTTTTCCAATCAATGAAAATAAAGAATTGGCAACACTCGAGGAAGAAGCAATCGATTTAAACATGTTGATGTGACAATTTGAAAGGGTGTGTTGTTGATGAGTTGGACGTAATGTTTTTGAAAAGAGTTTTTTTTCGCGCTTTTATTTTTTAGTTGGGAAATTCTCCAAGTTTCCAACTGGCAGTGTTTCCTAAATTGTAACAATTGGCATTGAGAAATTCAACTCATGCGCACACGTAGTGACATCATAACAGAACACAACCAGTCAGTCATAGGAGAAATCTTGCACGTTTGGTTGTATCAATTGTTGTAATAAATCTTCAGGTTGATTCAAATTGGCATTCACATAAAAACTCAAATATTGATTATTGGTTCTTTTAGCAATGAAAACAAATGCGTTCTGCAAGTCGACATCTCGCTTCAATTCACGAACGGCATGTATAAACAAATTCATGGATTGATTTAAGTGTTGTAATATAAATTCCTTATTCTTTTTGAATGAAATGTCGAGCAACATGGAATGGTAAGGTATCATGGACTTGACAATTTGTAGGTTGCATTTGAGATTCTTGTTGAACACTGTATAATAAAATGGATTCTTTGAAATCAATTCTAGAGCTCTCTCAACAGTGTTACACTCTTTCGCATATTTTACATTCAATTCAGAAATACCATAAATCCTAACAAACTCTCCAATAGGTGCAATCGCTTTTCTGAGATCTGAAAACCACGTTTTAAGTAGTCCCAGTTGTTCGAATTGATTCATTCCTTTCGTTAAATATAGTACCTGTGTCATTATATCCATAATTAAAAGCTTTTCAGTAGACAATCTACCAATGCAAATACAAGCATCCTTATTTGCCAAACCAAAATGGTCTCTAGTAATGTTTGATAAATAATCCCATTCTTCAATTGGATAAATTATATTACTTGGATGAACAAGCTTTAAATTCCAATTTGGTCTTCCGTTGGTTTGTGATAAGAATGTCTTCCAATGCCATGAAAGTTTAAAATTAAAACACAATTCAAGTTTTTCAATCTCTTCTTGTGAAGGAGCCTCTTCTTTGAGTGGAACAAGACAACATGAATTCAATTGATTCCACAACTCTAATAGTTCAATTTTAGATAGTTCAATATAGGCAGCTTCATATTGAGAACATATTAATCGACAATTCAAACATCGTGATCTCTCATCTAGAAATTGCATGATTTTGAAAATAATTTCGGGAAGTAAAAGATGAGAGTGATCTGTTGTTGTTGTTTCTATTGTTCGTAGTAACGGAGATGAGTCTTTTTTCATTGAATGATCAAGAACTAAAGATGGAGTTTCTTTAAATTTCTTTGATGATAATTGTTCGGATTTCACTCGTAACGATGCTTCATTTCTTTCATCAACAAGTTTTTGATCGTCATTCTCAATAAGACTTCGTTTCATTTTTATTCGTTGTTGCAACTTTAAAAGCAATGCGAATGTTCAGTCACACACACTCATTCATTACACTGCACACAGCTTCAATGAAATTGAAAACTATAGTGCAAGTTTGTGTTTCGGAACGAAAGATCAAAGGGTGTGTGCCAAGAATCAAACGAGTTGTGCATGAATCACGGATGATCAAAGAGATTCAAGAATCGCATTGTCTCAATTTCACTGTTTAGATGGAACACGGCACTGTTGCAAAATTGTGATTGGATTCTCCAAATGCCCATCATTATATGGGCATCCAATGACTTGTAAAACATTAAAAGTCCTCATTCAGAAAATAATAGAATTTAAATGATTCAACTGTAGATGAGGATGAGATTGGAGAAATTCTCCGTTCGAGCACATACGCGAGTGTAGTATACTCTTTGCAGTCGGGTAAAAGAGATAAAGTGTATGGATTCAAAATTTTCATTGAGCCCAATGTTGGTTTGATCTCTTTTCCGAGACCATATGGAAAGAGAACAACATCTCTCCAACAACCTTCATTTGTTCATTCCATTTCTTGGTGATTGGCAGTGACAACTAGTTCCTCTCCATCATCTTGTGTTCCCATCAAAGCTGACAACCATATCATGTCCAAAATATTAGTAGTTTTATACATTATTTCCATGCTGCCCAATGTTCCATAGAGATGCAAAATGAAACAAACAACTCATGTCCAACGGGAGAATATTTCCCAATCGAATATCCAACACGACTTGTCATGGAAACCCTCTCACAAATTCAACGACGTTGGGCCACATCATTTATGGTCAACATCCCTACATCATGCACAAATTACCATTTACCTTGCCAAACACAACTTGCGCCGAGATTCTCCCAACTAAAAATTTCCTTCTTACCATTTCCAATCTGTCAAATTAAATACCATCCGTGTCAAGTCAACCAAGTTTACAAGCGAATTGATCATTATCAACAGATCGCAGTGTCACGCTGCGTGTTGTCTGTGTGCCCGACGCAGCTAAGCGTCGTTTGATCGTCTTGCAGATTCACTCAAATTCTCAAAGGCGCCACCAGCAGAGGGTGCGACAAAAAGTTGAAGATAAAAAAAATCAAACAATCAAAACGTTTAAAATTTACAGCTGATCAACAATCCGAACAGATCATCATCTTTGCATCACCCATTCATCCATTCATTCATTCATACTCATCCCCGAATCTATTGAAGCTTCCCAATAACAACAATCAGAAATGATGATGAATAACTCTTTATTACAGCCCTCGTTGCAAACATCTTGTTCTCCTCCTCCACCTCCACCTATGAAGATGTTGATGAATGATCCATTCGCTTCCTATACTGGCTCGTACACATTCCCATCCATGGTTGCTAATATGCAATGTAATGCTAGTCATTCTCCTACTTGCGCGCAACAGACTTCCAATCGTACTCATGCTGCAACTCTAGGCAATGTCAAGCAATGTGCAAACTACAAGTGTGGAACAACAAAGACTCCTCTTTGGAGAAAGGTATGTACTATTCGCTCGAGTGTATTGAGTGTCATCTCTTATTCAAACTTGGTAAAACGATCACACTATACCATCAACACACAAAATCCATGATTTTCATCATCCATTCAACTTTTTTATGGATCCACACACGCACGCACTGCCTACCTTCTTGTGCACAACAACCAAAACAACAAATTATAACATACATGATGTCAAATCTTTAAATCAGGGATGGACTGTTGAAGAACCTTCCTCTAAGAATGGCTACAAACCAAAGACTGTCTTTTTGTGTAACAAGTGTGGTCTTCACTACCGAAAAGGTCACTATTGCAAAGAGTGTTTAGAAATCTTCAAAGAAAGTGATATGAGAAATGAAAAACAATTTTGGCTCATTTGTTCTCATTGCAATCAATGGATTCACAAGAAGTGTATGAAAGAGACTTGTCAAGATGAAAGTAATTATGTGTGTTGTGAGTGTAAAGAGAACCCAAGTCGTACTCTCACAACGAAACGTAAGAAGAAATCCACAGTGAGCAAACAAGTCGCTTCTGCCAGTGAAGAAGAAGAAGAAGTAGAGGAAATTGCAATTCCAAAGAGAAGAGTTCAACACAAACGTTCCTATGAATCCTCTCAAGAAGAGACTGAATTCAAACCATCTCAGCCAGCAACTCCTCTGAGAAGAGAAGGATCCGTATCTCCAACTTCTCCAAACTCAATGCCATTCAAGAAGAGAATTAAGGGATCCTTGTCACCATCAACTTCACCAGAACCCATGATGCAACCATTGAAGATTTCTAGAATTTATTCAAAGATTGCATCTGAGATTGATGGATATACCACTGAGACATCATCTCCTACAACATCTGAGAATGAAGAAGACTATTCTCTTTCCTTCTCTCCAATCAGAATGCCAAGTGATGGCCCAAGAGTGTTCTTGATCAACCAACCAATGACGAACTCCTCCTCAGCCATTGACATGTTGGCATCGATTTGTGAACAAATGCAATAAGAGGTTCTTTCTCCTAATACCATCAAATGAATCTGTGAAGATTTTTAAAGGAGGTGGCAATTTTTCAAGCAGTCACTTTCTCTCTTTCACAGAACCCCTGCGATATTCACCACAATTTTGTGCTCTCCAACAACATTTGACTCCTTTTTGCCATTCGGAGTCTCTAGTGCAACCAAACACTCTAACAGACACCTAACTTTAAGTGAGCACTTTTCAAACTTGCGGATTTGAGATAACCTAACCATTACCAATTTTGCAACACTCTTTGTACAGACAAAATAAATTCAATGACAAATTTAAGTTCAATTCGTGGGTGAGTGCCAGCTCTTCTTCAAGGTGACCTGTCTTTTGCGATCATTAAGGTCCCAATAAGGAATGAACAAGACACCTGCTAGACGTTCAAAAACACACAACAAATTCATGTAATATTTAATTTTTTAGTTTATTGTGAGTTTGAAGAGAGAAAAGACAGATCATTTACAATCTACGACCACGTCTACCACCCTTTCTTCTTGTGGAATCGTGTGGAATTGGAGTAACATCTTCGATTCTTCCAATCTTGACACCTGCACGAGCCAAAGCTCTCAAAGCAGATTGAGCACCAGGACCTGGAGTCTTTGTGAGGACACCTCCTGTAGCTCTGAGTTTAATGTGGAGAGCATTGATACCCAAATCCTTGCATCTGACAACAACATCTTGAGCAGCAAGCATAGCAGCATATGGAGAAGCTTCATCTCTGTCAGCCTTGACCTTCATACCACCAGTAACTTTGACGATGGTTTCTTGGCCAGACAAGTCAGTAACGTGAACAAAAGTGTTGTTGAAAGAAGCATAGAGGTGAGCAACACCGAAAACAAGTTCGTTTTCACCCTTTCTTGGACCGTAGTATGCGGTTTCAATTTTTGCTTTTCTTTCCTTCTTTGGTGGCATGGCTAATTAACTGAAATGATGCAGAATTTTGATGATGAAACAGAGAGGAACGAAATCGATTACGTACTTTTGGCGTATTTTTTTTCAACAAATTTTTTAAAAAAGAGGGTCAACCAAAGAAAAAAGTTTACAATGGCTAAAAAATTCGAGCTCGGCTTTTGACAAGAAGTTCTTTCGTCCATTGCAACATGGTTGTTCAGCCATTCTTTCCGTTCTTGGGAGAAACAAACATCATTTCGTCCATGAAAATTTCTGGCAATTGCAGGTTTGAAGGTGTTGATCCATCGTTGAAAGTTTGAGCAAATATTGAGGACAGGCCGCTTGGAGTTGGAGAACAAAATGTTAATTGATTATCAGAAATACTTGTCGTGAAGCGAGGTGTAAATCCAGTAGGAAGAGTGTGCTCAGTTAACACTGAAACAGCACCTTCTATTCCAGTTGGTGTTGAAGTAGTGTGACAAATAACGCTAGAAGATCTATCCGAGCTGGTATCGCCACTTTTTTCCACTAAATTAATTCTTAAATTTTTGAATTTGTCTTTTCTATTGCATTGGTGAGAATTGTCATCTTCGTCTGCAGAGTTTTCTACATTTAAAGTTTCTTCTGATTCCAATTTAATATCGTTTTCGTTTCGTTTGAATTTCTTGCATGTGTCGTCTATGGGTTCCAGAGTGTCACGAAAAGATCTTTTGAGAGGGTTGCTGTCGGCAAGAGGTGTTGCAAGGAAAAGGTCATTGAACTCGGAGGATTTACATGAGAGTTGGGGATGATCTCGGTAGCATTCGCTTCTGCTTTGAGCTAAAACGTTTGCTTCGGTTAAAAATTGGTCCTGATGAATAACATGTTGTGATTGGACGGATTCATCTATTTTGACTTCGCTTGGGTCCTTTTTTGTTTTTGTTTTTTTCTCAAAACGCTTTGACAAAGTTGAATTCCAATGATTTTTGATTGCATTTGCAGTTCGTCCTTCTAAAGCTTTGCTAATTTTTGCCCATTGATTGCCATGTTTTTCGTGAAGCTCAATAATTATTCTATCCTCCTCTTCCGTCCATGCTTTTTTGTTAATTCTTGGATCCAAATGGTTCAAGTACCGTTCCCTACATTGCTTGCCCACTCTTCCTTCCAACTGGGAAGCAATAAAAGACCAACGCTTTGGTCCATGTTTTTTTACCAGTTGCAGTAATTTTTCGTCCTCTTGCTCACTCCATGAACCCTTAACGACTCCGGCATCACCTTTTGTGCTTTTTTTCTCGGTCGAGTCCATATCGTCTGATTCATATTCTGCGTGACCTTGTTGGCCGCCTTTAAACATGCTTGTGGATCCTGAGCACGACGCTTCTACACATGTGTTTTTCGTATTGGTGTTGACGGCGTAAGAGTTATTAAGCGTCGAATTGGATCCATTTAACATTGCTAAAAGTCTTTGATAGGTGAGAAACGAAATTTTAACAACCACATAAGGCTCATCCTTTTGTCCACACAGGTCTAAAATATGATCTCCAATAGCAGAAGAAAAACCTGAAAGATCCATTTGGTTAAATAGATGGGTAGTGTTACTTTGTTGTGGATGGGAGTGGCTCATTGAAGATTGTTGATGGATTGCATCACTGGAGCCTCGTGGGATGTTGGAAGTTATTTGAGGGTGGTGCTGGGGAATGATTGGGTGGCCTGTTGAAAGTCTTCGGTTATTATTATTATTTTGAACCATCTGTTGTTGGTGAAAGTTCACTGGTTGGGAAGATGATGAATGAAAATTGTGGTTGCCATTAACATCTTGGAGAGATGTCATTAGTGAGGATCCTAAGCTGTGGTTCTGTAACTGTGTTGTGTTTGTGCTTCCCGATTCCTGGAGCATGAAGGACAAGTTTGATTGATGATGCATCATCATTGGACAGAGGTGAGGAGCAAATAATTCAAATTGATGGGCTAGCAGAAGTCTTGTTCTTACTACTATACAGCTGGTGATGGAATGATAATATCCGAAGTAAATGTCTTGAATTAGAATGATGGTGCTCGCACGATGTCAGGAAAGCCTCTCACTGATGATTCTAAGGGTATGATGAAGTGGTTATTGTCGGTTTCTATTCGGTTGTAGACGTTGTGAGCGTTAATATCAATTTTTTCGTTGCTGTACGGTTGGAGATATGAGTTGTAAACGTATGTTACTACGATAGAAGGATGAAAAATTGTGAGGGAAATTTTGAAAGGTAGTGAAACCACCCAGTGATTCAAATTTGTCATGTTAATGAAACTCCTTGTGAACATTTCACCCTTATTGAAACCGTTTCTTGACATTATAAGAGTGGCCTCTTTTCCATCGCCTCAATTACTTTGAAATCACCTTATTTTCATGAATGGCAGTTAGCGCTGTTGTGATCCTGTTGTTTGGTGCTTTAGTGGCAAATCTTTCAAAATTCATCTCAAATTGTTTTTGATTGATACCCACAAAATGATGAAATTAGGTTTCGTTCATGCTCATACTAATAACAAGAACAACTACAACAACAAATGAAGACCGTCATGGACTTTGATCGAAGATTCTTACATGTCCAATCGAACGCTGAGTCCTCCTGTTCATACAATGCGCCTTTTCGTTACCTGAAAAAAATTCCCACAAAATTTTAACTCTGTTGTTTTGCCCCTACCAGAGGAATTAAATCCATCATCATGTACGAAAACGGAGAAGATTCATTCGATGGTTAGTATTCATTCATTTGTAATCAGTGCAACGATAAATGGAGGAGTCATAATTTTTTAAAATCATCATTTTCTTTTGCGATTTCAACAACATTACAACAGAGGATGATTTTATTTTCAACGAATACACTATTGACGATACATTGGACAGTCTTTCCCGTTTGGAAAAGTACTACAACTCTGATTTCTCTCTTCAGAGGTTCGTATGATTCAATATGAATATGATGATATATTGGTTCATCCAAACAACAACAATAACAACTATGCGATGACGGAATTTAAATTACAAAAATATTTAATATCATTCTGAACTTTTTAAACAACAATTATTCACACTATTTTACTTCCAAATCATCAACAGACTTGTACTTCTCAGAGATGTTCACGACACAGCAGTAGAGGCCGGATACAAGGAAAGCGTTAAACGTCTATTACCTCTCCTTCAAAACTTTGTTTCAGACACCGAGCCAGTGGTACGACAAGTTTTCGCTGAAAAGCTTTATCCTTTAGCCACATTCTTCTTGGAAAATGGAGGTGAAGAAGGATACAATGAACTTATTAATACTTTTATTCCATACACCTTTGAATTGATCATTGATAAGAATACTGAAGTTGGAAATAGTGCCACAGAGGCTTTGGTTAAAATTTCAAAGCTGATAAAACAAAATCACATCGAGCCACAATTATTATCAGTCATTGTGAATTTGGCTCATGATGAGAGAGTGGAGGAATACCGTATTGCTGCAGCAAAATTATTCAATGAATTGGCTCCTCAATTCGGACCTGATTTAGTTAAAGAGGTTGTGGTACAAGAGATTATTTCTCTTAGCGACGACCCATCACTCTTGGTAAGAAAGACTGTCTCACAATCATTGAATTTGATCTGTCAACAAATTGGTCCAGAGTTAACTGTTACAAAAATTCTTCCAGTTTATTTGGTTTTGAGTAAGGATGAGATTTGGGGAGTAAGAAAGGCATGTGCGGAATCCCTTCCAGAGATTTCTAAATGTGTTGATAGAGAGACGAGGCTAAATACGTTGGTAGAATTGTTTGATCGATTCGCAGATGATGTAAGCAGATGGGTGAAAATGGAAGCTTACAAACAATTAGGAGCTTTCATTGCAACATTCGAACCTGATACACCAGAGGTGCCATCATCCATTCCAGATTCTTTAATTCAATCATTTAGTGATATGGCATTCCAAAATGACCAAAATGAAACAGATATGGTCGAATATTGTGCATTTAACTTTCCTGCTGTTGCTCAAATTATTGGAAAGACAAAATGGGCTCAAGTAGAGAATGCTTATAATCACTTGGTTAAGGATGTACAATGGAAAGTTAGAAGATCTTTGGCCTGTTCTTTACATGAGATTGCAAACCTCGTGTCTCCTGAGGTAACAGAAACATGCTTGGCAAACGCTTTAGAACTCTTTTTAAAGGATTTGGATGAAGTGAAAATTGGTGTAATTTCTAACCTTTCTAGCCTTTTCAAGTTCTTTAGCGAAGAAACTAGGCAAAAATATTTGTCAATAATTTGCTCCATTCCTGAACAGACAGACAATTGGAGAATTAAGAGCGAAATTTCTAAACAATTAGGTTTCCTTGCCGAATTGGTTTCACCAGAGACCGTAAAGAATACCATCCTGAACGTAATTTTTGATTTATATACCGATGATTTTGCAATTGTACGAAAGAACTCTATTGTTTCTGTAAGTTTATGCTCACTATTGTTTTGCCCATATTTATTTTGTAAAATGATTAGTGTGGCAAAGTAATGAAGAGATTAAATGATGAAGAAAGTAAAGAAGGCCAAAAAGAATTTACTTCCTTCCTTCATGAGTTAGCTTCAGGAGAGTATCACAGACGATTGATGTAAGTATTTGCATGATCAATGATTTTTCTGAACATTATTCGTTAGTTTTGTTTTTGCTTGTGAGCATTTACTTGCTGAAATAGATCACAACTTCTTCATACAGGAATTTGGCCCAGACTTGGAAAAGATATCTAAAGACGTCATACCAAACGTTAGATTAAATTTGGCAAAACTATTTAGAAGATGCATTCAACCAAACGAATCACTAAGAGAAAATTCTGTCTTTGTCACTATCAGACAAACTTTGGAAAACGACAAGGATAAGGACGTGTTATATTTCTTGAAGTAAGTATTTGAAATGTTTTATTGTTCCAACGTGACAATCCAATTCTTTTCAGTAACGACTATATCGAACCACCTAGCGATGACGATTATTAGAATGTATATTTAATTATTATTTTATTAAAATTCTTCAAAGAATAGTCCAATTAAAATGTTGACATTTCATCAAATTTAGAAATCAACTTCGCCTACAATAGAACGTTTCACTTCTCTGCCTTCTAAAATATCTAGAACTTCCTTGCCAGAAAGTGTTTCATATTTAACAAGCTCTTTTGCTAGCTTCCTTAACTCAGATTCATTTTCTTTCAGCATTGCTCTCACTCGTTCATATGAAGAATTAACAATTTTTTGAATTTCAATGTCTATCAATCGTTTTGTTTCAGGAGAGAATTCAGGTCCCTTTTGATACATTGAACTTTCTTCTGTGAAGTCAATCAAGCCCAATTCGCTCATACCAAATCTTGTAACCATCGATCTTGCAACGTTGGTTGCGTGTTGTAAATCTGATGTACATCCAGAGGTGACATTGTCCTTTCCATAAATAATTTCTTCTGCAACCACGCCACCAAGAGCTTTTTCAATAATTTGAAGATATTGTTGCTTGGACATGTGGTGAACCTCACGTTCAGGTAAGGAAGCAGTAAATCCAAGTGCGCTTCCTCTTGGGATAATAGTAAGTTTGTGAAGAATATCCTTATTGAGTTGAGATGATTTCTTTTGGTTCAACAACACAACTAGAGCATGTCCGCATTCATGAATTGCTGTAATCTCCTTATCCTTTTCATTCATAACATTGATGCTAGAGGTTCTAGCAATACCCATAACAATTCTGTCGAAAGCGTAGTCAATGTCGTCACCACTAATTTGCTCCTTATTCTTGGTACAGGCTCTAATTGAAGCAACATTTACAAGATTTTCTAAATCAGCGCCTGTGAATCCAGTAGTTTTCTTGGCAATGGTTTCAACATTGACAGTTGGATTAAGAGGCACCTTCTTCAAATACAAGTCTAAAATTTCCTTTCTACCTTTTAAATCTGGAAGTGGAACTTCGATGTGTCGATCAAATCTTCCAGGTCTAATTAAGGCCTTATCCAAAGATTCCAACAAGTTGGTAGCACCAATAACAATGATTCCTTCACTTGATTTGAATCCATCCATTTCAGAGAGAATTTGGTTGAGTGTTTGTTTTGAATAGAATGGATCTTTTGCTGTTCTCTTACCACCGAGAGAGTCAATTTCGTCGATAAAGATGATACAAGGAGCTTGTTTTCTTGCAGCAGCAAATAATTCTCGAATACGTCTTGCGCCAACACCTACAAACATTTCATCAAATTCTGATCCAGAGCAAAAGAAGAAAGGAACGCCAGCTTCTCCTGCAATAGCTTTAGCTAATAGAGTCTATAAAGGTAGTGAATGAAAATTAAGAAACAATGTGAGACCGATGAACATTGTATATCCAAACTTACCTTACCAACTCCCGGTTTTCCTACCAAGAGAACTCCCTTTGGCAATTTTCCTCCTAATTTGTTGAATTTTTCTGGATTCTTTAAGAAGTCCACAATTTCTTCTAATTCACCTCTACATTCATCAATTCCTTTCACGTCATTGAATCTTGTCTCTACATTTGTGATTGGTTTGTAAGATGTCTGTCCAAACATTGATCCCAATCCACCACCTCCTTGTTTTTGCTTGGTTGGATCATTTGGTGTGTAGTAAGCCAAATAAAAAAATAGTCCAACAATTGCTAAACTGAAGAGCAATGATATAAAAGATCTAGTGACATTAACCCTGTTAAATCTTGTAAAGAATGAGTCATCCATTGTGACAACAAGTTTTTGAGGTAGCATTACTGGCTGTGGTTGATGTGGAAAATTAAAAGTATGAATATATGAATTATCTTGGGGAGGTGAAGTAAATGTGGGTGGTGATTGCTGTTGTTGCTGACTCTGAGAATAAGAGTAATAATTTGTTCGTGGAACATTCTCTTGATAAACTCCACCAATTCTTTCCAATGAGGTTCTGTATATTTGTCGAATTAAAGGATGATCCAACGAATATGATCCACTATCAACGAGTTGCACTACCATTTGATAATGCTCTAAATCAAATAATGCCTGTAAATATTCAGCTTTTCTATCCATGTTGTTGCTTGTTTGAGCTTCATATTCTAACCTTGCCAATTTAGCAGGACTGACTCTAGAGGCCTTACAAATTGTTGATGTATGAAATAATCGTTTTACAAAAAGGTTGTTGTAGAAAGCCTCTATTCCGAGAAACAGTGATAACAATAATTCCGAAATATGTAGGTTAATAACAGCATTAATTTCGAAAAGGTGCAATATTTGAATCGTGAATTCAAACAATTTAAATATACTATCATAGGTTGGAAATAATACTTACCTGGCACACTCGAAAATTTGGGTACTTCCAAATAACTTCCTCTACTCAAAGCACCACTCAATATTAAAGCAGCACTTTTCATGATTGGACTTGCAGATGTGATATTGCTACCACTTCCGCTCATCAAGGAAGATGCTGGGTTCGTTCGAAGGAATTTACGAGACGAATTTAACATTTTTTTAGAGTTTTTTTTAATCCAATTGCGATTGCGAGCACTCAATCAAAATTGCCAATCCGAGCAAAGCCTTGAGAACCAACAAAATGTGGCCACCGTTGGATGATAGCCTCCATTTTATGGATGACGGCATCCTCTCACTACATTACAAAATTGAAGGGTGTCATCAAAAACTGTACTTTGGTAATGCACCTCACCCAATCGGTTCCGTCTTTCTGGAACGCGGAAAGCCTTTCTTCAAAAGCTTTATTTTTGAAACACTTACAAAAAAAAATTCTCATCACTCATCTTGCGTTCTTCATTGTATCGCTTGTATTGTGCTGAAACAACACTCACCTTCCATCATCATTATACATAAAGATGTCCCAAAGTAATAACACCAAGAGAAAAGTAGCATACACTAAAAGACCATCCTCTCAAGAAGGTGGTGAATCATCATACAATGTAGGCATTTCGAAGCAAGAAATCGAAAAGAGAGTCAAACACATCAGCGAAATGTTCTCAGATTGGAAAAAAGCCGATATCGAAAGATGTCTCCAAGAGAATAACTATGATGTGAATCTTGTTGTACAAATGAAGGTCGAAGGAAAAGAAGATTGGACAACCGTAGAGAAGAAAGAAACTAGAACACAAAAGCCACAAAAAGGAAGAGGCGGACGTGGTGGTCGTGGAGGTTCTACTCGTGGTGCTTCTTCTCAAAATAATCAGCACGATGGCTCTTCTTCTGCAAGATCTAACAACTCACAACACCCATCAGGAGGTTCTACTTCTTTGAATGATAAAACAAACAAGAAAAAACCAACTAAGCAAGACAAAGTAACTTCTTCTGAAGTGCGTACATTCTCTACTCCTGAAAACCAAACAACAACAACAACCGAACAAACACAAGCACCAACACAACATAAGCTTTCATACAGTGAAGCTGCTGCTGCAAGTAAAAGAAAGGAAGAAGAAGACAAGAAGAGACAAGAAGAGGAACAAAAGAAACTTGAAGAGCAAGCTAAAGCCCAAAAAGAGGAATTGAAGAGTGAACGAATTCAACGAAAGAAGAATAAGAAGACAAAGGCACCAAAGGATGATGCTAGAGAAGAACCTTCTGCTCCAGTGGTACAAGAACAGCCACAACAACCACAACAAGTCGTTGAAGAATCAGTTGTAGAGGAGGAAGTACCAGAAGAAGAGTTAACCCATGAAGAAGCTGAACAACATCATGTCGAAGAGACTCACCATCATCAACCACAACAACCAACAGCAACCACAACAGCAACATCATCAGCAACCACAAGCTCATATTCAACCTTCCCAACCAATTCAACAACCTGTTCAAACACCTCAAAACTTCCAATCCAACTTTGAACAACGCCAACCTTCTCAACCAAAGCAAGAGGAACCAATTCAAATGCCATCCCATCTTTTCACAACTCAACCAGGAATTTCCCTTCAATTTGGTTCATTAGATTTGGGTTCAAACTCTCAACCAAAATCTCACCAACAATCTAATATGAACCAATCCAATCCTCAAGCTAATCAGCAAATGCAAAATGGTCAATATTGGACAGATCCTAAAACATTTATTCCATATTTCCCAAGTCAATATCCATATCATCCTCAATACTATCCATATATTTACCAATACTATCAACCAACTGCTGGTCAAGGAGTGAATGCAAACAAGAACTTTAACCAAGGATTCTACCAACAACAAGAAGGATATGGAATGTATAACCAACACCAAACCAGTACTGGAACTGAGGAGAATGAACAGACTCACCAAGATGCTTATCATTATCAAATGCAACAACCATACTTTGTGATGTATCCACAACATAATGTTGATGCTAAGCAAAAGTCAGAATCTCCTCAACACAATGAACAAAAGACAAACAATCCATACCCATATCTTCCTGGTTATCAATCTCAATACCCTCAATATTTCCCCAATCAGATGATGTATCCAACTCATTATCCATCTGCAGGAAACACAACCACTAATCCTAACAGCAATACCAGTCAAAGCCAAAAGAAGTGGTAAATTGTTCCATCTTGATGATTCCCCCTCTTCATACCTTAATTATCTCATTCCAAACCTAAACTAAAGCTCCCAATAATTTTGTACATTTTCCATCTTTAATCTTTTTGTTTAATTGCTTATTTTGGATGATTTTGCAATGAATGTAATTGAACATCATGATTGAAGAAAAATGCCTTTACGAATTGTTTTGCAGAGTGGTGTGAAAGGTAAGCATATGCTTGAATTTTCATACTTAACATGGTATCAGATGATCCAATGCCATTAGAAAAACAAGCATGCTATGCTTCTTTTCATCATCATATCGGTTAGTAAATTTGCCAAGTTTGACACTGTTGACACTATTGGAAAATTAATAACAGAGCGAATGAAGAAAAACGTGAAGGCTTTTTCTGATCGAAGAGTTTTTCATATAAATTCAACTGCTGTTGGAGGAGGTGTAGCAGAAATGTTATCCAGGGTCACAAGAACAATGAATCAAACTGGTTTCAACGTATGTTTCATCATGTTTTTACATCTTTCATCTGTGACGATTGTGTGAAGGCATCTTGGTTGACTCTAAACACAGAGGATGAACGCTTTTTCGTCCTAACAAAGAAAATACATAACTTTATTCATGGAACAGGACCAGATATTGATTTTTCTGACCAAGACAGAGAAGTATATGAAAGTGTTAGCAGAGAGAATGTTGAAAGTGACGTTTTTCGAAATGAAATTTCAAATGGAGACGTTATTGGTAAGTATTAAGCTCTGGAAACTATCGGCCACATACAATGCCATCCAATAGTATTGCATGATCCTCAACCCTTAGGAATGGTGGTTCCCATACGTGAAAAGTTTGGAAGTGATATTAAGATTATTTTTCGATGCCATATTGGACTCGATGAACACAATTTCCAAACGATTAGCGCATGGAAATTTTTGAAGCCTTACATTAATCAAGTGGATCATTGTATATTCACATCACCGGAATATGTTCCAAGTTTTGTAAAAAACGTCCATTGTACCATTATATATCCAAGGTAAGTGACAGATCCAATCACCTCCATTATGTAAGAGAAAGTGAACTTGTTTTCACAGTTTGTCTCCTTTCAATCCTAAAAATCAAGATCTTTCAACCCATGAAATTTTAAATATTCTTATTCAAAGTGGATTAACCGAAGGGGATGAAAGCATTGATTGGAAGATCCCTTATGAACACAAAGTAAAGTGTTTATTTAAAGATCCAATGTCAGTGGGAATACCCTTTAGCCCAATTGTCACACAAATAAGTCGATGGGATCGATTAAAAGGATGGATCCCTCTCATTAAGGGATGGGTTGAAATGAAAAGAAATATTGACAAGTATTCTTCTGATGCGAGTGAGGAAGGAAAAAACTTGTTAAGAAGTGTGAAACTCGTCCTAGCGGGTCCTAATCCAGAGGCCATTCAAGATGATCCCGAGGGTTTACAAGTTTTTGAAGAGTTGACTGTCTATTATGCAGATTTAGATCCTGAACTTCAAGAGAGTATTGCCATTCTGTCTCTTCCAATGAACAATGTCACACAAAACGCTCTCATTGTCAATGCTCTTCAAAGATGTTCACTTGTGATATTCCAAAATAGTTTAAGAGAGGGTTTTGGATTGACATGTACAGAGGCCATGTTTAAACGTATTCCAGGTAAGTATCGTTCTCTATGAACATGATACATGACTCTTTCACACAAGTCATTGGATCAAGACAAGCCGTAGGAATTCGATTACAAATTCGAGATCGAATTGATGGACGTCTTGTCAATGTACAAGACTCTTTAGAAATTGCACAAGTGCTGGCAGATGTTCTTTTAGATGAAAAGCAACGAATCATGTATGGAGTGAATGCAGAAAAAAGAGCCATTGATAACTTTTTAGTGTACAAACAAATTGAAAAATATTCAGAAGTGTTTCAGAAGGTACTTTATAACAATGGTGAGCAGAATTATAATGATAATGATGACTGAGTTGCGAATGCGAGTGATCCAAGTCATCTGCATGTTGTGTTACAACTCGAGAAAAAACAGATTCGATTCATAATAAGGTCATTTCGTGTGCTGTATGAATTTCAACAATTAAAGAGTGTGAACGCTCTGATTTGATGCTCAAGAATTAGATCTTTTAAGAATGGCCATTCACTCGTTGGATTTGGGCCCTTAGTTTCTCACACTCGAATCTGTTCATTGAATTTTTCCTTTTCTCTGTCATCTGTCATTAACTGATCATCTTCTCTCACAAAAATGACGCAACTGGTTGATCAACAACAACAACAACAACAATTAGCAACAGCTACCACTATCAACAACAACAACGGAGGGATTCGAATGACTACAGGAGACTCTTCTCCTCGATCGTTACAACAAGCACTTGTGTTATATGATTACGACGCAACATCATCCAACGAAATGACCATACGTGGTATGTATTTCAATGAGTTACTAATAATGTGTACATTTAATTTGTAATGATCATTTAAATTGATTTGTGGTGATCATTTCCATGTTGATGATGATATATTGTCGTGGATGTACTTGTTGTGATCACATCTAAAAATTATTTATGAATTGGATTCAACAATTTAATTTTCGTGATGAACACAATGATCCATTCGAAACGATTGTTGTTGTTTTGCATCACATTTTCATCTACTCTCTACAACATGGATGTGACATACATGAATCACACATTCATCATGGTGGAAATTATGATGATAACAACAATTATTACTTGGATCTATTTTCTCTTGTGTGTGGTGAACAACATGATGACACAAAATCACACACGATGATCATCATCATGTTTGACCATTCTCTTCTCCGAATCATCACTCATATCTTTCAATATTTCACTCATTCTATCATGTGACAATTGTTAACACATTAATTCCATGTTATCAACAAACACCAATAACAAACAAACACTAATATATTAATTATAATCATTAATTTTTCACACACACACACAATAGAACATCAAATAATAACTATAATCAAATATGAAGATGATTGGTCACTTTGTAAAAATCCACAAACATCACAATTAGGATATGTTCCAACTGGTTATATTCAAATTATTGTAAAGCCACAAGTGAAACCACCAAATTCACAACGACCACCCATGTTGAGAAAGAATATTATGCAACCATCGGATCAACAAAATGTTGTCATGAACAAGACTTTTCACACAAATAATGAACAACAACCTGTGAATGGTACTAGTAGTAATGGTCCTGTTGATCAACAATTTCAAAATAGAAAAACAGAACCAATGGTAGATTCTTCAATGTCCATTCGAAAAACCAAAAAGAATACACAAGGATCAAGCTCACCAAGAAATTCTCCAAATCATTCGACTGTTAGTTCTAATATTTTCACATCAACCACAACAACATCAGGAAATTCATCATCAAGCAGTGGAAATCATCCTCAAGGAAAAGTACCCAAGTTATCGGGTGTTAACAGTGGAGCAACAACAAGCACTGACTCACCTCCTGATTCTCCTGAAGGTGACAACAACAACAAGTTAGGAAATTTCACAAGTGTGAAAGAACGAATCAAATTGTTACAAGAACAGAAATTGTCGTTAGCCAATGCATCATCCACCAGTGGTGGTGTTAGTGGTGTTCCATCTTCAACAACAACTCTTTCCCAACACACCACTCCCAACACACCTACGATCAATGTTGCCACCACCACCACCACCAATACGAATCATCACATTTCAACACCACCCGTGATTTCAACAGAGAAAAAACGAGTGGCTCTTCCACAAACTCAATTAAATTACACGAGTGGAACTACACCAAGAGAAAAATCTGCTACTCCTTCTGCAAGTAGTGCCACAACAATGAATGTTGCTTCATATCAGGCATCTACCACCACCACCACCACCATCACCACTCCACAAAATAACACAAATGTCACTATTAGACCTCCAAAACCAAAAGGTTATCAAAACAAACATGAAAATGTTTCTACAAACTCGACCACTCCAGCATCTTCCTCAAATACTGGAATTTCACAAACGTCATTGGGATCAACACTACCAATGTCTACTTTGGGTAATCCTGCCATGCTTTCAACAAGTCCAACCTCAACATTTTTATATGGAGGTGTACCAATATTACCAATGCCAATTGCAACCAAGACTCAACCTTCTCGTCAATTGGATGAAACTTATATGGCATCAACTTTGGAAAATCCTTCAGATCAAGATGGAAAGAGTCCTCAAGATGAAAAGAAGAAATTTACCATCAAGATTGGTCGAGGACTTTCAAAAGCACTTAAATTTAACAAACAACCTTCGACTCATTCGTCACCAACTCCACCAACCAATGAAGATGCCACTGATGAAGATGTTCTTCCAAATATTCCTGTAGACAGTTATACAAGATCAACAAAAGATTCTCATCATGGTGACACACCTTCTCCTGTTCTTCATTCGTACACCTCTTCAGAAGTGTCACCAATTGTTAAAAGTAATAGCTCATTGATGGCAAAAGATCTTGAAAATCCAGAAGTGGTAGATAAGAGAAAGACACTTCCTGTAAATATGAAATCAGAATTATTCCAAAAGATGCATTCTCAATTGAAACTACAACCAGGTCAACCACCAGCTACTCATCTTCCAAATAGTTCGACATCCACAAACTCAATGTAATGACTGAAGAGAATGACTATTTAATTGTACCATCTACTGTGAAACCAATGCCATCCATTCCTTCACAAGTTCAACGAGATTATGTCAAGATTTTGAGTGAAAAATTGAGATCTTATCGAAGACTACAAGCAATGAGAAATTATCTCCAAAAACATGAATCTCTCAAAAATGCAAGAATTAGAAAACAAAAATTACTGGAGATTGTGAGCACAGAACGAGATTATGTTCAAAATATTCACATTTGTGTGGATGAATTCCTGAAACCAATGAAATCAAATCCTAAAAAGTATGGTGTCACAGAAGACGAATTAGATATTCTCTTCCTCAATATTAATCAAATTTTGCAATGTAACCAAGTATTGTTGCAAAAGTTAAATGATCAAGTGAGTGACCATCAACAAGGAAAGACTTCTTGTGTCAAATTTGGAATTGTTTTCAAAGAAATGGCAGTATGGTTTAAATTATACACTGACTATATCAATAATCATGAATTGGCAACAACCACTCATGACAATTTAATGGAAAAGAAGAAGAAATTTGCTGCATTTATGGAAAAGCAACAAAATAACCCCAAGTGCAAGAATTTACCACTTGCAGCTTATTTAATTCAACCAGTGCAACGTATTCCTCGTTACAGTAAGTGATTCATATTCTTTAGAAATTTTATAACAAGTTCATCATCATGACGTTGTTGTGAATCATGTTCATCATGTGCTGTTCATCATGTGTTACATTTTTTTTTACAACCATGTTCATCATGTTTTACATTTTTAACAACAATGAAACCATTCATTCCTGTGATAACAACAATGACACCATTCATTTCTGTGAATTCTGAATTCAATACATACCATTTATATATTACCTGTGAATTCTGAATTCAATACACACATTACCCATGACACGATACACATTAGGACTCTTACTTGCTGATGTTATTAAATTAACACCTGAGGATCATGTGGATTATGAAGACTTACAAAAAGGTTATCAAGCCATTCTAGATATTGCTGATTGGGTCAATGAAAGAAAACGAGAAAATGAAAATCAAAACTCATTGGCCAAGCTTCAACTCAAAATTACAGATGTTGAACAAAAACAAGTCTTCTTACCTCACAGAAAGTTAATCTCAAAAACTGATACTCTCAAAGTCACACTGGCGTATAAGGAACACGATACAGAATTTGACAAGTATCTCACCATTAACAGACCATCGACAGCTTATTTATTTCCAGATATGCTGATATTATCACTTGGAGAAGCTCAAGGAGAAAATACTTCACAACTTGTCTCTCCTCAACAATTTTCAAAGATTCTTGCGAGAGACAATCTGGTCATGGTATTCTTTGTATTTATCAAAATTTTGAAAGTTGAATACATGCAACCCACGGAAGAACAACAAGAGAGTGACAACTCTGTTCCAAATACTATACAAATTGCATTTCAATTGAAGGGAAGAGAATTGTTTTTAGAGCTTAATTTAGAGAGCTGTGACCACCACTTTTCAAAGAAGATACTCGCATACATGCATTCTTCAAGGAAGAATATTGGTAACAAAACTGGTATGGATTGGGAACAATTCTATGATGTGGCGTCAAATTTCCAAAGTTTAATGCGAGAAATTCCAGAACTTAAAGAACAAATGAAGAAGAAACGAGAAAAGGCAACCAAAATTCAGAACGAGGTGCAAACCATGATCAACGAAATTGCGAGAAAAGAAGAAGAAGTTCGACGACTGCAGCAAGAAATTGAGCACTTGAAAACTCAGAAAATTTATTCACTTAATGAGTTGAATGATGCGGAACGAGAAGCACAAGTGATATCAGCCGACTACAGAGAAGCTTCTGAAGAGAAGAATCAAGTGCAAGAAACAGTGTTTAGCATTATTGGCCAAGATCTCTTTGCATACACTGAGATGTTTGGTACAACCAATCGACAAAAAACAGAAGATATTAACATTGTACTCGAGTAATATTTTGATCATGTGTCATCATAATGTATAAAACATAATGTATCATATCAAATTTGCTCCATTTATTTGAGAATCGTGGGTGCTGCAACAATAAGTTACAGGTACTTGTTGGTTTTATAGGCCATCAGCAAACCTTGCACACCAACACCATCTCGTTGAGCGATTTTGGAAAGTATGAAATCTTTCACCTTTTCGTTCGATATTGCTTCCATGAGCGAGGACAATACTTCTCTATTCTCAATCTTCCACTCTACAGACAATGAAGGAATAGAATTCACAATGTGATGTATCATATATCGATACATAAATGATGAGTTAATTTCTTCCAAAGTAAGTGGTGAAATAAACTTCTTCAAATACAAAATAATTAAATCCAAATCACTTTCACTTGGAAACACTTGCAATTTCTCAAGCCAGCTTTCATCTGCTCTAAGGAAATTAATTTGTTTTGCACTCATTTCATTGGCAATGTACATTCTATATTTGGAGTTCCAAATGTTGGTATGTATAAAAAAGCTTAATACAAATTGTGAAAATGTTAATTGGTTGAAGGAGGCAGATACCTGATGCTCAACGAAATCTTTGAACATTTGGCAAAAGATGTCTTCCATTGAAGCCATATTTGCAAATCCATGAAATGGATTATTTGGAGTTTGTGCTACTTTTTGTGATTGATTGATTTGAATTGTGTACTGTTCATAATAATAAATGTCTATCCAAGTTTGTAGCACATTTTGAATGCTCTCAACAAAGAAAATGCTTGAATCGAGAAGGAATACTTTCATCATGTTCGCGAATTGAATAACCTTTGGGAAGAACACATTAATAAAATTTCCTTGATTTGAGAAACGCGTGAAGCTTGTGTTAACGCCCTGATTCAATTCGTTCAATATACTCCTATAATTTGTACCATAGCTCAAGCTAGTGATAAATTTGAGATTGTCCATAATTAAAGGAATATTTTTTGTCTCGTCTAATCGATTGATGTAATAATGTTCAATGGCGCTATACATCCAGTTTGTAGGCGTTACTGAAATATGTTCTTTTGGAATTGAGGGAGCACCAACTTGTAAGTTGTTACTCTCAACAATATCATTAATCTCTTTGATTGTAGACATGTCAAATGCGTCCTTATCCAAGTAATTCAAGAATGTTGGATTGAATTGAAGCACATATGTTTGTAAAATAAAGAAGAAAATGCTTCTATCTCCTCTGATATTAAATGGATCTAATAGAGCAGCAGAAAAAAGGCCCAAGTTGCATATTTGGTCTTGAGTGAATAAGGAACTTAGTTTTGTCTTCTCGTAAGAATAGAGCTTTAGCAAATAATACGTCATGTTGAAAAATCTCTCTCTGAGAATGTAAAACTTGGTTCGTAGCGGATTTGGTGATTCTGCAGCAAATGAAAAGAAATCCTTGTTAAATAAATATTTTTGGAAAACTTCATCATATAATCGAGATAACAGGTGTTCAAAATGTAATTCGTCAAACAAAATGGTGAACATGTGTTTGAAAGACTTGGCACAAAAGTAACACAGTGTTACAATCGATGAAATATTAGATAATAAATTAGAAACTGTTGCAAAGTGCTCCTTCGATACATTCAAATCCTTAAGTTGATCGATTGATTTTTGCCCCCAGTTGTAGAGCTCGGTATACCACGTTCTATTTTCTACTCGCTTCATTACCATCAATAGCTGAGATGTCTTGTCTATATCTTCCTTGGCAATAAATCGATGGAAATCACTATTTGGATTGCAGTAAAAATTGTCATAAAAGGTACAAATGAAATACAAGAACCTAATACAGAGAGAGTCCTTCTCAACAGTTAGAGATTTGATGGCTAATAATGGACAATCTGACAATGCAAAATTTTCTAAATGACCGATTGAATTTTCATCCACTTCGTCCTTATCTTCAAAAGAAGGAAATGAAAGCGACGATTTTGATGTCATATATACTTGCAACAAGTTTAAGCATGTTTGAGACAATTCTGTTGCACATTGGGACTTTTGAAATGATTTTGCAAAAGGAAGTTGAATGAGAGCGACCAAGTTAGGAAACATCTCCTCACAGAACAAATGCATGATATCTAGCATCTTGTAGCTTGTGCAGCATGTTACTATTGAGAGAAGCTCTGTGCATAATAGCAGTTGAGAGTCTGCTACCGTTTTAGATGGTGAAGAGCAAATGATCATATTTTTCTTTGCAATATCTATAACGTCTGTGTTCTTAATCAATCGTTCACAAATATTCTTTCCATGCCTGCTCAAGTTGGAAATGAGTAGAGCAAACTGCGTTAATTCAGTGGTGTTGATAAACAAGTTTGAACTTGTGAGTTGCTTAAATGCCTTCTTTTTTGTCATTTCATTTGAAATTTTTGTGGCAATAGATAATGAATATCTTGAGAGAATTATTAATGACTCAATGACATGATACCGCAAGTCAGGATCGTCTTCACACTCTAAAATTGTGACCATGTTGGAAATCAGGCATGGAGTGACATCTTTCTCGTACTTTCGAACAAAGTCTATCTTTTCTGAAACAGTGTTGTTTACATCAGTTAAAAAATAATTGAAACTGTTTCGTTCAATAATATCAAACTCATCCTGTTGCATCTGTAGGGAGCAAGATAAGATGGTTCGAAATAGCTCAGATGTTGCTCTAATAAGACTCAAATTTTTGTGCAAAACTGTTGCACTTGCATTAAGGGCGTCTGCATAGCCAAACCAGAAAATGGTTTTGAATAACTCATATTTTTCTTCCAAATAGATAAGTAATTCAATCTTTTCGCTGCTGGAAGATTTGAGAATGATTTGGTTAAGAAGCTTAATGTTGATAATTCTTTGTGTGATTACACTGCTCCTAATGAGCTGGAATATCTCTAGAATAGTGTAACCTGCCATATTTTGATCTCTTCCGTGATGGAAAAGCCCAGAATGAGAAGGATATTCTTTGGACTGATCAACAATATTTCCTTCCAAATCGAAACGTAATGGCTTGAATTTGCTTTTATCGTTCTTCTCCTCCTCACTTTCTTGGAATTCTTCTCCACCAACAATCCATTTTAATTTTTCCTCTTCCTCTTTGATGTTTTTGAGCTCCTTTGGGTTTAAACTCTCTTTAATTTTGTCAATAATCTCGCTAATATCTTTCTCTGCTATTTCTTTTCTTTCCTCGGCAGATAACATACTTGTATCATTTCGTGTTTGAGAGGTTTTACCTTCAGATTGTGGTGGAAAGTGTTTGGGCAAGTGTTGTTTTTTCAACTTCTTTTCTGCACCTCTATTTTTAAGCATATTGATAATAGAAGGATCGAATTGCTTCATCAATTGAGATTTTGCTTCCTCAATTTCAAGTTTGGACATTTTTGACAACATTCTGTCACTTTCTTGATCAATGGCATCAGCTTCAGATAGACCCTCAGTAGGTTTTACGTCATGTTGAGTAACTGTATCCTCATCCGATATATTCATTTCATCTTTGTGTGACTGTTGCACACTTTGTTTCTCTGGTTGTACTCTTTTTCGTCCTAAGAATGTTAGAGTAGGCTGCTTTAGAGTTGGAAATGCTTGTGGCTGTGTCGGAAGTGATGGAGGAATCACGCTTTTCGTTTGTACATCTCGTTCGACAATATTAAGATTATTGAAAATGCTTAGCACACTTTTCGGTGCATTGGATGCTGCGTTTGCTTCCTCTTTCTTCTTTTTCTCTCTTTCCAATGCAAATTTTGATTTTTTAGTTACGCTAGCAGCTGGTTCGGATTGTTGTTTAAAAAATCGTTCTTGTGCTTGGAATAAATCATCATCATCTTCCGTTTGATCCCGACTCAATCTCTCATTCCGTTGATTTAATATTGCTTGCTCTTCATCATCTTGTTCGAATGAAACACCGACCATGCCGGCTCTTTTCAAAGCGTTCTTGTTGCGAGAGGTGGACAATGATGAAGGCTTCATTTTTTTTTGTTGTGAATTGGTTTTTGATTGCTTTCACAAACTTCACAATTTAATTGAATTCAGGCTCACTAAAAATATCCAATTGAGGATTAGAGCTTGGAAACTTTCTTTACTCTCCATCTTGCAATGATTTCATTATTTGCTCTTGCTGGATGACTGAATTGAGTTGGAACATTATATTGTTCAATATTTTCAAATCCGACATCCACAAGCAACTTTTCAACGAGTGGATAGCTTAATATATATGGTGGTCCTTTGGTAATGTCTGTGTCAAGATCTCCTGTGTTTGTTCTTTTAACAAGAGGGAAAATTAAGGTAACAAGCTCAGCGTTGGCATTGTCTTTGTAATTTAACAATTTTTTCATTTGGTGTGCCCATGCTTCTCTTAAAGAAATTGGAAGAGCACACAGGAAGGTGTCTATATTGGAATATTATTACATGTTAGGAAATCAATCACTGTTTGGAAACAATATTTTGACACAAATGTCATAACTTACAGTCGAAAATAATGTCAAACTTTTTATCAAGCGTAAAAAAGTCTTGACAAACGAATTGAACTTTGTTTGGATTACCATATTGGAATTGAGTTTTTTTCTAGATGACACATAATTATGAGCTGGTGAATGAAAATTTCATCATTACGTACTGAATTTGCAGATGCAATAGCTGTCTCCGAAATATCAAGTCCAACCACTGTTTCTACTGATTTTAAAGCTGACAGAGTATCAACGTCATAGCCATTTCCACACCCTGATCAATTCAAATGTATAATAAATAATTTTAAATATTATCATTATTTTAAAATAATCCTACCTGGCACTAGAGCATGTTTAATATCTGCTCGATCTTGGTAAATGGTTTCTACCAAATGTTTCAATATTGGTGATGCTTGTTTGGTATCCCATGGAGTGGATTGATCTCTCCACAATTGATCCCAATCCTTGTTGTTCATTCCTCCGTATTTTGAAAGATCATTCTTGGGGCTTTGGGAGGTACTGTATTGTACATTCCGATAATTTTCAGTGTTGGACATGATCAAAAATTTCACAAAGTAGAACTTTGATCGGGAGAGAAGATAGATGTTGGTTGTGTTGGCCTGTCGCACACACGATAATAATTTTTTCATTTTTAATTCTGAAAACTTCGATCTTAAAGCTCACTACCTCATGAAGAATCACAAGCATTATTGTGAGCTTTAATCGATCGAAGACATTAATCACTTTTAGGTTTCTGTCATTTTCTGTAGTTGCTTTCACGTTTTCAGAATGAAAAAAATTGCAGAGCACTTGTCAATTGTCGTGCAGGGAACAAGAACTCTTTAGTTTAAAAATACCAACGTTCAAGCATTTTCAAAACAACACAAGAAAAAAACACCAAACATGAAGGACAACCAAGAAGAAGACCCAGCATTTTGGGACCTCTTCTACGCTGAGTCCCCCAGAGCACGCTCCCATGACTACTTCTTCCAAGAGGACGAAGACTCTATCTTTGAAGCCATTAATTATTTCACAGACTCTCCTGCTCTATGGGAATTCTGGAACGAACACATTCTTAAAGAACAAGACAAAAATACCATGGTCCCTTTCCCATGCAGTCCAACTCAAGCATGGGTGGTGTGCCCATTTATAGCTAACGTTGAATTCTCTTCAGACTCCTCAAACTCAACATCCAACACCTTCCATGAACCAGAACCATGGCAAATTGAAACTTTTTGCGCATTAAGTGGACTCCTTCCATATGGAAACCAACACGACAGCATCCAAGTGAGTGAAGCTAGCGAACATTTCAATAGGCATCTCACTCAGCATGTACTTGCTGCTCTCCAAGCTTCGAGTGAAACCAAGGTCAATCATTTAACTCATCTGTGCAAACAGAGAATTATGCGACCATTGGTGCCCAAGCACTCGTTCCAAATCCTGTAGGTTTCCTAACGAATAACCAATCAGAACAACCACATGCTGGTTCAAGCCAACCACCCTCTTGTTCTGAAAACCAACTGACGGACGAGGAACAAATCAAAATAATGCAAACCACTGGAATTTCGTTGAATATGCGGCAGAAAATTCCAAATACATGCTTATTATTAGCTCTTCCAAGAGAAATATGAATACAATGATTGAGATCAAATTGGTTACCAAACAAAACTCAAACTCCAACCAACAGATCAAGCTCAAATATTTAGTGAATGATGATCATGTAGGAACATGGAATCATGTCAATTCCAACTCGTTCAAAATCAGAGCAAAGGATACCTTCAACAAAAAGAGTAAGGGAAAGTATGTCCTCTTGATTCAAACCCTCGACTCTGAGCAATTCCGTGTTGAATTCAATTGTAGTAGATTGGAAAAGACAAAGAGCAATTCCAAGAAATGTTTTGCTGGCCTCCCTGTGAATTCCATTGAAATTGTGCATCTAATTTGTGGTGGTCATGATGGCAAGACTGCAACACAGCTCGTAACTTATACATTTGAACCAGAATTGGGAAAGTAAAAGAGAATGTCTTCTAGTTCATTGTATTCTGGAAAAATCATCATGTAAATATTAAATATTACTAAAACCATACAAAATATGCGCTACTTGAAAGCAAAAACTTCAAGTGTGTAATCCCTTCAACATAACCGGACTGAAATTCCAAATAACGATAGTATTGAAACACAGCATGAATTGTAGAAATCAATCAAATGTCTTGAACTTTCTTTCATTTCACATCAATGCGCTCTACAACAACCGGTATGTTGTAGTAACTTGACATCTCATCCAATCTCGACCCATTAGTATTTACTGTCATGTGTGCTTGGTCCACACATACAATTCCACATACATTCTTCCTTTCACTTCAAATACATTGTATAACTCTCTCAGGACCTTTCATCTTCAACATCCCGCCACCATTTTGATTTAAATTGAGTGATTCTTCTCTACAGAGCTCGTTCAACAACAAAAAAAACAAAATACCTCAATGCAATCTTCTACAGCTATTGGAAGGATGTTGTATTCTAGGTTTGCTTTGGCAAGTCTTTTAGCACTTGCATTGGTGATGGTCACTGTCTTTGGAGATGTTCAAGGTCGTTCCATTCGTCGTGGTCGAGTTGGTCCAGTTACCATTAAGAGATGTCAATCTTTGGGTGATCCTCACTTCACGACCCTCAATGGACTTCAATATGATTTCCAAGGTCTTGGTGACTATGTCTTTGCCAAGACTCGTGACGGTAAATTCACTGTCCACACTAGAACAGGACGTTGGGGAGCAGGTGCTTCTGTGAACGTTAATGCTGCAGTGGATCTCGGTAATGATCGTACTTTTGAATATGATGTTGAACAAGATGTCTTTTATGTCGATGGTGAAAAGACTGAAATTAAGGTTGGACAAAAATTCAAATTAGGATCAGGTACTGTTGAACGAGTTGGTCAAACTGCTGCCATTGTTACTTCCAAGAATGGTGCTCGTATGACCATGAATTGGTACAGACATCCACAATGGAAGCACCAACTTGGATCCAGCGGATACATCTCTTTGGTGATCGATATGCCATCCAATGTTGAAGTCTCCCAAGGATTGTGCTTGACTCAAACTCACAGCAATTTACAAGCTAGAGGTATTCTCCACAATCATAAGGCTAGAAAGATTGTTCGTTTCACTGATCCAAAGAAGATCACTGCTAGAAGAAAGAAGTGGGCTAAGAAGGTCTGTACTAAGGCTGGTTTGAGCCACAAGAAGAATCCAAACGCTTTCAGAGCTTGTGTGTTGGACACTATTCAATCTGGAAAGAAGATTGGTAAGACCATTGCCAAGAACATTAAGAAGATTAAGAAGCTTGAAAAGAAGGGTAATAAGAAGTATTTGAGAGCCTTGAAGCAAAAGTTGGATAAGGAAGTTTCTGATGTCATTAGAAAGAAGGAAATTGAAATCTCCAAATTGCAAAAGATTGCCAAGGAAGTGAGAGCATCCTCCGAAATCAAGAAGAAGAAGTGCATTGCCAAGAACAACAAGAAAGCTGAAGATGCTGAACATGATGTCAAGAAGGCTCAACAAAAACTTGTTGAACTCACTTTGAGAATGAAGAGAAGAGCTTTACGTATCTTGAAGAAGGCTGCTAGAAAGGCTAGAAAGTTGGCACAAAAGGCCCGTCGTTTGGCTAGAATTGCCAAGAGAAAGGCTACTCGTAAGGCTATCCGTGCTGCTAGAAAAGCCAAGAGATTGGCCAAGCAAGCTCAAAGACGTGCTCGAAGACTCGCCAGAAAGGAACGTGCTTTGGCAAGAAAGGCTAAACGTGCTGCTAGACGTGCTGCCAAAAAGGCTGCATGGAAGAAGGCCAAGCAAGAACGTGCTGCTAGACGTGCTGCAAGAAAAGCTAGACGTGCTGCATTGAAGGCTGCTAGAAAGGCAAGACGTGCTGCAAAGAAGGCAAAAAAGACTGGTACTAGACGTGCTAGAAAATCAGCAAGACGTGCCAAGAGAGCTGCTCGTAAGGCTGCTTTGAAGGCAAAGAGAGCTCAAAAGAAGCTTGAAAGAGAGAAGAGACGTGCTGCTAGACGTGCAAAGAGAGCTGCTCGCAAGGCAAGAAGAGAAAGAAGAAGACAATGTCTCCGTATTGCATAAATGATTCATTAGAACGACAATAATTTGAACTTACATTTGACACAAAGAATACATGTGTTAAGTGTTCAAGAATATGTAAATCAAATGTAATACTACCAAGTAAATAATAATCAATATACATTCTGTACATTCTTCGAAATATCAGCGTTGAACAATTGAAATTGAAAAAATGGGACAAGGCAACTCTTCACAATCTCAAACTACGCTCGAGAAAAGCATACTCGACAAGTTAGCAAAGGAGACACATTATGATAAAAAAGAAATCAATCAATTACATACACAGTTTTTTTCAGAGGTTCCGAGTGGATTTATTCCGAAAGAGGTATGAATTTTTTCGGTTGTTTTAATTGTGTGATCATCATCCTTGTCACATGATCACATGAATGGTCGTTCAAAAAAATATATTTTGTTGAACTCATTTGTGACATTTTACGATCACTCAAATATTATTAACCATAGGATTTTAGTCAATTAACAGAGTTGATGGGAATTAAAGATCAATTTATAACATCCCTTGTATTTAACGCATTTGATAGAGATAGAGATTCAAAAATTTCTTTTGATGAGTTTGTATATGCAATGAGCGTCATGACAAGGTATGCAAAATCATTCATGAATTCATGTAGAAGACTGAATATTATTGTAAAATTAATATAGAGGAACGGCTGATGAAAAGTTAGAGTTTGCATTCAAGGTTTGTCATGCATGCTTTAGAAATTGTGTGAAATAATCTCTTTTAGCTCTATGATTTGAATCATGATGGATATATTTTGAAAAGTGAAATGACACGAATTGTCAGTGCACTCTACCAAATGTTGGGAGATTTAGTGACACTCCAAGGAGATTTGGGTAAGTGATTAATACTTGAAAATTGAGAATGAAAATAATGTCGACCATGATCATGCATAGATACACCTGTAAAATTAGTTGACAAAATATTCATGGAAATGGATACCAATGGAGATGGAAGATTAGTAAGTGTTTTTTCTGGATTTCAGGCTAATACCCTCAACTGGTTCAATTGCTGTGCCACATTGAAACACTTCAATTAATACTTGACGAATGATGTTTTTCCTTTTGGTTTTTTAAAAAAGACTTTAGAAGAATACAAAGTTGGAGCAAAGAAATGTCCAGAGATTGTGAATGGACTTGGGCTCTTCTTTTGAGGACAATAAGCATCGAGAACCTTAAAAACAAAATAAATTTACTGTATGTTGTCTTGTTGGGCACAATAGCGATTCTAAAAAAAACTTTAATTTCCAGAATCAAAAAAATATCAGTGTGGCTCTTACGACCATCAAATCAGCATTTCTGGATTGGAAAACAATTTTGATCATCATCGCCAACACTAGAATACATTTTTAATAACATCATCAATACATCATCATCATGGGTAACGTACCAAGCGGAGGACAAAATCCGTTCAATCAACTGCCAGGAGCAGGTAATCAAAAGAAGAAGGACGATAAGAAGAAAAAGAAGGAAAAGAAAAAGTTTGAACAGCCCACGCCAACTCGTATTGGTAGAAAGAAGAGGAAAAAGGGTCCACAAATCGCAGAGAAATTACCTGAAGTTACTCCATTATCAAAATGTAAACTTAGATTATTGCGATTGGAAAGAATACAAGATTATCTTACAATGGAGAGGGAATTTGTTACCAATCAAGCCAAGCTTTTATCTGCACAAGAAAAATCCAAGGATATGGAACAAGAACGTAACATGGTGGACGAACTGAGAGGATCTCCAATGGCCGTCGGAACACTTGAAGAAATTATTGACGACAATCATGCCATTGTATCGAGTAGCGTTGGCCCTGAATTCTATGTTTCAATCCTTTCGATTGTTGATAAGGATCAATTGGAACCAGGATGCAGTGTCTTGATGCACAACAGATACCTTGCTGTAGTTGGTATTCTTCAGGATGAAGCTGATCCAATGGTCTCTGTCATGAAAGTCGATAAGGCTCCACTTGAATCATATTCACAAATCGGAGGTTTGGAAGAGCAAATTCAAGAAATTAAGGAAGCTGTCGAGTTCCCATTGACTCACCCCGAGCTTTATGAAGATATTGGTATTAAACCACCAAAGGGAGTGATTCTTTATGGTGAACCTGGTACAGGAAAGACATTGCTTGCAAAAGCTGTCGCTCACCATACCAGTGCTACATTCTTGCGTGTAGTTGGATCAGAATTGATTCAAAAGTATCTTGGAGAGGGTCCAAAACTCGTTCGTGAACTGTTCAGAGTTGCAGAAGAATTAGCACCAAGTATTGTATTTATTGACGAAATTGATGCCATTGGTACAAAGAGATTTGACTCTACTTCAGGAGGTGAACGTGAGATTCAAAGAACTATGCTTGAATTATTGAACCAATTGGATGGTTTCGATTCAAGAGGAGATGTCAAAGTAATTATGGCCACAAACAGAATTGAATCTTTGGACACAGCTTTGATCAGACCAGGTAGAATTGATCGTAAGATAAAATTCCCATTCCCTGACATCAAGACAAAGAAAAAGATCTTTGAAATTCACACACGTAAGATGAACAAGGCAGCAGATGTAAATTTGGATGAATTCATCTCCTCAAAGGATGAACTTTCTGGTGCCGACATTAAGGCTGTTTGTACAGAAGCAGGTTTACTCGCTCTCAGAGAACGTAGACTTCAAGTGACACAAGATGATTTCACCAAAGCCAAGGAAAAGGTTCTGTACAAAAAACAACAAGGTATTCCAGAAGGCCTCTACATTTAAACTATATTTCCCACACCACTCTTGAAATAAACGTTGTAATAATTGTAAAATTTAAAACCCAAGTTGTCAGCTGGTGGTGAAATTGGTGAATTGCTTCGCTCTTCAAACTTCTTGCAATAACTGAACCTAAAAAAATGCACGAACACTCCAACCGTTCTGCCCCTGTCAAGCATACTGTGATTGGATTGAATTCCGATGACCATAATAACCCTACACGTGGACCATACCCACCAACCATTGTATACCATGATGGTGAGAAGCATGTATTCTCCATACAAGACCCAATCTATGGGAACATGGAGTTTCTTCCCGAACTACCCACATGTTCATCAATAACCATATTGGACATTGAATTTTCACAATTACTCTATCGTTTGCTCTTTACATGTAATGCTGTTTCTAGACTTTCAAAAATTCATCAAGCTGGTGCTGCCTGGTTATGGAATGTTTCAACTTGGAATGTCACTAGACTTGAACATTCCATTGGGGTTATGCTTTTAATTCGAAAATTGAAACCACTTGATTTGGAGCAACAATTAGCGGGTTTATTACATGACATTTCACATACAGCTTTTAGTCATGTCATTGATTACATGCTATTGAATGACACTGATGATTTTCATGAAGGAATTATTCATGACATTGTGAATGCTCCCAACAGCAAATTTTGTCACCATTTTCATACACACCATGAAAACTCGATCGATTATGAATATTTATCAAACAGTTCAATAATCAATACTGAATTTTCGTCATGTTCAAATCAAGAATCCTTAATGGATATTTTGAGAGAATTTAAAATGGAACATGTCATGGACAAGTTAATGGACTTGAAACCAATCATTATACCTTGTTAGAGATGGAATTTCCTCAACTGTGTGCAGATAGAATAGATTATACTCTGAGGGATCAATTTTGTTACAATTTTCATTTACAGGTTGTTAAGAGTAATGAAGAATTTTTCAAAATAGTTCAAGCGCTGCGAGTGGTTTCATTCAATCCTTCTAAGAAGGAACAGCAAGAAGAGAATGATATTCTTCATGAACAAGCAACTTGTATTATTTCTTTCGACGATACTCATGTTCAAGAAGCAGAACATTTTATGGAACTTTACAAACAAGAGGTTGTAGATTTCTTTCTTGGCTTGGAGAACTTATTTGCAAATGATGCACTTGCACATTTATTAAGGCTGTGTGTGCAAGAGAAAATAATATCTGTAGAGGATATGATTTGGGGAGATGATGACAGAATTTTGTATCTTGTGAAACGTGCTGTCACGCATTTTGAACATGAATCTAACAATGCGAATATGGACACCATTTTAGAATTGTTTAAACATTTGAAACAAGAAAAGCACAGGTTTTATCGAACAAGAAGGATGACATTTCAAACTACGTGCACGTACTTTCCGATGATTCAACAGCGCCGCAGACTATTCACCCATACGGAAAAAAAGATATTTGGATTTCACCATTTTGAAAAACATGGAGTTCATACCAATTTCACAATGCTCAGAAAAGGCAAAACATTTATTTGAGGTCATGAACTCGCAAAATAGCAATCCTATCAAGCTAAAGAGAGTGAATGGGGTGTAGCATGTAGATGTTCTTTTGAAATAAAAGTTACCAACTTTGTGACGGAGCAAGCTTTCCCACCTCGATATCGATTGAAGAATCAGTATTGATGGTAACATAAAAGTAGCCTTTCCTTCCCATGATTCCCTCGCTCGTAATTTTCTGATTAAGTTGTTCATACCTTGGTTCGCTAGACCGAATGTAACCAATATATGATCTATTGATTATATGTATGGGTGATATTTTCATGTGTTCACACAAACTCTCCACTTACCTATCACTATTGTAAACAAAGTGAGCAAAAGGACCTGATTGAATTTTCATAATTACTCGTTTTCCTATTAAATTATTGGATTTAAGTACTGATTGTTTTGCAAGCTCAGTACTTGAAAAGTCATTGATTTTAGCTTAATGCCATCCTGAGAACCAACCACGTTGCTGACATTGAATCCATAGAGTGGTTTTTCTGAATCTATGGGAGATGGTTCAACTCGAACACTTTGCAACACAGGCAAACAGGTGGCTTTGTGATTGGTCCAATCCTTCTTTTGGCATTCTATACTGCAATAGAATACAGATTTACAAATAGAGCAACGCTTAAGAGCGTCTGATTTACCGCAGTATTTGCAACAATATGTAGATAATGTCTGCTCTTCTTTTTTGTCAGCTCGAATTTGCTTCTTTCTTAAATATTCAATGACGTTATTATCAGAAGCCACGCTGATACAGTCATCTCCATGTATTGTTTGGCTTTTTGGATCTAATCCATGCTTTTCAATTAAATATTGACATATTTTGAGATTGTTAGCTGCAGCTGCTGTGTGTAAATAAGTAACCTTGCTCTTGTTTTTGAAATTTACATTTCCACCTTTAGAAAGTAATAATTTTGTTATTGACAGGCTTGCAATTTGTCCAACTGAAGAACAAGTTAATAAATAAAGTCTAATAAATTATATCATTACTCACCTGCATAGGATATTGGTGTGAGATCTGTAAGGTCAACTACGTTAGCATTGGCTCCATGGTTCAACAGAATTTCTAAACACTTCTTGCGTTTAAAGCACACGGCTAGATGGAGAGGTGTGAAATGGAACTTTGGATCTTTTTGATCTACCAAACCCTTTTTTTCAACACTGTCCGTAATTTTTCCGAGATAGTCTTCTAGATCGTCAGGCTTGTCAACCGTTATACATGTAAATACGAAATCAGGTTTGAAACCTATGCCCATGTCCTTATACTTTGAGGTAAAATATGACTTGACATCAACAGGTTCGTCTTTCTTTGGACTATTCTTCATTTTCTCCTTTACCTCCTTTTTAAGAGTGCTAAAACGTTTGATTTCATTGTCATACTCATTGTCGGTGTCAAACAACTCATATTTGAATTGCTCCACTACCTCAACTCCCTTTGAAATGGTTTCAAGTGCTTCTGTATACTCTCCCAACATCATGGCAGCTTGTGCTGCTCGGTAATATCCTTTTGGCCAATCAGAATTCCACTCAATACAATCCAGTGCATCTTGCTTCGCTTCCAAGTACTTTCCAGACATTAAATAATTTACCGAGCGATTAGAAAATATTAAATGTGCATTAGATAACTGTTCTTCAATTTCCTTGTACTTCTTTCGTATTTGTAGCCTATCCGAAACTGGTTTTGTTACGTTAAGTTGTTGCATTTTATATGAAAGAATTTTAGTTTGGTCCCACTCTTTCAATCTCATTCTATTATCATTTTCATCGGAAGCTGTAAGATATTCATCAATACATTCAGTCAAAATGGAGATGGCGATATCAAATTCCTTTTTAGAAAAATGCTTATTAGACTCTTCCCGTTTTCTCTTCATAGTAGCAATCATCGGAAGTACTTGATTAGCAAGTAATTGTTGAATTACTGCGAATCTTTCCTCATTGCTCTTGAAAGACGAGAGAAATTTTTCAAATGAAGCGATTTCCTCCTTGTCGACTTTCTTTGGCATTTTTTTTTGGTGGACAATTGTGCATCCTTAAGATTCAATACGTAGTAAATCGAGTTTTTACCTCGGATGTAAGGACACAATAGATGTCTCTTAAATCATTTCCTTTTTGGTGTTCGTCTTGACATGACTCTCCACTTTGACCACAAACTCCAACAATTGATGGAATCCATAGCCACAATTTGTGGACACTTCCAAGTATGAATAAATATGTGGTTGATTCTTGGCTGCCAGTTGTGCTTCATCACTGCACACTCCGTCAAGTCGTCGAGCTTTAGTTTTTGAGCCCTTCTTTGATAAATACACGAGAGAATGCTTATCTTCTTCCAGACCAATAAGGATTTGAGGCTTTGTACATTTCAAGTCGAATGGAGAGCTTATCGATTTCCATGTACCTATATTGGTCAAGTCAAAACAAATTAAATAAATATCACACTCATTGTCATGACTGCGATCCGTAAAATCAATGGCATACATGACATTTTCAATGAAAAAGTAATGATATCCCTCAAGTAAATGACCCTTACTGCCATATACAAGTCTAGATATAAACTCTTTGGTTCGTACATTGAAAGCCGCAATGATTCCAACATGTAATGCCTTCCATTCACAAAAGAATGAAATGGTTTTTGGTAATGTACATGAAGAATGAACATGCATCACATCGGTCATGGTCAAGAGCTTGGTTGTGTTTTCCTTATTATTTTTCATGATTTGTGGCCATGTACTTGAATATTGACTATTATCAGTTTTGGCACGTTTCGATAATTCTTGAAGAAAATTCTGTTTAAAATTGAAAGTGACATGACGCAACTCTGGAAACCAATATTCAAAAATAATTTCCAAATAAAATCTGAGCCTGAGCATGTATAGAACCTTTTTGAAACTCTTGAGAATATGTGTACAGATTCTAGAGGTAGAAACGATGCAATATAGGAAAGTACATCATGTGAGAGGAGTTCAAAATAAAAGCACCTTAATGGTTGATTTGTTTGTTGTTCATCGATCGTGTCGTCCTGATGATGAGTGAATGATTGAAATCCACCTACAATGTAACAAGTTAAAGTGCTGTCATGTAGTAAGGTAGCAAAACTAAATCCATCATGAAATGCAAAAGGATTGGTCATGACATTACTATGGATGCTCTTGGATGATGAAACATGTAATGAAAGAAATACACAGTCCACAGTTGGAACACTTGAATATTGATAGTATTGAATGTCTCCACTGTTCATATCCAATTCAATGCAAGTATTATCAAAGATCCATGAATCTTGAACCAAATTTGGTTGAACGTTGAAAGGCATGGTGGTGGAATCCATTCCTCCAACGAGTAACAATTTGTCTTCCCTGAATACACTGCAATGACCAAATTTATCCCATCTCTTTTCCATACCAATATCCATGGACGTAGAATTCACATCATTTACAAGGACTACACATTGGCTGCTCCCTTCTGCCTTATGATTTCGAATAATGGTCAATTTACAAAATGTAGAGTCCAATAAATCTGTGGGGTTGTGAATGACACGAAAGGAGGAGCTCCTCAAACCTCCAGCAATCCACAAATCAATTTCATTACAAGTCTCTCGTATAACATTCATTGTGAAAAAGCATCGTCCACTCAATAGTGATGAAGTTGTTTCCTCTGAAGTGAAGGTGGAGGAGCAGGTCTGTGTAACAATCAAATACGGTTCAAGATTAATCCAAATACCACTATTCAAATCTAGAGCATATAAATCATTCAATAACATTCCATTTTCATTCTTTCCACCATGAATAATCAACCAATCTCCAAATAACACACAAGCATGTCCGTATCGTGCCTGTGGAACAACCGTGATGGTATCATTTGCCCATGTTTCATAATTAATACATGCAATCCATTGGGAAGTTTTGACATCAAACACAGCCAAATCATTCAAACATTCCATTCCACTTTTACCTCCAAAAACAAACAACAAGTGTCTATGAGCATCATAACAAGAAGAATGAAATTGACGACCTTTTGGTGTGATATTCGCATATTGTTGTTGCTGTTGTACATGATAATAATTATTATTATATTCATTCCCATCATTCTTCATTAAAATATATTTACAACATGTGGTAAATTCATTTTCTGTCAACTCTAACAAATAGAGATCATTCAACACATTATACTTGATCACACCGTTCACAATTTCTTCATGGCTTCCACCAAATAACAAGAAGAGTGTTGTAGAAGAATTTTCAGATGGTGATGATGAAATAATTTCAGTGCACGAATGACCACATGATCTCTGTAAAATTGTGATGTTCTTCTGATCACACTCGATCATCTCCCAAACAATATTCTTAGTATCATGTGAACGTGGTTTCAAAGAGTGATTTTTCAACCAGAAGGGAATGCGTTGTTGGTTGTGGCTTGTTGTTGTTTTCGGAAAGTCGTTGTTGGAAAGAACTTGAACAAGAGACCACAACAATTGACTTGACATTTTTTACACAAATGGCATTAAAAATATTACTTTTTAAAAACATCCCCCACTGTATGCTTTTTGGAAAGTTGTCCAAGAAAGTTTGCTCGTTGAAAATTTGATACTGCACCCAATTTTCCAGTGATGATTGGAACAGTTTAAAAAAAATGTGTGGAAGAAGTTCTCTATCTCTTGCACCCCCGCAATTCCGCGATGTTGCCAGCCGTCAACTCGGAGCAGATATGCACCAGACAGTTTGGATCGGACAGGCTCTATTCAAGCCACTGTACAATTTCAGCATGGGAGCATGCTTACCCATAATTTATTATGATCCAAGTGTTTCGGATCATGATGATGAAAAATTGAAAATGGAGGAGGCTCCATCGGCTGCTGACGAAAAGAATTTTCTCATCAAAAAGGAAAATAATCCAATTCATTCATCTAATCATGTAATTTCTCACAAGGATATGATTAAACAAGAAATTAAAGAAGAAGAGCCTTTGATTCAAGTCAAGAAGGAGGAATCTAGTACACCTCCTCTGTCAAAGATACATGGACTTCATCTACAAACCATGACTTGGGGACTCACCTCGTACACGAGTGATCATCACCAACTACACACTGTAAAAGCTATTAATGCTCGAGCAGAGACATTGCAGGAAAAGCCAACCTTCAAACGATTGCTCAACAAGCACAGAGCTATTCTATTTGTTGAAGGATTTTATGAATGGAAGAGCGCTCAGCTGAATACAGGAAAGAAACAACCATATTACATTCATCCAAAAGAAAAAGGTACACTTATGTGTTTTGCAGTCTTTATGACAAGCAAGAACCTTCAAATGCAACCAATGGTTACAACTTCACTGTGATTACCGTGGAAGCTGATGAAAAATTTGCTCATATCCATGATAGAATGCCTGCAATTCTTACGAGTACGTCTGACATTAGAAAATGGTTAGGTATTGATCCTACAGATGACGTCTTGTCCCTATTGAAAACTTGTGATTTTTCTCAACATTTAAGCATGTATGAAGTGTCAGATTTTGTGAATAGTGCAACGAATCAATCATCCAAATGTGTCAAACCTCTTAAGGAAATTCAACATGGAAAAGGGTCCTTACATTCGTATTTCAAACCAGCAGCTCCAAGCGTGTGAAAGATGAAATGGAGAGCACCTCCTCTCCATTCAGTACGGATGACAGAAATGCCATCAACATTCCTCAAAGCAATACTATTAAGGAACCTGAGACAAAAAAGATAAAAAAAGAAGAAGAACAAGACACCTAAGTAAATAAATTTAGTTACTGATACTCCGTGATTCAGTAGATACATCATTCAATAATCGTTCAACAGAAATCAGATGATTACATTTAATAATACTCACGACAACGCATCCATCAACAAGACCCCGATAAAGTGCAAAGTGCTAGCTAAACTCAACCTCCCATCCTTCAATTACCCTCGTGTAACCGAAGAGCAAGCAAAACAGTTAGCAAAGGACATACCTACAATCATTAAACAAATAGTATTAGCCGAAGAACAAGCACCAATATTACTGGACAATAAATAGATTTACAAATATTACTGTAATTTACAAAAGTTTCTTGTTCTTTACCTTCTTCAGAAAGAACGATAAACTGTTTGAAATTATTCTGTCATCATTATTCAGTGCATGCCCTTTGAACTATCTGTGCCTATTTCTCAAAAAAATGTTCAGTCAATTTTCTAAAGTTTTCCGAGGCTCTTCATCCTCAGTCATGTCTTTGGTGAGAAAGACTCAACCAAAGAGAGGTCTTGAGGAATTTATTGATAAAACTATTCTTGAAGGAAAGGCTATGGAATCATGTGGAAGAGCTTGGGGTCTCCGAGAACTTCGTTTAAAATCTCTCTCCGATTTACAAAAACTGTGGATTGTTTTGATGAAGGAACGTAATATGCTATTGACTGCTAGATTGCTAGCAAAAACTATGGGAGGTAAAATTACTCATCCTGAGCGTTTGGCAAAAGTCAGAACCGGAATGGCCAGAATTAAAATTGTAATTGCTGAAAGAGAGCGAGAGGCCCGAGCAGCTGCTAAAATCGAATTCGAGAAGAGAAAAGCAAAGGGTTATTATAGTTATCCACAGGTGAATGCTTTCGGATTGCAAGCAAGTGAATCATCATCCACGACTCAAGCAAGCCCTTCATCACAATAATTTGCCGAAGAATTCATCATGTGGTGCACTATTTTCTCATCACGGTAGTTTTTCATCACCAAATAGAATTCACAAATCTTTCCTAAATTTTAATTCCACCCCATCTATGGCTTCTTCTTATTCCTCCTAAAACGAAATAAATTGGCTCAATCATTCCTTTAATTCAAAATTTAAAATCGTCAATTTGAAGTGAACGCCTTGTGTCCTTTCAACAAACTTGTTGTTCCCTTCAAAAAAATGTCCCGAAAGAACAACAAGAAAATAAAAGCAAGGTAACGTTGAAAGCAGCTCGGAATTGATGATTCTGATCGAATTGTCACCAAATTATAACGGTTTTTTATGAATGGTCGTAATCAATCCAGATATAACAACTTTCTGTTAGAACAAGAGAAACAAGAGGAGGAAAAGAGGAAACAAAAAGAACAACGAAGAAGAGAAAAGCGAGAACAAGAAGAAGAATCTGGAATGCTTGATGAAGTGAAAAATAATGTCCTTGTAAAGGAAGCACAAAAGAATGCTAAAAAGCTTGAAAAACAACGAGAAAAACAAAAACAAAAGGAAGAACAACAAGCTGCTGAAGAAAACAAAATGGTGGACGAAAACGATGTCGAAAAGCGACCAAGACGTCACACTAAGAAGAGAAATAAACCATACTAATTTTTTACTCAACTTTGATTTTTGCACTGGTTATCAACAATGCATGTGAGGATTTGGTTAAGGAAAAGAGCAAGAATATAACCCATGTAGGAATCATGATCACACAAAACACAATGTAAAATAAGTTATGAGGTAGGTCAGTAATGAGAAACAATGATTCGAGTTGGGAGGTCATAGAAATACCAAAATAATAGTTTTTGGCTACCACATTGGCCACAAGTAAATTGAAAGGACACATGATCAAAATGGCAATAATTTGGAATAATCTCAAAATCTTACTTTCAGGAATGGTCATTGTGATTGTACATAGAGTTAATAAAAATGTAGAAAGAAAAATACAGATGGCGCTCGAATAAATCATACTTGCTCCAACACATAGAGTAGACACAGCAACGGCCAATGATTTAACACTTCTCCAACTAAGATGGCCAGGTCGTGCTCCAATGAAAAATTCATAAAGCTTGGATGACATTGAGTGAGAGATCAATAACGAAATCATCACCAGAGCTACCACAATAGAAAACCAATATTTTGTAAAATCTTCACCAGTGCTACTAATGAATGGTAAATGAATGGATACATCTCTTAAAATTATTGGAGTTAGATAAATCAAAATTCCTATAAAATAATTTGTGGAAACAAAGATCAAAGAGTGAGTTAACACCTTTCCTGTGGCTACTTCCAAGTAATAATTACCAATAAATTGAATAGTCAAAGCTCCAACAAACATTAATAAATTTGGTAAATAATGTTCAAATCCATAATAATGTTGAGATGAGACAATGTAATAAAGGAAAAATGATTGATGCAGCTGTTCAATAAGGTTATTAAGACTTCTGATAGTAATTTCTATTACTCGGCCAAGCAAATAAAATGTTTGATTCAAACTCTTGTTCATAGACGAGGATGGAGCAATTGAGTTTGTAATAGTGAATGCATGTGTGAGTTGCTTTCTAAACCAACCATGAGGTCCTGTAGGAATTGATATCAATTGGTTGTACCAGTGATACATTACTATGACACTTTCTTCAATAAAATCACGAGGAATTGCATTGTTGAGTGCTTCGTTAAGCTTATAGAGCAATTTTTGATATAAATAAATAGTTATTGGTAAATGTTTCTTGAATTGAGAATATTTCTTAATTACAGAATCGACATTACTGCTCGTTGTGGGATCAGCTTTGAAGAACGAGGCCAATACAGATGATCCAAAATTATAATATCCCTCGCTCAGTAATCCTGTTATGACATTTACCATGTCAAGATTAGGTAGCTCTCCATTTACTCCTTCCGTTAAAATTGCAACTTGTTCAAAATCAAATGAATCTAAATCAATGGTGATGGCTTCTCTCATTCTTCCAGTAGGTATGACTGCAGAAGATATAAATGCGTCCTCACCTGCCCATTGTTGATCATATCCATCACTGATGACCAAGATAATGTCATGATTCAACCACTTCATTCTTGAAATCATCTTTACAATGGACAGAGAGAATGCTAAGCTTTCTAATTTTGAAAATGGAACTGTCAGAACAATTGACTCTTTGCCATTTCCACGTCCAGGCCTTATTGTGACATACAAATTCTCTCCTTTCACTCTAACAATCTTATTGATATAATTTCTTTCAATTTCGAAAGAGTGTCTTTTCAATTCGTTGAAAAAAGGTGTCTTTTCCAAGTTTAAATAATTTTCTATTGTTCTGTACGTTTGCTCTCTGAAATCATCCGATGATCGATTCAAAACTTTCAATTGATTATAAATATCAACACCGAAATTAGCATCCATTTGATTATACTCTGGATTTTGAAAGAAAACAGATAGAGCATTCTCCGAGTAATAAACATGTTTTGATAATAGAGGCCAACACATAAACCATCCAATGGCTCCAATAAATAACAATAATGAAATCAAATTGAAATATTTTCCAATCAGAATAAATAATTTGCGAATACCTGTTGGAGGTGGTGAAATTATAGGGGTATTATTACCATCTGTAGGAGTTACCAACGTTGGTGCACCTGTATCGGAATTGGTTGATGATGAGATCGGATTAGGTTCTTCTTCTTCGGTGATGATAAGATTCGGATCCGTCATTTTTTTCTTCTAATCATACCTTTCAATAAAGGATCACTGAACTAAAACATTGAGACTACGTTGTTGCCTTTGATGGTTCAACTATTCCATCCAATTGATGAATGGATTCCATGAAATTTGCTGAGAATTGGTTTCAAATTCTGAAAATTGCAGAGAAAAAATACCTTCACACGTTATAAGCCTTTCACTCCGCGTCCATAGCGCTGTCATCTTTTTATTCCGAATATTCACAACCACACTCATAAAATGTCCTCTTCTTCCGTTATTCATGAATCATCAACATCAGCAACACCCATTCGAGTATGCGTTACCGGAGCTACAGGCTTTATCGCTTCTCATATTGTTTATCAACTATTACGAAAGGGATATATTGTTCACGCTACAGTGAGATCAGTAGAGAAGGGAAGAAGAGAAATTATAAATAATATCAGAGATTATGAGAGCAAGAATTCTGAACTTGGGAAATTGGATCAAAAACTTTTAGAGGAAAGACTGATTTGTTTTGAAGCTGATTTATTGAAAGAAGGAAGCTTCAAGAATGCCATTGAGGGATGTCGTTTTGTTCATCACACTGCTTCACCATTTAAGGTGCATGTACAAAATGCAAAAACAGATTTGGTAGATCCTGCAGTGAAAGGAACTTTGAATGTGTTGCAAGAATGTGTAAAATTGAGAAAGTCTCAAAGAAATGACGATCCATCTCGATTTCAAAGAATTATTTTAACGAGTTCCATAGCTTCAATTACTGATAGTGCAAAACCAAACAAGGTTTACAATGAGAAGGACTGGAATGAAGAGTCCTCTCTCACCTATAACCCATACTTGTATTCAAAGGTGATGGCTGAGAAGGCTGCTTGGCAATATTTACAAAAAGCACAATTAGAACACGGAAACGAATTTATTGAACTAGTAACACTCTGCCCTGCTGTAGTTATTGGCCCTCCAATGAATCCAAGACTGATTAGTCAGAGTCATGAAAGTATCATGTTAATGGCTCGAGGAGAATTCCCAGTGATTTTGCCTTTGGATTTTCCATTTGTTGATGTTCGTGACGTTGCAAAGGCACATGTCATGGCCATGGAACACAATATGAACGATAGATCGTGTTTTGCACCTTACAAAGTTGAAAGATTTATTATTTCTAATGGAGAGACAACATCGATGAAGGATTTGGTCAAGCAAATGAGAGAAGCTAAAGTTCCTCCTTATAAGTGGGCTAAGAATTTACCAACAATTTCTCTTTATGGATATATTGGAATTGGAGTTGGTAGATTGGCAGCTTTACTGCAACCAAAAGGTTTGAGACAATATTTAACAAGTATTCTTGGAAAACCATTGTACTTTGATAACACAAAGGCCAAACGAGTGCTTGGATTGGAGTTTAAAAATTGGAAGGACAGTGTTACAGATTCTGTAAAGTTTTTGGATGAAAATGGGTTTATTCTAAGCAAACTATAATTACCCTAGTCCTCCATTGTTTATCACAAGAAATGCTTTGTACTCACATTATTAGCACTACAAAATGATGACAAACAGGTCACGAAAGTTTACCATTATTTTAAGGCAAGTTGATGGCCGATTAGAATAGTAGTGTCTTTAATAAGTAAATTTACAAATTCAACCACCACAAATAATCCACAAACATAAAAAAACGATGAAAGAAGAGCATCATAGAAGTCCCCAATTCACCAACTATGGTCGAGTGAGGTGTCCAAGATATAAATTCTATCACTCACCGTCAAGGTATTCACAACACCACCAGCACCATTATCATGACTCGGAACATACATTTGAAAAGATTTACCAAGTTCTCGTTCCAGGTATTCACAAAACCAATCAAAACTTGGAAGAGTTGATTCTCACACAAGAGGAAATTCAATCGTTGAGTCATCCATTGTCACCTCAATTTATGCTTGGGCTTGGACAAGCTCCTCCAAATGAATATACATCCTCACAGAATGAACCTCCATTCTATGTCTTGGATGTGAGTCGATTGCTGTCACAGCCTCAAACACAACAAAATTTTCCTGAAATTTCATCTTCACAATCCTCGTCATTATCTTTTCAAACCTTAAACGACGAAGGTGAAATTGAGGAATCACAACAACCACCTTCAACCACCACTACCACAGTTAAAGCTAGCTCTCCAGTCAAACAAGATTTAGATCCATTCTGGTCCAACGTATGTCGAGTGATATTGAATAGATTCATGAATATCACTCATTTAAATTTGGATTCAAACGGAATTCATAGTTTACAAGTGTGGCAACCATTAGTAAGATTGAGGCACTTGATTTCTCTTTCTTTGCGTCATAATAACCTGGAATATATTCAAGAATTGCAACATTTAAAAGGTTTAGGAATTGTCAGTTTAAACGTTGCAGGAAATCCATTCCTAACTGCACAAAACAATCAATTCATGCGAGAGGATATTGCACTTCTCATTCAATACTTTCCTTCTCTTGAAAGTGTTGATGATTTTATCATTCCTGAAGAATTTAAGGGTGAAACCATAGTGATGCGAAAAAGCGTCTTGCCAGGTATTTTGACGTCAAGTTTCTACGAAAATACTTTTCAGCGAGAGTATATAGAGTGGTTTCTTCTTCAATACTTTACATATTTTGATTCGAATCGAGATCAACTCTTTCAATTCTATCATGAAAATGCCACCTTTTCCTTCTCTTATAATATGAATGAAATTGTTGACTTACCTGAAACAGTCGAATCTCGTTTCGTAATGAAACCCTATAAACCCTACTCTAGAAATGTTCGATTCATCTTGGAGAAGGAATATATTGATAAGAATATTTTAGAAAGCTCAACTATTAGTTATGGAAAGGAACAAATTGTGGCAAGATTGAGAATGCTGCCACCATGCAGTCATAATTTGAATGTGAAATTAGTGGATGTTCAGAATGTACCTTTTTTGAATGGCTTACTTGTAGTGTTTCATTGTCCATGCGAACAGTTTGATATGAAAGGTTTTGCGTTTCCTCGTTCGATCGATTCCGTGTTCTTCATGACTGAAAATCAACCCATGGATATCTCCGCGAGTTTGAATTTGCCTTTCTTGATTCGAAATCATCAATACCATATTCGACCTTATTCTTCCCTTAATTTGAATCAATTTCGATCAGATGCTAATATCTATGAAGCTTGGAATTTCGGAACTCCTGCATCGACAACGACTCCAAATTTCACATTTTCTGCTGAGGCCATTCTCTCAGACTTTTTACAGGCAACAAAACTCAAACGAGAATTTGCAATTCCTTGTTTGGAATATGTTGGTTGGAATCTCCAGAAAGCCATGGATGTGTTTATGATTGAGAATAGAAATGGTACAATTCCGGCCCAATGCTTTCAAGTGTAAATAAGAATATCATTAAATTATCTACAAGTTCTTCTTTTTCATGTCTATATCAAATAAATGATTCAGCTCGTTGACAACTTGTACATGAATAGGATCATAGTCTAATCCATCCACACTAATGGTAGCTTGGTTTCGAACGCCATCAACCATTTGGCACTCATTGACCATAAATGTTAGATAATTGAGGTCAATCTGAACATCTATTCCTTGCATTGGCTTATTTTCAACAATAGCATTTCTACAATACTCAAATAATAAATATAATATATAGCCTCCCCAATTACTGACACCACAAACGAGTAAAAAGTCACTCTTCATCACACATGCTATTTTCTCTCCATTAGGAATGCATTTCTCAACATGTTCAAGAACACTACCCATTCCAATTTCATTTCCTCCATCACCAATGCTCACAAGAGGAGTGTTTGGATGTTTCTTTTGGACATATTCAATAATGATGTCAAGAGCAAGATTATAACCAGAAATTTCAATGCCTCTCATACTGTAACATTTTCCATCTTTTGATCTTCCAACTCGTTCAATTGAAATGAAAGAATGAATGTCATCTAAATAATCTTTACATTCTGCAGAAGCCTGGTGAATATCGTTGCAGTCTTGTCTGGTCACCTTAACAATTTTTACTCGTTGTTCATCATTTCCAAAAACCATTTTCAAGAATTTTAACATTCCTTCGTATTGATTTTCGTCCACAAAATAAAGAACATTCAAAGGAGTAAATCTCAGCACTCCTAAACCAATCCAAATGGCTCCTAATGGACCATCTGTTTCTGCATAGCCATTGGGTGGTACTGAAAATCCGGTAATAATTGCAACGAATTTTTTGTTGGAATTTTCAGAGCTGGATGATGTAGAATCGACAAGTGTCATGATGGAATTTAAAATATAATCATGAACAATGCGAACGATTGATTGAACATTGTAATCCTCCGAAATATCTTTTGAAGCGTTTTGAAGAAGTTTGTCAATACCTCTCGTTCCTAAATCTTGAGAAATAATTTTTGAAAGAGATGAAAAGAGGGTGTGCTGAGAAGACATTTTTTTGTTTCATCCAATCATTAATACCATCTATTATTGAAATATTAATATTTCCGAAATTGATTTCCTCCATTTCTCTGTGTGTATGTTATTGCAATTTAAGCTCGAGTTTGGCTTTTCAATTCTTGGAATTGTATCCATTTTGGCAGAACTTGGATGGGGCAAAAAGAGTTGTTCCTTTTTGAAGAGTTCAAGCATTGTATTCTCCTCACTACCCACTCTCACCTTGGTCCACACCTCGTGATTCATGCCAACGACCAAGAGAATTTACCTCGTGATTCAGGTGACCAAGAGAATTTCAAATGAAATGGAAACCAGATGATGGCTTATAAAGGCTTTCTTGAATGGTCGTTATTATTAATAGCACCAAAAAACCAACCGAAAAAAAAAAACATTTTTTCAAAGCCATTGCTCGTTCCTCCATACAGCAACGAAATTGTCCCTAACAAGTCCTCACTCGTCTTGTTCTAGAATAATTTTCGAAACAACCTGACATTTATTTAGGTTTTATTGTCTTCATCATCACCACTCAATCAACCACCATATAGCCTCACGCATCCGTTGAAAATGCATATGCTTTATAGGGATTTTAATTTTTTGAATTCACCAGAACAAAATAGTATGGGCAAGAAGCAAACAACAACATCATCCTTGTTGGACGAGATTGTTGTTTCTTGCTATACTCGTTCTATGGGTGGAAGAAGGGAGAACTTGTACTTCTTTAGCCATGACGACGGCAGAGGGCCTCGCTGTTTTTGATGTGGCTATGTTCGCATTGAAACAAGTTGATTTTTCCTATCGCCCATTGGCTGTAGGATCTTCTAATCATGACTCCCGTATTGATACTCTTATTCAACAACTTGACCAATCCATGAACTTTATTGCTAGTACAACAAATAGCACCACTGCTGGTAGTAATACATCTGCAATCAAAAAGCCCGCTTTCAAGCAGAGTGTTATGTTTGTTTATAACGCTGAATCATTGGATGCCGATTCTGACGATGATTATGATGATGATACTTTATCAACTTCTTCAACATCTTCATCCGATGATGAGTCTGCAACATCTTTAGAATTATCACGGGCAATTAGAACAGGCTTCACTGGCATTATTGATTTTGAGAAGAACGAAATGATGATCTACCCACCTTCTCATTCTACATACTTACACAAGGATAGCATTATCAATTTAATGGATATTGCTGAAAGTATTTGTTGTTCAACCATCTACATTTGTATGGAGAAGAATCATCCTGAAGTGAAGGAATTTGCTCGCGGATTCATTTATGCTGGATTTCAACTTGTTCAACCAAGCATTAAGAAGTTGAATCCTACCGAATGGGTTTTGTTTGGAGCTGAGTTGTAAATAGTAGTAATAGTGGGCACTAGTGAGCAAGATAGTTTTTGCAATTGGTCAAGCATGAAGGGATTCATGAATTCAATATCATACGATATCTAGTAGAGAGGACAAACCACTGCTTTGGATGACAGATTGAACAATTGTAAATTTCATGACCATCAAATCATGAAATTTTGATCTTTGTTCGCATAATCTCGATAGTAGAGTTGTTGGAATGTCTGTCTCTATTTTGGAGGATGACTGTGATTTGTATTTGTGTTTCTTTTCGAATAAAATTTTGGAGTTATGAAAATCAAGACATCTCTTTTTTGGTTTGATTGTTCCCTTAATCAAGCTTAACTGATAAATTCGGTGAGAGCCTCTGTACTGTTGAACAAGAGAGTTCTTTGTAAAAGTCTTCATCCATTGACTTCCTCTCGAAGAAGAAAGTGAGTTCACTTGAGAAGACTTTCCTGGTTTTAGAGTAAGCTCGATTTATTCAAGGAGTGATTCTTCATTCCTTTTCCTCTCGTCTTGCAATTTGAAAAGAGTGAACAAATAACTGCCAAGCAAGGTGAATAGTGTTGATGCAATACTGTAAGTGGAGAAAAAGTGATGGTGACCTTCACTTCTATGAAGAGAAAGAGACAACACGCTTTCGATCACAGATTTGAGTGTCACAATCACTGAGGTAGACAATGGGGAAGTTCTCGAAATGAGCACAAAATTCGAAATGTTGACTATGAATGCCACAAAACCTGTACCAATTAAAATGATTAAGAATTTAGGTTCAAACAAGAATGGAACAGCTGATGCCTTCTCAAATTCTCCTGTCATGACACAAATTGGAAATAAAAATAAAATAGCTCCAATGGTGTTATAAATTAAAATAATCCAATGGTTCTTCTGAGTAGATGACATGATCTTTTTCAAATAGATAGAGTATAAAGCCATAAAACAGCTCGATACTAATCCAAATGCAAATCCAACAAGATTAATTTTTGATAATTGTGTTTCCTTAATTCCTGCCATAAAATATCCAATAGCAATGATAAAACAAGCAAAAATAATTCTTTTTGAAATGTGTTCACCTAAAAGAACAAATGTGAAAAGTGCAGTAAAACAAATGCTAATACTTCTTGCTGTATGATAAACATGAATGTCTGAATAATCTAAACATAAATTATTGAAAGTAACCATTCCTACGTAGAGAAGAGAAACAGGCATGATTTGAATTGCTGTTTCTATTTTAAATTCAAAATCTGGTAAAAAGCTAAAACAAAAGGTTCTTTGAAAATTATTAGCAAAAATTGAAAATATTTGCCGTCATCATCGACAAGTGACAGAAAATCAATGTATATGTCATATATGACAATTATTGAATAAAAATGATTTCAAATATTTAACAATTATTTCATACCTATTGAGACTATAAGTACAAAGAATGCAAATCAGTGCCACTAGTAAATGAGACCAAGTCATTGTCAATGGAAATGGAAATGTATATTCTCCAATATCCATTAAATATTTTGAGAAAAATAATGAAGATATCGATGTGATAATAAAGAAAATTATTGCAAATAATACTTGACTATGGACATTGGTGAAATTCAATCAATGTTGAACACAACATACATTTTAGAAGCATCTTTTTGAGAGTGGTGCTTGTTGTGGATGAGTGATGATGATGATGGTGAATGGGATGGTATCGGAGAAGATGATTTTGAGAGAGGTAAAATTGTTTCCGATTCTTCATGATTCGTTCGTTGTTGTTGTTTGGAAGATGAAGTGATACGAGAGCTGAGTTCACCAACCATGGAACTTGATGACATGTTGTTGTATTTTTTTAATTGAAAAATTATGATTTGGAAAGATGAGATACCTCAAAACAAGTACGTTGTTGTCACAAAGGTTGATGTTGTGAGAGAATATACAAGGAGGAGAAGAGGTTTATTATTTCAAAATATGATTATTGAAAAAGCCAGATCCAAAGAGTTGAGAAGTATTGTTCACGTTTCTACTGTCCACAGTGGAGTGATGAGGAGGCGGTGGTACGTTGAACGAGTAAGAACTGGTTGGTTGTTGTTGGTGTTGTTGAGTATGAGGCATGTTGTTGAAAGTGTGATCCTCACCAAAGATAGATGGAGTAGGATTGGCAGGGAAAGGTGAGCCCATAAAGTTGTTTCCACCATTCATACCTCCTTGTGGCATGTGAGTCAAGTGAGCATAATTCATCCATTGTTGATATTGCTGTTGCTGGGGAGGCATTGGTTGCATCATGTATGGTGCATTCATTCTATTTTGATTGTTGTATTGAGGTGACGAATAACCATTAGAAAATGCGTAAGGTAAAACGTTTGGGAATTGGTTGCCTGATTGTGTCTGACCAAATAAATTAAACTGAGAAGCTGGTTGATTGGCATTGCTATTGAAATGACCGAACAAGGATGGTTGTTGTGTCTGGGTGGATTGATAATTGCCAGCATGTTGCTGTGGGTTTTGAAAATTGTTTCCTCCCGTAAAATGGAATGAGCTATTGTTCAACGACATTTCTGCAGGGTTTAGGAGTGGCTTGCCAAATTGAAACGCGTTAGACATAGGTTGCCAGCCATTATTGAAAGCATTGTTTGGTTGGTTGTTTGGATGATTTGGTGGAGAAGGTGATTTCCTTGCTCCATTGAGCTTTGGATCACTACTGGTGGTGACAATTTGATCATTCACAGAAACAATATTTGATGGAGTCACAACAGGTGGATGTTGGGTATTGACAGAGCTATTCCCAGAGCTCATAGTATCGCTAGATGAAATCGTGTCCATTGGTGCTGTAACCTGAGATGACTGAGAGGACGATGTATTGCATGATGCCATAGATTTCGACGAATCTTCCGTGACTTTCTTTACAGGTTTAGCACTCTTTTTGTCATTGATATTTGATTTAGGTTGATATCTTGGGAATTGCTCAGGTGTCACCTTAATAGAGACATCACTCATGTCATTCTCAAAAAGAATGTGAGTAATTTCTGGTTGTTGTGGTTCAGTGGCCTGATCATCGGAATGAGGAGACTCAACTTCATGCACATCTTTGTGTACCTCTCGTTTTTTCTGTTTTTCCTTCTTGATAATATCTATCATCTCCTTTTCGATCTTTTTTCGTTCCTCCTCCATCTTTTTCTGTTTTTCTTGCTCTTGTTTCTTCTTTTCTTGCTCTTTCTTCTTTTTCATCTTCTTCTCACTTTTTTCTTTTTCTTTAATTTCCTCTTCTTCGATTAACTTTGCTTGCATATCTAATGCTTGTTTTTCTTTGAAAGCGTTTAGAATATTGTCATAGAATGCCTTAGCAGCAAATAAATGAAAGACTCTCCTACTTTCTCTCCATTTCAAAATATTTTCTTCAGAATTTTCACTTTCACATTCTGACTCTTCATCTTCTTCCTCTTCCTCGGTTTCTTCATCTTCTTCCTCTTGTTCGTCGTCTTCTTCTTCCGAGCATTCTTGATCATCTTCGTCAACATCGTCCTCTTCGTTGTCGTCATCTTCATATTCATCGTCCTCAGATGCATTGTTATTATTATTTTTCTTATCCTTGTTCAATATTAAATTTTCCAAGTTGCTTTGCTTTATGCTATGCTCGAATCTTTGAAGCAGTTGAATAACATCACTGGATTCGTGATGTTTTACCCATTCTTCGGAAAGTGTGATGATGGCATCCTTACTGATTGAAAGATTCTTTCCAAATTCATATTGAGCTAAATCCTCTTGAGATAACTCTTCAGAAGGATAAGGAGGAGGAGGTGGTGGTAAGTTCTGCTGACTTGATGTACCATTTTGAGCAACGTTTTGCGTAGATGTCGTTGAAGCAGTTGTTGATGGAGTTGTGCTTGTTGTATCAGCGGTACTGTTGATTTGCTGTTTAGAAGGAGCTGACCTATCTTTTGAATCATCTGTGATGTCTTCGATAATCGGACTTGTTGGTTTCGACGGAAAACCATTGTTATCGCTTGGATTGAATTTTGTTGTAGAATAGTATTTTACAGTTTTTTCTATCACACGTACATTCCCACTCTTTTTAAATGTTGTTGTTGTTAGCATTTCGGTTCCGTCCTTGTTGATGACTGTTCTTTTAGTGGTTTTTGGTGTTCGGTTACTATTATTATTATTGCGAAGTTTTGAAGACCTGTCCACAGTGGTGCAAAAGTTAAATTGGCATTCATTGTTATGATCTGGATATGCAAGTTCTTTGCAATATTCCGTAAACAATCTTTCTAATTCTCGGTCGAGAATTGTTTTGTTCCTTCCACATACTGTACACGAACAAACTCTTTGATATTGTGCTTTTATCTTTTTGAGCAACACATATGCGTCAACATTGAACAATCTTTTACGAGTAGTAGAGTTGAGTCTTCTCCAAAAATCATGAAGTGATGTAGTTTGGCTATCCGATCGTTTAGAAGATGAGACTTGCGGAGCGGTTTTATCTCCTTTTGATTGTGATTTGCTACTACTATTGCTCTTCTTTTTACCGTGTGTACTCTATGTATCGTTGTGATGATGATAAAATTAATAAATAATCAATCGGACGTTAAAATGTTGTTGATGTGATGAACATTCGCATTAATCGTAAAAGCCATTATTATAAAATCAATCCCATTGTAACATGATTTCCATTAGAGACGGTGATGATAGTGGTGATAATTATATTAATAAATAAAACGGTGCGAACAATAACAGTCAGCAAGAAGGCTCAAAGCTTGGTGACTTACCTTTTTGCTGGGCATTTTTTTTTAATTGGAACTCTGGTTCCGAAGTCGGAGGCTTTGAAAACCACTATTAAAGAACCATGAATGGAATTGTATTTAAATTGTTAGTTGGCCTTGAAAGGTTTTATGGGCAAGCTTGAAGAACAACAACTCAGTTTTGTACCCTAAGTCTCCATCACACTTCCAAAAAAATATCTTCACTCCTCTCGAGTTGCACCAAAATATTATTTCCTCATTCAAGTTGCGATCATCAATGAGCACTCCATCATGGAAACCTAAAGGCAATACGTTTTGTAAGTACTGCCAACAATGGATTCGTGATACACCTTCGGAGCAAAAAAGACACGAGAGATCCAAACACCACGTTATAAATGTACAAAATTATATCCGAAATCAACAACAACAAGAGAGAAATGTTGAAAAGGAGCAACAAAGAAATCGGAAATTGTTAGATAATATTGAAAAAAGAGTATCTAAAAATATTAATAATGATGAGTCTTCAAATCCATATTTTCAACAATTCCTGAAACATCAAGAGGAAATGCAAAAGATTCCTTTGTTACCTCCTCCGATTCATTTGATATCATCACAACAGCCACCACAGCAACAATCTGAATTGGCTAACGAAAACATAGTAGAAACGGAAGAAAAATTTGAACCTGAATCATTTGAACATAATGATTTACCGCTGAGTACTCTTGTATCGAGTAGTGACGCAACTGAGCAGAAAACATCATTCGTAAAATCAAAGCATACAAAGAAAAGTGTCAAAACCAGTTCTGCACCCGCTGAAATTGGAGGATACTATGATGATCCGAACTATTTTTACTACGAGCAAGATGATGAAGAAGAAAGCAAAGAAGAATCCTCTAAGGCATCAGAGGCCTCTGAAGCTATTGAACAAAAACAAGAAGCTAATAAGGATATTCCTGTTGTAAAGACACAAACATCCTCCTCATGGAAGAATAAGTATGCTACTAGTTATTCCACATCATCTAACACTACATTTGGACAATGGGAGGTTGTGAGTGTTGCAAAACGTGAACCTGTGACTTCAAACAACGAAGCGTCACAACTTTCCTTTGCAACCAGTGCTGGTGATAATTTTAAAAACGATGACTCTTTAACACATGAAGAAGACACTCTTGGTGGATCATACACTCACACCGACAAGAAGAGAAAATTTAATGCCTCAACATCCGCTGATCTCTCATCCACTAAGAAAGTCAAATCTGAAGACTCCACGCAGCCTAAAAAACCCATTTCTTTTTCTCTCTCTAGGAAAAAGTAGTCAACCTCTCTCAATACATCTCGCAAGTTGGCGCCAATTCTGCTACTAAAAACTTGATTGTAACCTGCAAAAAAATGTTTTTAGGCAGTCGATCAGGGGTCGGATTAACGAAAGAATTAAATCATTCAATCAATCAACGAAGAAAACAAGAACAACACTGGGAAACGTTCAACACAATCAAACAGACCGATGCCAAACAACGATTTGCTGCTGAGTGGGAAAGTAAAACCACAATCAAAATACAAAAGGGACAACTTCAAAAGAGGTTGGACGAGCTTCGGAAAGAAAAAGAGCAAGATCTAGAAAGGCGCCGCAATAAACTTGCAGAAAAATTAGCACTTGAGGATGAACAGTACAAGCAAGAATTAGAGGCAACTCAAGAAACGACTGAAGAGAGACGTAAAAAGCTTGAGCAGCGAGCAAAGGACTTGAAAGAGCAACGAATTATGAGAGATCAAATTGCTTCCCGAGAGAAACAACACCAACGATTTATTCAAAATAACGACATTCTTCGTGATGCAAAAACAAGAACTAATACTCTTAAATGTGCAGCCGACAGAATGAGGCAACAAGAAGAAAAAGAGGAGCTTAAAATGATTGAGAAAGACAGAGAAGAATACTTTACCCAATTATGGGAGCAGGATAGGCTGAAGAAGGAAGACAGGGAACGTTCAGAACGAGAAAAACAATGGATGATGAACGAACAATTAAAACAGTCTCTTGACGACCAAAAGAGAAAACTGGAAGAGAACAAGCAAGAAATTCAGCGATTAAAAGAAGAAGAAGGAAATTTATTAAAAGAGAAATGGGCTCTTGAAGAAGAAACGGAGAGAAGAAAGCAAAAAGAAAAGCAACAACGATTATTAGAGCTTCGTAACAGAGTAGAAAAATTCAATGAAATGAACCGAAAACAAAAGCAAGAAGACATGAGAAGAGAAAGAGAGCTAGATCTTCAATTCTTAAACCATATACTTGAGCAGCAAAATTTAGAAGAAATTAAGGAAAAGGCAAAGAGAGATAGAATTAAGGAAGAGGCTAGACAGTACCAAAAATGGATTTTGGAGATGATGAAGAAAGAAGAAGAGGACACAAGACAACTGGATGATTTAATAATGCAAGAAAACGAACGATCTTGGCAAAAACGTCTCGAGCAGTGGAACAAGGAACAGAAAGCTAGAGAGAAATTAATGCAAGAAGTAATGGAAGAGCGACGAAACCAAATTCAAGCACGACTTGATGAGGCTAAAAGAAGAAGAGAGGAAAGCCTTGCAGAGCGTGACAGATTAAAACAAGAGATGGTTGAGGCACAATTGCGACAACAAGCTGAATTTGAAGAAAAACGAAGATTTTTGAAAGAAAACCAAGGCGATATTTTAGATCAAATACGGTACAATGATTTCAAAAAACAGGAAAAAGAAAAACAAAAACAAGCAGAACAACGTGCACAACTCTATGCAGAGCAAATGTATCAACAAAAACTCAAGGAAGAACTTGAGAAACTGGAAAGAGAAAAGCCAGCTCAGTTCACTCATTTAAAAGTTAGAAAGAATAATATTTTTTAGAAGTCGAACGTCATAAATATTGTCAAATAATAATTTAATGTGAACAATATTGTTATTGATCTGTTATTTCGGGTGACGCGTAAAGTGTGTTCATTGCTTCTAAAATATAATCTGACAAATCAATTATAAGTTGTAAACTTGTATCCGACGTACATATGAAGGAAACAAACAAAGAATCACCTAATTCTTCTTCGTCATCTTCATCGTTTTCAACAGAGGTTTCTGATTTTGATTTATGCATACCTTGGTCTTGATTTACCGCTTTGGTTGGTTCCGTATGCATTTGAAGAACTGAATAATCGTCATAACAACTGATTATATATCTATTCTTTCCGAATGGTAATTTGTTAGCCTGTTCAGAAGCTTGAATATGTGTTGATGGAAAAGTATTATCAAATTCAATTGTACAATCTTCGGAATAACCTCTAGACACAATATTTCCTTCCATATCACACACAATTATTGAAACTAGTCCATCAATTCTATTAAATAATTTTTCAAAAAACGGATTATTCTTAAATTTCTGTTCTTGATCTTGTGCAGCCATTAAGTGTTGTTGCTGTCGGCCAAAACTTTGTGCCAGTTGAGGTTGTTGTTGGTGTTTGAGACTTGATGAAAGAAGACTCATTTTTAATTGTTTAGTTTTATCTCAGAGATTTTACCGAAATATGTTTTCTCGATTCACTCAAGCCCGTTGCAAGACGTTCATGCAAACATCGTCTAAAGGGTGTTACTGAATGTGTTTGAAATCACCGATCTATTTCTGAGCAGTAACCAATTTCTAGAAATTCTTTTTTTTCAACTTTGTTGGTTTGCTAGCAACTTTGGCAACGAAAGCGTTTTCTTCAGTTCAGTAGTAGTTGAGAACCATCACTCCATTCTTTCTTGCACTCCATTAATGGACTGAAATTCCTTCCTCAATTGTGTTGTTGCTTTGAGAGAATTATTACAGCTTAGTTGTTGATTATGGTGCACAATTTTTCACATTGACATTTCTCATTGTTTTCTGTAATTCAACGAAGGATGTAACTTTCCAACATGTTGCTTCGTTTGTTCTCCTCCATTTGAATTGGTTGTGGGAATGTTTGTTACTTGTGACAGGGAGGATGATCCCAATGCAGCAGAACTACTACCAGTAGAAATATTTCCATGTTCAATTTCATTCCGATGTGTATTCTTTGTTTTCCTATGATGATGAGAAACAGATTCTTGTATGGTAGGAATAACATCATTGTGGTGATCATTTCTAGAAGAAGACACCAAAGCGTTGCTGCTTCCTTCTAAATGATGATTTCGGGATGGAGCAATCACAGGAACAGGATCCAATATGAGCGAATCGTCATCTACATATTCCACTCGACCAATTCTTGAATAATTCTTCTGAGCACCACCACCGCCACTACTACTACTATTACTACAACCAGTGGTGAAAGGATAGGGTCTCGGAAATGCAAAACTACTCTCAGAAAAGACTCGATTCTTATTGTTCTTTAAAAACTGGGAGAGTGCTGATGAGGAGGATGAAGAAGATTTGATCTTTTGAGATGAAGAGCTGCTATTGCTACTGGTGCTGAATGATGAGCCTCCCTTCTCCATTTTCAAATAACCTTCAAATCCTTTGATGATATTTCCATGATGAAGAGTATCTTGAAAATAGACTTCCTCAGCTCTATTGATAGAATCTTGAATACATTTCAGTTCCGCTTCTAATTGTTGCTTTCTCTCTAAAAGTCGTTCCATTATGATGATTTTGTGAAAGTAATAAATTCTTCCGATCCGATTCAATAACGCGAGTGAGGTGTTTTGTGTATTTTTGAATTTTTGTTTGAAATGGTCATGATTTTAAATTTCATCACACTACTGTGCACAACGTTTGAGTCTTTACAAAATTAAAATGACACACATTGGTTTAACTCGAGTTTGTTGGTTGCGTCTCGTCCCTTGTGTGTCCCTCTTAATTTCGTAAAGATTTATTTATCTGACAGGAGTAGGAAAGTATGCCACTTTTCCTCTTAATTTGGTATTCTTCTTTGCTCGAGTCGTGAATGCAATACAATCACCATTCGAGACACGACTTTGAAATTCTGAAACAGTCCTTACGAGGTACACTGTTTTCTCACAAGTGGCACAGAAATGGGACTCGAACGAAGAGCTACCTAATTCATCAAATGATAGTGGGCATTTGTAAATCCATTCACAATTCTCAATAAAGTTTTCTTCATAATTCATGACAGGTGTTTCCTTAATTTGGAAAGCAGAGGACGAAGCATTATTTGGTTGAAGAGGAAGCATATTGGGAGAATGGAGTTTCAAATGTTCAATTCTTCTCCTTAATACATGCATCCAATTCTTTACATTGAGAGACTTTTCAAATTTTGGAAAATAATAACACACTAATGGTTTCCAAATGGTAAATTGTACCAAGACAAACCCAATATCTTCATCTGATTGTGGGTCTTTGTTCCCTATCTTCTTGTGTTTCTCCTGATTAAATAACAACATCAAAAGAGAGGAGTGACATTTAGCAAATGCAAACAAGCTCTTCAATTCCATAAATTCAGCAATATGTAATAAAATTTCGGAAGGAATTTCAATAAAATTTAAAATGAAATTTGGGCGTGACGTGTTGGAAAGTGCATCGAGATCATCTTGGGCATCTCCATGATGACGTGAAATTTTGCTTGAAAAGAAGCGCATTTTTTTTGTTTCTGGTTGTTTGGAGACAAGTTCATGAAAATGTCATTTTGCAAAGGCGAGGAACTCTTTCCTTTTCGTTCGAACATGTTCCCACAACTCAAAATGCTCAGAAGGGAGCAGTAAGGATTAACCACAGGTCCTATGAAAACAAGAAACTTTATGGCCTCACTCAGGAAGAGACTCGAAATCAAGAGCTCTTAAACGGTGTTACAATAATTATTTGTAACATTAAAAATAACGCAACTTCTTTTATGATTACGATAATCAAGAGTTGAGCTTCCGACACAACTCCATCCGTTTAAAAAATGCTCGCAACCAAACCCTCCATGTTGTTCTTGTTATTACTGGTCATTCTGCCCGTAATGATGATGATCGGAGAGCTCATGGTAATAGTTGCAGATATTCCAGTTCATTGCGTCCATCATAACATTGGAAATAGTGAATGGAAATTATATCTATCACCAATGATTTATTCTGTAAAGCAAGATGAGAAAGCTCACAGCATTCAACGAAAACAACACATTCCATTAAATTGTACGAGAATGGAGAGAGAGGATGTGAATGTTGCGAGAATAGTGAACGTTTATTTGCAACTTCCAAATATTGTGAGAAGTGAAAATAAGAATGGAAATGTTATTGGAACATGGACCATGGTGTATGACCAAGGATTTGAAATTACTCTTTCTCAATATAACCATAATTATGAAATGAGCATGTTTGCTTTTAGTATGTTTGAAAAAGTGAACAGTACGAGTGAGTTGATTCGTTCAAAGTGTCATCAAACGTTTGTTGGAAATTATAGAAAGACCAGTTATGGAAAACAAAGTGTGACTTCATTTGGATGTTATTATGCTGAGAAGGTTTATCCTCAACCTACAGATGTGAAAGTTTCTCTTCCAATTAATACTTTACTCTACAAATTTTATGATCCAAAGAATCAAGGAAAAGGACTGAATGTCAATAATGACCAATCAGAATTTGACAGTTTGGCAGATGAGTTGGGATTGGATTTAAGATTAATGCGAACCAATGATCCAAAAGAAAAATTCAAAACGGATCGAACTCTCATTGATTGGATTAATACTCAATCAGATGATTTGGGTTGGTCTGCTCGCTCCTATTCTCAATTCGAACAATTCACCAATGAAGAAATGGAAAGAATGAATGGAGCTCGTTCCATCTTGGTGGACAAGAGCGATTTGAAAAAACCACAGAATCTTGATCAAGAAGAGGAAAACTTTGCTCTTGCTTTCGATGAGATTGATTTCAAGTCTCCATTGCCAGAAAATTTTGATTGGAGAAATGTGAGCGGTGAAAATTATTTACCACCAGTCAAAATCAAAGAGCATGTGGATCTTGTTATGCTTTTGCAGCAGTGACAGCCATTGAATCACGAATTCGAATTCAAACCAAGAACAAGCTTAAACCATTACTGGCCGTTCAAGATATTGTGTCCTGCAGTCCTTATGCTCAAAAATGTCATGGAGGTATTCCTTATTCTATTGGACGACATTTACGAGACTTTACGTTAGTTCCAGAATCTTGTTTCCCTTATACTGGTTCTGAACATATTCCTTGTGATTCAAAATGCAACAATCCACCATACATTGTTAAAATGAAAGATTACAAGTATGTGGGCGATTTCTATGGTGCTGGAAATGAAGAGAATATGAAACGAGAAATTTTCAGACACGGTCCAGTATCTGTTGTCATTACTGGTTGGGGTGTCGATCCAGTGACAGGACAAAAATATTGGAATGTAATGAATTCATGGGGCGAACGATGGGGAGACTCTGGATTTTTCAGAATAGCACGAGGCAATGATGAATGCGCTATTGAGGCAGAACCTGTTGCTTTCTATCCTGAGGTTGTTTATACTGCTTGAGAGATGGTAGAATACAAAGTAACATGTAGACAAATAAAACATTTTTCGAAATGCACCAAGTACCATTTCGATTTGGATTATTAATTTTTAAAGAATTACTGCCATTTTCAAATAAAATTTAATATTCCCAATCCAAACAAATGGGTGGCGCTTCGAACAATTCCTTAAGCTTGGTGGCTACTTTCACATGTTCGGGGTGAATGGCATACTTTTGAATGATTTCTTTTGAATCAAATGTTGCACGCAGAGCATAATTGTAACCTTGTGCACGCTCGGGTGTAATATTTCTTCCGAAGGTTAAAGTTTGTACGCCTTCAATTTTTGATGGCAATGAATTCAATTCCTCCATAAGCTCCTTCTCCTTCTCTTCGGAAACTATGCACGAATTGATGAAACACAATCATCACATCAATTATTTACCTTCTTTAAGCTTGAAAAACACAACATGATCAACAGTTTTGCTCATTTTTTGGAATCTTTTTAATAAATTTGGATGTCATGACCAGTGTCATGTCAGCAAGTATATTATTATTGTCAATGTACGCTGATCAATACTTGACTCCTCTTCCAATCGATTCTGTTTTGCAAAAGGATCCGATAACGGATAGTTGTTCCATCATTTATGCTCGTCATACCGAAATGAAAATCATCATATGGTATTACTTGGTGACTAAATCAACTAGTGATATCTTGTCCAAAGCATCCAAAAACTCTTCTCCTTCGCTCTTTGTGAGAGGCTTGACCTCTTTAATATTGAAATTAATGAGGCAGGCTGGTTGCTGCTTGTTGGAAGCATTATTCTTGATTTCTCGCTCCAGAACGCTAATTAAAAATTCTGTATATTCATCAATATATTTCTCAATTTCGGAATAAACTGTGTTTGTTGTACCATATGAGCTCATTGTTTCCGATTGTTGTCTTGCTAAAGACGTTTTGAGTGCCATCACAAGAATATTCTTCATTTCTTCAAAAGGAGGCAACTGCTCAGCATTTTCAAATACCACAGTTTTCATGATATAATCAACAGCCAAGTGCTCCAAATAGGTTTTTGCTTTGAGATGACTTTCTTGTTCCCGAATACTTCTCTCCCGTTGTTGTTGCTCTAATTTTCCTTGGGCAGCGAACGACTTTTTAAATTGTTTTGGAGGCATTTTTTTTGAATTCAAAAACAATTTGGAATTTAGTGAATCTTGTTTGCTTTCGACGAACTTCACACACACATTAAAACAAAAACCTTCGATCGAGGAGTGTCTTGCTAATCAGGTTTCTTCTTACAAATGTTGTTCTCAGCCATAAAAAGACACGATTGACAGCATACACAATCATTAACGCTCCAAAAGTTGAATCCCAAAAGATTGACATGATGGCATACAGCAAAATGTTGAATGCAATCATCTTCCATTCACATCCTCTCAACATGAGTCTAAAGAATGAATAAGTTTGGAAGTATTGTTGACTGTCATCCTTAAAGAAAAATTCTCGATCGTGCAAATAAATAAAGTCAGGAATAAATCCTACTCTATATGAAATCTGCTTGTCAAGAATTTGACCTTGCTTGATTTTGACGTCTGTAATCACTCTCTTGAGATATTCGTTAATGGTATTATAACCATCTATGAAAGCAGCTGGGATGTATCTATGTCTGGGTCCAATGTTAAAATTGAAAAGGTCACTAATTCTAAACTCGTTGCTCATTGGAGAATTAAGGGCAGGGTTGTTCATCTGAGTTCGTTCCTTCATGGTTTGTTGGATGGGCTGTTCAACGAGTGCGTGTTGAGCAGTTTGATTGTCTGCATTATTGCCAGTTGGATTTTGTTGCAAACTGTGAGGTTGAACAGTCAAAGCAGTCACTGGCCTGGATGGATTGATGTTCTTGGGTTGTGCTTGGTTTGTGGCCATCTTTCTGAAAAACCCATTCTTTGCTTCCTCCTCTTGGATTGGCATCAACAAAAGCTTGTCGTAGTTTTCTCGAACCATTTTGGAAACATAGAGATCAAAAGTAACTACAGAGTTGTTTTCTGTTGTTGATTGAATCAAACCTCTCTTGGGAAAAAAGTCATTACTCTCTTGATTGAGACCTTCATAAAATTCTTTCATATTGGTATCTGCAAACCTGAAAACGCTTTCACCATGAATGTAACATCCGTAATGTAATTCGTCCAAAATCAGAATGCTGATATTGGCAATTGAGCATGTATCAATTAATGATGTAATGGGATTTCTGGTAAATCTGTAAATAATGAATCTGAAGAATAAGTATTGTAAAAACGAGATGGACAAATAAAACCATGCCAACAATGCAATTTTAAGAATTGGATGATATCTAAATACTCCGGTTAACGTATTTTCATCTGCTGTATATGACGCTAAATTAATAACTCCACCTCCATCCAAAATTAATAGTACTGTCAAAAGAGTGAACTCAAGACTGGTCCAAGTCATTCCTTGAAGTTTCTCCCATTCTTTAGCTATGAAATAGCTTCTCCAAATACTGACACTAGAATATGTGCCTTCAGCCCTTCCTCCAACTCCAACAACCTTTCCTTTCGTCTTTTCCCAATCCATGAAAAATATATCGTAATTGCAATGTTTGTAGAAAATGTAGGATAGATCAATGGCCTTTGCAACAAGAGCGTATACAATTATAAGGAAGAAGTACCACTTGTCTGAGTCGTTAAAATTTGGTAATAATGCAAACACGCTAGATTGTAATTTAAAGAATAAGTAATATAGGGAAATATAGAAAAATATCAAAACGAAAACACCGTTGGAGGAATGTTCACAAAAGGCAACAATAAACTTTCCCAAGGTGGGAAAATCAATCTGAGACAACCTTCTTCTTGAATATCTATATGTAGAAACACAAGACGTAATCAAACTCAATATCATGATAAGCACTAGGAACACTATTACCACAATCCACACTGTTGTTTGAGATTGAATATAGGAAGCGGAAAAATATATCGAGGGTGTCAGTATGGACTCTTGTTGTGCAGTTGTAAATACCGAGGTTTTCATACCAGCAATTTTTCTTGCTGTATATTTTAAGGTGAGTCTTGGAGGATAAATTTTTTCTGAAGCTTGTGTATTCATTTCCACCCTTAGTTCAGCGCTCTCCAAAAATCTGACAACGGTTGGAGAAGAGGATTCAGTTGTAACTCCTGCAACGTTGTCATAAATGAAAAATCTTCTGTACAGAGTTGCTGTTGAAATATCGTTTGCTGTTATCTTGTCGTCTTTTAAAATCTGAACAGGAACAGGATATAATTTTCCATTGTCCAGAATAACTGAGGTTGATTAATAAAAAGGTTAAATGATTAGAAAGCACCAACGATCAACATACATAATTCATAAAATATAGTGTTTTGAAGCGTAGGGATGGACAGGGCATTGAAGAAACAAGAATTGATGTAATTATTTCCAAAATCTAAAAAACCAGAACCAATATAATTTCCGGTTGGGCACAATTGTAATTGGTTCGTTAAATCTTCAAATCCTAACCAATTTCCGTAGACAGAATATTTTGAAAGAATGAGCTTAAGTCTTGTTGTTCTATCAGTTCGGCCACTAAGACCGACCATTTGTGACAAATCATTGTTGTATAAAATGTCTGTAGCCTTTCCTGTGTATACAAGCCAAGGCATTCCACTTTTCCATCCTGAGAAACCATTCACTCCGTCATCTGCCAATGTATTGTATAATGATAAGTACATTTTGCATGCAGAAGTAGTCTCATCAAAAAGTAATAGAGCGCATAAGTTTGCCAACATTTGACATGATGTAACGTTGTTGAACGATTTGCAATTCGTTGAAACGAAATAAAAATTATCATAAAACAATTTGGATCGAACTGTTTCAGTTGATGGGCTTTCAGTCCTAGAAGTCTCAAACACTTGATTATAAATTACAGATGCAGCTGAATCAATTGGATATTTGCTGCTGAGATCCAAATAAGTGTCTTTCAGTACGCATTTGTCTGACCACTGTTCATAAGGTAAAACAGCATTGTTTCGATCGTAGTAATACATACCAATTGATACATGGACGAACAAACACAAGAAAGGCCATCTGAGCTCGCTATCATGTTAGGGTCTGGACAAGATTTGCATGAATACGGATTTGTTGGATCAGGTATCGAGTTGGGTCCACAACTGACACATTGTTTCGAGCTCAATAACGTTCCGAAATTGTCTCTCTCTATCAGTTTTTTAGAACCTGAGCAAGAACAGTCTGTTTGATTGAAGCCCGCAGTGGTGGGGCCACATGTCATGCACGTTGATCGGTCACGAGAAGATGCAAAAGGGCACTTTTGACAAGAAACGACCCCCGATGTTATAACTTGAATGTACCCTTCCGAGCAGTAGCAATATTGACCGTCATTGGATATTTGGTTTGCAACTCCACATGATTTACACAACATTGAGGTTGAATCATAATATTGTGGATTGTTGCATGTTGTATTCAAGAAAACTCCTTTTTGGGCATGGATGTGTGAGTGAGGAGCAATTAGAACAATAGAAATTAGGATGCAAAGTATCGAAAGATTGGTCCTTATGAATTGATAAACCATTGATGCTAACCCTTTGTTGTTTTCCGATGAAAGCTTCCAATATATTGTTAGTTGTTCAAGATCAGGACTCCTAATACAATATTTTTTTTGTTTTGAGATTTTTGGGCGGTTTGTATTGCCATTGCGCTATTGTTGTATTACGATCTCCAATATTGAGCCCATCTGTGTATGTTTTCCATTAACTGAGGGAAGAGAGCCTTTTCACTTTCATTGATAATACTCTGCATGTATGCGTTGGCGTCTTGGTCGTTCAAGTCAACACGGAATTTCTCTTGAACTTTCATGATATTCCTAATAGGATCGGCTGCTGCTCCGTGCTCAATGTCTCTAATGTTTGCATCTACCATGAGAATAAACATGTTCAAAATTAAGTGAGCTGATTTTCTCAGAATATTATAAGCAGTCACACATAATTCCTTGAATTTGATATATCCCTCGCTCTTACTTCCTCCCATTCCTTCAACCATTTCCTTACACAACTTCATTGGAGGTGGGAAAGGTTTTGGATCTCTTCCTAAAATAAAACCAAAATCAATATGGAACAAATGTCCTTGATGAGTAATTAGAACATTGTCCAAGTGACGATCGCCAATACCCAAAATGTATGTAATCACACAATACCCAGCACAACTCTTAACAAAGTTTTGACATGCATTGTGGAAGTCTTCATCCTCTGGGTTGTGTTTTCTAAGCCATCCTCTGATATCTCCTTTATCAATGACAGAAGAAATAGCGGCACAGTTAGGAACACATTCCAAACAGCCAAAACTTGGGCTAAACGCCAAAACAGAATAAGGTGTCAACTTCAAGTCCAAGCCATTGTTCTTCAACAATTTGTCCATGAGCAATATAAGCTGCATAACCAACTGATCCTGACGCAAGTCATCTCCAATCTTAACAATTACACTATATTTCTTTCCGTCAATATCTGAAAATGGAACCATGAGAGGACTCTGAGCACTCTTGAAAATTGTTGAATCCTCTGCGAATAATCCATTCACTTTGACCTCAGGGTTGAGTGGAATTGGCAAAGGTTCTTCTGGGTAATTTTTTGAAATGTTTGCAAGGAAAATATCGTTCCATGTTAGTTGCTCTTTGCTATCAGATTGAATAATTGGAATTTCTCCTTTTGCTGACAAAATTTTCTTGAAAATTGTGATCTTTTCTGGCCTAGAAATTTTCAAGCCTTTAAGGTGGTAACCAATTTTGCTGAGTGTATCCACCATCCTTCCCTGTCTAATAATCTTTTCAAGGAAAAGAGGTGAATTCTTTTTGAGATGAATAAAGAATTTGTGTCTGAGTTCTAAGAAGTGTTCACCAAACTTTGGATCCTCAGTTTCAACCGCAAGATACCAATTCAAATTATTTGCAACATGGAAATTTACACTTGCTCTTTCTAATAGGAATTGGGCAAGTTCTGACTCATAAAGCTTCACCGAGTTAACCTCTACTTCATATCTCAATGCTTGCACTAATTGCAATAGTACGTCTAAAATTGCTGCATCATCTGCCTTTCTCAAAATTTTAACTGCATAATCTCTAACTACTTTTACATTCTTGAAAAATCGAGATAATAATTCGAGTGCGTCGACAGTATCAATTTCAGACCATTGTGGAATCAATTTCTCAGCTTCTTTCTGTTGTGCCAAATAGTTCCAGTCAACACATCTTAAAAATTTGGTAAGTGCTCGCTTGTTAGATCTCAAGTAATACCTGTACTTCCATAACAAGCTTTTATCCTCTGTTGACATTTCATGAAGAGGAGGATAATCCAAAATCTTTTGAATCTTTTTCGTTTCAGTCGCATTGGGTTTGAGATTTGTATCGATTAGACCGCTCGAAAGATTGATGCTCAATTTCAAGTGCTTTTCTTCGGCTAAGTTTGTTTGCTTGGCCTCTGGATCATCAATGAACTGGTATTTTGTGCTAATCGTTTCGCTTCTAAAGTGATCTTTAGTATCTTCAGCATATTTCGCTTTTGTCACCAATGCTACCTTTGGTGTTGCAACATTATTTGGCAACATTAGTCCTGGAAATCTGGTAAAACCTGAGAAGTATGAGTAAGACATTTCTTCTGATGTGTTTGACAAATAATCAAAATCCACTACTCGTCTATCAAATGATGGTAATTCAATGTTCAAAAATGTTTCAATAGAGCTAGAGTGAAACTTTTTCTCTTTCAACATCTCCTTCCGATTATTTGTAAAACGGTCTAGCCATGCTAAATTAGTAGTTCCCGTATGAGATCCTTCCGAACTGTTTTCTACAATGATGCTACTATTGGAGCTCATTGGAGCAAGAGTAGAATTAGTGTTAGCTTGATTATTACCACCGGTGTTGTTTTGTGAGTTGGCTCCAGCAAAGAATTTGTAAAGATTGCTGTTCTTTGGTATAGCATTGCTTTGCCCCAAAATGTTTTGTTGTTTTGATTTGGCTTCAAACTTTTCAACCATTGAAAGTTCGTCTCTACATGCTTTGGTACTATATTTCTCATTGAGTATTTCGTCAATGCTCTTGTGTGGAAATAAAGGAATTCTGTATTTACCAGATTTCAGTCTTCCTTTCTTTCCAAAGAGTGGTAGACAACTGCTACCTATTGTCACCATTTGAGTTGGAGAGTATACGTCATAAATTGTGAAACAAATCTTTGCTTTGGAAGGAATTTCATTAAATTTAATTGGAAAGTGAATCCATTCGTCCCATTGTCTTCTGCCTTCTCTCAAAACCACATGACTTGTTAAACTTGGTATGCACAACGGTGTGCCGTCTTCAAAACAAATTTGACATTCTACAATCATTTCTGAGAATGGACATCCGATGAGAGACTGATACTCATCATCATCAGCTCCGTATTTGTGATAATAATTTGAGAAATGTTTAAATAAATCCCCTTCAAGCCATCCACTATGTTAAAGATTGAACGTAAACAAAATATAAAATTGCATTAAAACGGTCTTACATTTTCACTTGAAAAGGTTGAACCTCAATTTCTGAAATGTTATAACAATATTGTAAATTATAATTATCCAAATGTGCTGATAGAGCCTGTTGTTGCGAAGATGATGTTTGCTGCTGTGATGAGAGGGAGGTATTATTCTCTTCCAAAGCTTGATCACCCATCGTCATCACGGAATCGGCCACCGTTGAAACATCATCGGTGAGTTGTTGTTGGGAATTATTACTACTACCTGTGGTTACGGGTGCAACATTGGTCGTGGAAGTTGAAATACTTGTTACTGTGTTGCTTTCATATTGAGCTTGTTCTTCGCCATGATGATGATTGTTCTCCTCCTGCTGCTGGTGAGCCTCGGTTGACAGAGGAGGTGGTACTTGCGAAGAGGTGATCATTTTTGTTGGTTATGAAATTGATAAGTTCTTTGAGAAAGATGGAGATTATTGTTGTATCTTGAGAAGGTCTTGATACATTATCAAAGGGCTAAGAATGATTGAAGGAGTGTCTTTTACACAAGGTGTCTAGGGATGTTTGGTTTTGATCAAAATGTTTTTGATGGTTAATTGCCAATAATAGAACTCAAACAAAACATCAAATAATCCAAAAGAAAATCTCAAAAACATGTTTTTCGACGAGGACGAGATTGAGAATGCGTTCTTTCACGATACAACCACTGAACAACATCAATCGGAAGACATGTTGTATTCGGAAGAAGAAGAATTTGCAATGAAAATTGTAGAAGAGATTTATCGAGAACGATCGTTGCATGATCAACAATTGATGCTTTTGCAACGAAAGCGAAAATTATCAAACAGTAACCACCCAGGTTCTTCGTATAAATGCAACGCCACTTCTTCACTCTCTTCCTCTTCTTTGGTTTTATGTGATGATGAAAAGGTATTACTGAGTCATTTACCATCACGACGAACACATGATAAGGTTGATTGGAAGGAGTATTGTGACATGACAATGAGGTGAGTGGTGTTTCATTGTAAAGAATTATTTGATTAAGTTTATTGTTTCGTATTTTCCTTCGGTCGAATGTATTACAATAATTTGTCAAATTTTCAAAATTATATTTTTACAAATTCAAAGGCAACAATTTTGGCTAATGTCATTGGACGAAATGATATTGTGGATTATTTTCAAAATCAAACATTGCATCATGATGTTGTTGCACAGAGAATAACTCGATTATTTCATGTGGAATTATTCCGTTGTGACAACTGCTTTGATTTGTTCAACAATTGTTTCTACAGTAGTCAAAGCTAATTAATGTCATTGTATCAATAATTGTATATATTTCAAACAAGTTGAAGTGTATCATAGGATTCACAATGTAATAGCATTCAATAGAGCGATGGGTGTTAAAAACAAATGTAAAAAAGAAAATCAAATGCTCAACACTTACCTCCATTACCTACATCCCCACAAGCCAACAATTTTGAAACGGGCTCAATAATGTACACACCCAGCTCATTTTCTAGAATGGAGAGTTGTCTAGACGTGAAAGGATGCTCCCACATGAGCGTATTCATTGCTGGTGCAACAATAAAAGGTGATGTCTTAATATTCCAAGCTCTCGCTACGCACGTCTTGTAAAAAATTGACAAACTTAAACTGACTCATCAAAAACTGTACTTGTTAACTTACAATTAAATTGTCACAAATTCCATTCGATATTTTTGCAAGAGTGTTGCAATCTAAGGGAACAATGGCGAGAATGTCAGCCCATTTTCGAAGTTCAATATGTAAGACAGGATCTCCCTTTTTACTCCATAATTGCCACTCATTTTCGTCTGTGTAACATTCTACGGAAGGATCTATCTTTTGTATTTCCTCTCTTGTTACAAAATGTTGTGCTCCTTGCGTGAGAATGATCCGAATTTTAAATAAATTTTCTAAATTTAATCTTTGAATAAGTTCTGGCACTTTAATAGCAGCCACAGATCCAGTGACACCAATGAGTAAATGAATTCGATTTTTATCGACTCTATTATTGTCATGGTTTGATAACAATTCATTCCCGATGGTGCTGTCGGAGCTGGAAAATTTAAATCGAGGTTTGTCAAAGGATCGGGAAGGATTGCCAAGTTCTGATTTGAGCATTTTATTGGACGAATCGTTTTGTTGATCACGTGCAAAGGCTTGTTGTTGGTACAACGAAAAATATTTCGTACGCCTTAATGTGCCTTCATTTATTGTTGAAACAAACTTCAACTTTCCACTATTCACGTATTTACCTCAAGTTAGCAAATGTTTTTAACATCTACAGCTGGAACTTGAGTAGAGTTTCTATCTTTGTTTGTTGCATCCACTGAACCCTTATCAATCACATATTTTTGGAAGAATTGCTGAACTTCTTTCATTGGAGCATTGATTCCAATAAGCAATGAAACAAAAATTAAAATTCCAAAATTCGCCAAAGTCAAGTATACAAAACCAAAGAAAACGTTGATAACGTAAAACGAAATGCAAAGAAAACCAAATGACTCCATCAAAATAGCTATGGACAGACCAGCATGCATCAATCTGGTCTTTCTCAATGTTGTTTGCTTGAAATGAAGGGTAGCCGCTTGTTCTCTACTCACAAATTCTTCGTTACCCTTCATCATTTGTTTGAGTTTAACCATACTCTTTGAAAGAGAAGATTCTAATTTGTAACTAATAATATTAAGAAGAATGGAGAACACAAGAGTTGAGGAAAAGAACAACACACCAGCTGCTACTAGTAGCGCAATTTCCAAAGGTATGTACACAGCAAAATCGATCAAAACTCCTTGAAGATTAATAGCTCCCATAATAATGTTGTAAAGAGTATGACTGACAAAGAAAATATTAATTATCACAATGGTGGCAATGTTTGCAAATTTGAAGCACTTGTATCCAATTGAGGATATTGCCATAGTATCGCGGCATATTTGTAAGCTATGTTATTGTCAGAACTAACAAATGGAAAAGAAAAAAGATAACCTACAATACAGAACAAAGAAAATACATGATCCATAATTGCCAAAGCACCAAAAAGTTGATGACGCAGCGATGAGCCACCGCAACGCCAGTGGTGAGATAATTTTGTTTTCCATCAGTTGTTCGATTGAGCTCGTATCCACTTGCTTCATTGTGGATTCTCAATGCAAGGTCAAGGATGACATCTGCTTGCAAGATAAACAGCATGACAAATAAAACATGTTGATTACGTTTCATTTCCTTAAATTTGTATACGTAAACAACAACGGATAGCACCACCAGAATTAATTCTATTGGTATATATGGTGCGGTTGTAGAGAAATTGAGAATATGATACAATTCCATAGGTGTTAAGGGATGAGGAACGAATGAAGTCGCATTGGTCTTATTGGATGCATCTTGCATCATGTTATGGATTTCTGGAAGTGGATGAATGTTGGCCATGGTTTCGGTTATGAGATGTTTTGTTTTCGATGTCAAAGGCGCAAATTGAAAGGAAGGTGTATTGGAGAGAACAGGTGGAGATATCGAGTTATTGGACGGGAGATATTTTCCATTCAAAGGCGCAATCTCTTATCGAACCTACGTTGATGCTATCCTTCCTTGTTTCTTTGACAAAGCTCTAGAATTCGCAACAAGACACCATCTCGAAACCTTTTACGTTACGTTGTAAACTATTGTCTCGGGTTGACTATTATTTTTTTAAAAATTGTTTGAAAAAAAATACGCCAAAAGTACGTTGATTGTCCTCACTCTCTTTCTCACCTTTTTGCAATATTTTTTATTACAGAACATCACTCTGAACATGTTCACTTCGCTCAGAAAAGTCAAGAAGGCAAAAGACCAAGAAGTCTCTGACCTTGAAAAGCAAGTTGCTCAAGCCATTTTCGATTTGGAAGTCTACTCAAAGGATTTGAAGGCTGATCTTCAACCTCTTGTCTTCTCCAGCGCTCAAGAAGTTGCTGTTGGTAAGGAGAAGCAAGCCCTCATCATCTTTGTTCCAGTCCGTCAAATCAAGGAATGGAGAAAGGTTCACGGAAAGGTTGTCAGAGAATTGGAGAAGAAATTCAACGGAAAGCACGTCTTGATTGTTGGTCAAAGAAAGGCCCTCTCCAAGCCATCCGATCCAACTAAAGTTCACAGACCAAGAGCTCGTTCTTTGCAACAAGTCCAAGAAAGATTCATGGAAGATGTTTGCTATCCAGTCGAAATTGTTGGTAAGAGAACTAGAACCAGAGTTGATGGTTCCAAGCTCGTCAAGCTTTTCCTCGAAAACAAGGATAAGACCAACTTTGATCATAAAATTAAGACTTTCAACAAGGTCTGCAAGAGATTGACTGGTAAGAAGGTGTCCTATGAATTTGCCAACCTTTAAATGTTCAGCATTTGATCCAAACATATAATAAATATATAAAATTCTTAAATTTCATCTGTAAATCATTTGGACTTGCTAAGTGAAAGAAGTTTTTCTCAGTTTCGACACGATTCAAAAGTTGAGTTGAAGCACAAAAAAATGAGTGAAGTCAAAACTCTGTACGATTCATCAACTAGAGGCCATACCTCATCTTCTCTCACCAAAGAAATTTGTATCACGTCCACTCACACCGAAGATGCAACATGCCACATTTGGGATTTAAAATCAGGACAAGTTTTGAATTCTCTCAAAAGAATTCGGACCAATCATGGATGCGTTACGTTCATTCCCGAGCATTTGTATCTCATCGCGTCTCAATCAGATAAGGGAAGAATATTTATTTATGATATTAGAAGAGAACAACCACTGTTTGAATGTCCAGTAGCAGAAAAAATTACAAGCCTTGTTTCACATGGAGTCTATTGTTTTGGAGGTGGAGAGAATGGTACTGTTTATATTTGGAATATTCTGACAGGAAAATTATTGAAAATATTTAATGCACATTTGAAATCTATTACTGCCATGGACGTCAATAGCGATTTTTTAGTCACTGGATCCATTGATACTTTGATTCAAGTTTGGAATTTAGCAGAGTATGTTTTAAATTATTGAACAACATTGATTTGAACACAATTTTATATTTCTAAATAGCTTGCTTGATATAAGAAGTGAGGGAGAGCGACAACAATCTCCAATATATTCTCTTTCTAGCCATGCCTTATCGATTACGAGCATTCAATTGTCAAAGAGTAGTCATACCAAATTGATTACCACAAGTTTGGATAGAACCTGTAAAGTTTGGGACTTGTCTTCTGGCATCGAAGTTTGCTCTATTGTTTACCCTTCTAGTGTTCAATGTGGAGCATTGAGTGTTAATGAACAAGAGTTATTTGTTGGCTGCTCCAATGGATGTGTTTATCAAATGTCTCTTTATCCACACAAACCTCAATATATGGATGAGAATGAAGTGGACGATGAGAATAATTTTGAAGATTTTGACCCATTGTTGAGTGGAGGAAAAATGGTGGTCAGTGAATTGGGATCATCATCGAGTGGAACAAAAACTCTAACTCTTGAAAATGATACATCGAGTGATCATTCTGTGAGTAGAGGATCCAAGTATTCATGTTACACGTTTAAAGCACATAGGTAAGTGAATCAATGGAATGTTTTGATACTGATTAATAATATTATTATTGATTTTTCACAATTTATTTAGTAACTCGGTCACTACATTAAATTTATCTAAGGATGGTCTGATTTTAGTTTCTGGATCCAAGGATGGAAAATTAATTTCATGGGATGTTAGGTCACGACAACCACTGATCACTTTCAAGAAACACTCAATTTCTGCAGATAATGAGATTACCAATTGCATTATTGATACCATTAACTTGACTCAATTTTCTACGTTTCATAACAATGAAAATATTAAGCAAGAACAAAAACAAGTGAGAAATACTTCTACACTTGCTGTGAAACCTTTCAAAAAGTTTATTGAGACTCAACAGAGCTTGTTGGAGGTTAACATGGTGTCTGATAATTGGAATTGCCTTTATTCACATCCTGACTTTGATTTATCCCTACAACATCATTTTGCCTCTCCGATCACTGCGTTACCCTCATCCATTGCTCACCAGTCCATTCATTTAGTGAATTACAAGCCAAAGAAAGTTTCCAATGGAGTTCAAAAGAAGGATTCTGGTTATGCCAAGAAAGTTTTACAACTCACGAAAAGGCTGACCGATATGGAACAACTCTATAATCAACAAAAATCTCTGAATGAACAACTCACCGAGCTACTTGAGGAAAAATCCAAAGATGTAAAGACAGAGTCTAACAACACCATTTCCAAAGTAGCTCCTCAAAAAAGTGGAAAAGGCTTCTTCCATAGAAAATTCCAATAAAAACCAATGTCCAGTAATTAATGCTTAATTAAGGCTTTTTAACAACTTTGGTTTTGAAATCAATGATAAAAAAATTTGGGTTTGTCAAAGGAGCCATAATATTCCAAAGGCTCAAATTCATCGTCGTAAATGTCATTGTCATTGACTGTGTTAGATGCAGATTTCTGTCCTAAGATCTTTCTCAAGTGTTTAAAAAACATATTTCGTTGTTCATTGTGCTTTCGATCAGGTGGAATGTTATATCCCTGTAATAAGGAACGGAAAACTATATTGTTTGGCCTTACAAACAAATTTAACTGTAAGGGTTGAGCCTTAGTTTTTGAGAGTTGGCTGCAAACGGAGTGTTGTTCAATCGTTGAATCACCATGTTGAACACATCAACGAAATAACAACAATTTGTTTGATTTTTCATTTGGCGATTGGCAATAGCAATCAAATATTTCGGTATGTTCAATGTTGAGTTTTCACGGATAGGTGTGCTTATTACTGTTGTTGTGATGATATCCATTTTGAATAATTCGTAAATAATTTCCAGTGACACTTTGCGTGACACCAACGTTACGAACATGTAGGCCAATAACTTGGGTGATGAAGTTCGAATATCATGAGCATACTCTCGAATGATCCGAATACGTGCATGATCGAATTCAAAGTTCGACCATCTTAACAATAGTGCAAGCGAACAATTATTGGGAATCCACTCGTGCATCAATATTTGTTTTGTATCCCGTGATAGGTCTTACATTCTTCCAAGAAGAGAAAAATCACCTTTTCCAAAGCATTTGCGAATGGTGTGGTATTAAATTGGTTTAGGTACGCCACATAACAAATACTTGAGAACGTATCTGAGTTCAAGTATGGTCTCGTGCTATCATAGCTAGTTTTGAGAGTAAATGTGCGAGTGTTAAACATAATTTCATGTCTCTCTTTCGTTGGCATGTGTGTTAAAAAGTAATAAACATGTTCTAAGGTTTCAGAAAATTTTAAACTCATCTTGCGATGAGCCATAAATGTAATGCGACGAATTTTCCGAGTACCACTTTGTATCAAACTTTCAAGATTGGAAATGGCTTGAGATTTGTAATATTCACTGTTCACTCCATTCCATATCGATTTCCATTTGAGTTTTCTTTGAGATCCAGATTTAAATTTTAGAGGAAACAATTTGTGAACATGATCATTGTTAGTTGTTTCATCATCTTGCTCCACTTGTTTTGGATCAAAATTGTCGTCAGAGGGTGGATCTTGTTGCAGTAGTGCTGGTTTTAATTTGAGAGGAAGTTTACCAGAAAATGATTCGATCCATGCTTGTTGAATATCTTCAAGTTTTTCTAGATACAAATCAGGAAACAAGTTCATGACTCGTTGAGCTTTCTTTTTCAAACAAGAACGTAGTTGAGACATGGATTTTGGATGACAAGTAAAACTCTTCTTTGGTGTGCGTGGTAGAGTATGAGCAATGATGAATTCATCATAATAATCTCTATTCGCTATAATTCGTCCGTTAATTTCTACAATACAACTCTCCAATTCCCGTTTCATGATCCATTTTGATAAATATCGATAGAGTAATTCATTTTCATCATTGAGAAATTGATAAGCCAACTGACAATTCAATTTCAAAATAATTTTCTTCGCTTGATCAAATTCCAAATATTCAAAAATGTGAAACCAAATCTCGGAAGGAAGATGTTGCACCAGATCAGTATCGCTCGTCTCGTTTGGTTTCAGCCATTCATACTTGCTGGTTGCCATTTTTTTTTGCAAGTCAGAATTTAGAGAACTATTGAGAGAAAGCTTTTGGAAATAATTACAACAAGCTTCCGTCAATCCAGAACAAAAATCTCGAATTTACTATCATTTCCTATCCTTGCCTTTCACATCATATTGAAATTAAGAGAAGGTTCAGTGATATAAAAATTTAGGTTTGTTAAAAGATCCATAATGTTCCAAAGGTTCCAATTCATCTAGCTCTCGTGCTTTTTTGTCAGTAGACCCCAAAATAGTTCTCAATTGTTTGAAAAAGGTATTTCTTTCGTCATAGTCTTTTTCATCGGGTGGAATTTTAAAATCGTGTAATAAGGCATTCAACTTGTTGTTTTTTGGATGTTCCAACCTTGAAAGTGTGGGTGAGTTCACAGTCTTTGAGAATTGCATTGGGAATGGAGAATGGTTCAAACATCGAATCATCATGTTAAAAACTTGTGAAAAATAAAAACGGTCATGTGTGTCAAAGATTTGTTGCTGTGCAATAATGATCAAATACTTGGGTACATTCAAATCAGAGGTTGAACAAATAGAGTCAATACTTAATGTTTTTGATTCATAATCCCCATTCTGAACCATTCGTAAAGAATTTCGAGTGATACTTTTCGTGACACACATTGTACAAACATGTATGCCAATAATTGAGGTGAACATGTTCGAATCTCACGTGCATACTCTCTGAGTATACGAATAAGCACAGGTTCAAAGTCAACATGACGTATTCTCAACAGTAATGAAAGTGAACAATTATTTGGAATCCATTCGTGCATTAACAATTGTTTGGTTGATCCATTAAATTCTCTGCACTCTTTCAAAAAGAAAAAAATTAACTTTTCCAAAGTGGGAATGAAATTGGATGGTGTTGTGGATGTTCTTGATTTGAGACGATAAGCCACGTAACAAATGCTTGAGAACACGTTCGAATCGAATTCTTTTTTCACCGTATGCTTTGAGGACCTAAGAAGTGCTTGAAATTTTAACTTTTCAAACATTATTTCATGTCTCTCTTTCGTTGTCACTCTCGGTAAAAAGTAATAAATATTTTCCAAAGTGGTTGAGAGCATTGAAAATAACTGGTCCCATGTTGTATACCATATTCGATACTGAGGTTGTCGACCACATCTCACAAACAGTTCAATATTTGTAATAGCTTGAGATTTGTAATATTCTGGATGTATTCCATTCCATATCGATTTCCATTTTGGTATTCGTTTGTTCGATGATGCAAATTTTAGAGGATGGAGTGTAATTGAATTGGGTATATCTCTATCCTTCTCACCATCAGTGTTGTTCTCTTCATTCTGATGATCCATTTCATCCTCATGTTGTGATGGTTTGTCCAATTTCCAAAGTTGTGAAAATGGAACACTGCCAGAACGTGATTCCATGAATGCACGTTGAATATCTTCAAGTTTTTCTTGATACAAATCAGGAAATAAATTCATGACTCGTTGAGTTGTCTTTTTCAAATAGGAACGTAGTTGAGACATGGATTTTGGATGACAAGAAAAGCTCTTTTTTTGTGTCATGTTGTTGTTGCCATAGTTGCTGGTTTTAATAGCCCTACAATTATAATTCATGCCAATTCTTCGATTAATTTCATCAATGCTGCTCTCCAATTCCCGTTTCATGATCCATTTTGATAAATATCGATAGAGTAATTCATTTTCATCATTGAGAAATTGATAAGCCAACTGACAATTAATTTCAAAATAATTTTCTTCGCTTGATCAAATTCAAATATTCAAAGATGTGAAACCAAATCTCTGAAGGAAGATTTTGGAGTATACGACTCGTTTTCATCAATGTTCTGTATCAACACAATTTTTTTATCGATCACTTTTAATTTTAGAACAGGAACTCAAATCTCTTGTTCATTTCATCACAACACGTGTTTACATGGAACGTGACAGGCGTGAGTCACCAATTAAAGAGTCAAGTAAAAACGCAGACACATGGAAAAGTATTCCGATTCCCATTCCTCAAGTTCCAGAATTTCAAGCTCTGTCATTAATTCTCTTGCAATCAAAAGATCATTCATTCCACTCCCAATATATCCTCGTTCTTTCTTACAAATGGCCATCGAGTAGAATGCCGTTGCCATATTGGCCTTGACATTGTCTGGTGTTTCTTCAGGCGTTGGATATTCTTCATAAATTCCATCCAAATAGATGGACAAATCAATAATGGCTAAATCATACTTTTTCCAATCCGCTAAACTCATTCCTCTATTTCGAAAGGTATCAAGAAGGTCAGATTTGTCTTTTCCAACCTTGTGAAACAATTCAATACATTTGGTGTACCACAATACTGCATTCGAATGATCTTCCTTAAAAGAATATGCAAATCCAAGGTTGTGTGAATATGAATGTTGAGAGGCATCGAGTAGATAGGCTCTGTGAAAATCAGCAATGGCTTCATCATAGCGTTCTAATGAAATGAACGTAAACGCTCGATTGTTGAGAATAAAGGCCTCTTCTTTTCGCCAGCTCATGAGTTCACTTGATCGTAACAAATTACAAGCTTCAAACTCTGTTTCAGGTATTTCTTGAGGATTTAAAAATTCTTGTGGATATACATCATGTCGTGGAATGATATATTTTGACATTAATGTGTTATAGACTTCAAGAGATTGAGTGAATTTTCCCATGAGCTTGAGTTGAAGGGCCTTGTTATTGTAGAGAGTTGTGAGATTAGTATCTTCGTGACTGTCATTGGTGCAAATACAAGAGAATGGATTTTTCATACATTCAATTTCAAATCGTTCGCTCAACCAACTATGTTTGTCAAAATGTTCTTCGTTAAGCCGTTCATGCAATGCAATGGAATGATCCAACACTCGTATTCGTTCATGATAATTTACAATATCTCTCAAGTAAATACTATATGAAGTCGTGTTTCTGTAACTGGGAAAGAGTTGAAAAGCATATTTCACACATGAATGTGCAAGCTGGTGGTATGAGTTTCGTTCGTTGGTAGAATTACATGTGCTGGCATAGGACCAAAACAGACTTGCACATGTAGCAATGATGTTCTCAATAAATAGATGTGATGAGAGTTTCAGTTTGTGTTCACATCACAGGAGGAAAGTTGTAAATTTCTGTACTTGTTTGCAAAATTGCAATAATTTTCCTCTCCACCATATTTCAGTAAATGTGTTTTGTAGAGCGAAAAACATTGCTTGATGTCTTTTCTAGCCATTTCATAAATTAATTTGACAGACAGAGATGATAATTTCCTCTTTTTGTTATATGATTCATCATCCATGCCATTTGCAAAAGCCATTGCTTCGAGTGTTTCACTTGAAAATTTCATATCCATGTCTCCAAGTATAAAGATTAAATCATATAAGCAGGATACCCTATTTTCAAGAGCTTGAATTTTCTTGAGTGACAATAGAAATGTGTCCTCAATGTGATTCTCTAAATTTTGTAACACGTAAGTAATGTCACTGACTGCTGACATTCCTAATTTCAGGTCGTCATTATTTGTATTTTTTGTAGAGGTTTTGTAAAGAGCTCGAGCTCGTTTCCAATAACACATACAATGCTCCTTGCAACAGGAAAATCGACCAGTGGTTTCATCAAAATCAGACTCTTCAAAACTGATTCCATATCTGTCATCCATATATTCAATATATTCTAATTGATCTTTCTCATCATCTGTAAATTTACTTTGCCAATTTTCCTTATTTTCTAGATACTTTTTTCTTATAGCTGCCAATTCCTTAAAGAATTTGTGTTTAACTCTGTCACAGGTAGTAATAAATTCTTGTGTAAACGATTTCATTTTAACGTCATTGCTGACTTGAAATAATTCACGAGTATTTACAAGTTTTTCCAATTCTATTAAAAATTGAGAAGGTATATATTGTGATTCGTCTTCATTTTCTATAAATTCCAAATGAACCAATTCGGAGAGTAATTTTTCATTCCATGGAGGAAGTGGTTCTCGTTTTTTTCTTTTCCTAATTTCATTATTAATTTCATTCATCACATTGTAGGTCTCTTGTTGGTCGGAATGATTTTCACTACTGCAATCATCATCCATATCATCATACCCGCTCGAATTCAATGAACTATGTTCCTGTTCATCTGCATCACCACTGTCATCATCTTGTTGAGGAGATTGACGAGAGAACGAGATTCTCCTCCTCCAAATGGTATTGTTGCTCTTCATTCAACTGAGATGCATGCTGTGTTTGCAGTGAAGACATTTTTTGAGTATAAAAATTCAGAGCGAACACAGAAGCGGTGGAAAAACCGATTCCCAATTCTCAAATAGAACGAACGCACCCAGAAAAACAAATTTTGGAATTTTGCTTTGAGTGAGGAGCGAATATTTATTCATTTCACCTTAAACCTTATTCTTGAGATTTCTTTCACTTTCCCAATAATTCTTTGCTCTCTCATTGCTCAAAACATGTTCTCTCAACTTGGGGAGTTGTGGAGCAATACTGACCACATCAATCTTGAGACTATTTTCCACAATATGAGCAAGTTCAAAGAAATACAAGTCAGCCCAATTGAGCTTACCAGTCAAATATCCTCCATTCTTTTCCAAGAAGGTATTCAATGCGCCAAAGATGTTCTTCAAGGTTCCTTCAGCAAAAGTCTTGGTCTCTTCAGCCTTCTTTTCCTCTGGAGTTCTGAATGCCACTCGAACAAATCCTTGGAAGATGTCTTCCAAAGCTGAAACGAATTCTTCAGTTAAAAGTGCTTCTTTTCTATCGGTTGGATAGAGACCACCCTCTTGAGCCAAGTATCTTGCAATGGCAATGGTTTGATACAATTTTTCTTGATCATCAATCTTGAGATAGGGAAGTTGTCCGTATCGGGTTTGTGGCTTGTGTGCTGGCCATTCCTCTTTTCCAGAGATGCCAACAAATTTGTATGGGATATTAGCAACCTCTGCAATCAATTTCAAGTAATCCTGTGGGAGTGAAGGAATGCATTAATCCGAATGAATACAGTATGATCGGAATCGTCATATTCAACCGTGTGAAAAAAGATGTGAACTACTTACAGCTCTTCCTTGTGAGTTGAAGTAAACAATTTCGTAGACCATTGTGTTTGGATTGTTGTGGAATTTGTTTTGTTGTTGTGTGAATGTAAAAATCGGAAAATGTAATCTCAATTTATTGCTGCAACAATCAATGCTATTAAAACGCACTCACCAGTTTGTACGTACGCCCTTGGGTTCGAAAGTGGTACCAACCAATCATAATGCTGTGTGGTCTAGATATTGTAAACTAATACAAAATTAAGAAGGTACGTGGTATGTCGAGCAGGCTGTCGAAGTTTTGTTCTTGTGTTTGCAGGAGGTTTTTACTGTAAAGGACTTTGAGGGAAAACACCGCCTCTGTGATCCTCAACACTATCTACGTGTGAAAACAATACTGTTTGCAGTACATCAATGTGGAACATTTAATATCACTGATCAATGTGGATTTCATCGCAAGGGTTGTATGTCACCGTCGATCGCCTCTCGAACTATATATTTCATACCTCATCACACACAACAAACGAATACCGTTTGTTCCATATTGTTGCAAATTCCAAGTTGACAATACAACAAAGATGGCACAATATTATGTTACTGACTGCCGTTGCCATTTACAAAACACAAGGGACAAAGGTCTCTGCTGGAGCTATACTGAACTATCACTCTTGATTTTGTCTTTGAGTTTGAAATTTTGGATCAGAGTAAAATTGTAAATGCCAACGGCAGCCAGTGTCCCTCAACAAAAACAAGTAGCTTTTGCTGGGCGACCGACAAAACACTGATGTAACAAAAACACTGAGACGTAGACCGAACGAACTAAATAAAGGAATGTTACACTGGCGAAGTGGTAGATGGGAACGCCAGAGAAGTCTTCCATAGCTGAGAGTTGAGAATGTAAATTTAGGGTAGCAGAATAGCAAACCTCATTGGTAGATCAGTCTAAATGTTGGAATCAACAACATCAGTTCTTTGAGCACATCGAAGTTTGGCACTTCTACTTCTCACATTAGTTTCAATCTCCTCTTCGTCAGGGGTTACTAATTTCTTTGTGACCTTCTTAAAGTACGTATTGTTTTCCTTAATAAACTCTTTTGCAATTCGATCTTCAAGTGAATGATAGCTCACTACGACCAGCCTTCCAGTACCGAGTTTTAATACATCTCGTGTAGCGTCTAAAGCAGTAGCTAGAGCACCCAATTCATCATTTACGTATATTCTAATAGCTTGAAATGTTTTTGTAGCGGGATGAATTTTTTTCTTTTTTCGATCCTTAAATGGTGTAATGCTTTCAATAAGGTTTGCCAACTCTAGAGTCGTGTCAAATGGTTTTACATTGTTTCTGTAATGAACAATAGATTTTGCAATTTTAGATGCATTTTCCTCTTCACCAAATTTTGCAATGATCATTCTCAAGTCCAATTCCGACATGTTATTGAGGACCTCTCGAGCTGTTGGGCAGTTCTCATCGGATGGATTCATTCTCATGTCTTTTTCATGACGATAATGAGCATACGGTATGATTAAATGTGTGAGAAATATTACATTTCATACTCACCTAGCGGGCCATCCCTTAAAAAAGAAAAACCTCTGTGGCCATAATCCAATTGCATTGAAGACACACCTAAATCAAATACTATTCCGTCAATCACATGTGAACCAATTGGTTTCTGTTTGACATCTAACTTTGGCAATATCGTCTCTGTTACTAGTTGTTTCAAATTTCTAAAATTTACTCCGTACACTTCAAGTCGATCTTTCCCAAATTTATCGTGAATTAATTTTTCATGTTGTTGAATAATAGGGTTGCTGTAATAATCTGTGTCAATTCCAATGACTTTAGAGTTCGGATACATTTTCAAAATTTCTGTCGTATAGCCACCAGCTCCAAATGTGGCATCAATAAATATAAATTGTTCCTCATGATCATTCTTTTTGATACAAGTTGATTTCTTGCTTGGTCCGATTTTTGCATGCTTGTTACTACGTTGAGTCATTTCCGAGTGGTTGATTTTAGCTCTGAAGGTCTTAATAATTCACAACATTGTTTTACAAGTACGGGAACATGGTTTTCATATTCTGTGGAAGAGTCTGTGTGGAGTTGTTGTGTAGTTGTTAAATTGTTTTTTGTATTTGTATGTATTCTTGAAGTTGAGAAAAACTTTTTACTCGTAATTATTGAAATAGCACTTTCATGAGAATAATTTCCAACACTAATTATTGAAGCTGCTTTAACATTGGAATATTTATGATCGCAAATACAAAAACCTCGTCCGACAAATCGAAACATTTTTTAAAGATTGAAAAAATTAATAATTGTTTGAATTATTAAAAAAATACTCTAAACATTGCCACATCAATGTCCCGTGTCGTCCACACCAAAACCACCACTCAACAAACGAAACAAAATCAAGATAAAAAACAAACTCCGAAAACAACCAATCAACAACCGAATAACAGCAACAGCAATAATCAACAACCCGTCAAAAAAGACAAATTTCCAGGACAAGGTCGGAAATTGGGAGACTGAGACGATAACCAAAATGGAATGATCTAGACCAATTTCTTGATGCAGATTCTATCAGCAGGATGACTCTGATTTCCCATTTCCCAAGTATACGAAACTGCAAATGCTAAATAATTACCTGTGCAGTTGAATGAAATTGCAGCAATGCTTGTTTCAAATGGGCTTGTACTATTCAACTTCTTCTTGTTAATTCTGTCCCAGAGTGCGATTGTGCCATCACATCCACCTGTAGCAAATATTTCATACTTTGGATGTGCCGCAATAGTATTTATGGGATATAGAGTTTCTACTTGTTGAGAGGTCTTTGTTCTATGACATTTGAAAGCATAATTATTTTGCATATCCCCTTGTTGAATATGTTTGACTGCAATTCTACCTTCTAAAGATCCTATAGCAAATGTGTTACTATCTCTGAAACACTTGATACATCTTGTTTGATGTTTGAGCCCTGTATTTTGTCGTGTTGTGATTTTAAGAGGAGATCGTTGTGGATCTTGTCTTAAGGTAACAATAAACACTAATAAATCTTGTGTTCCAACCAACAGTTTTGTTCCATCTGGAGTAATATCCATACAGTACACTTTCTTTTCTAAATCAAGAGTTTGTAAACAAGCATTATTAGAAATGTCCCATAATTTCAGTGTGTTGTCCCAGCTTCCTGTAATCACCCAATTAGGTTGATTTGGAACCACAGAAATACACTTGATGGCAGATTTATGAAAATCTGAGACTTGTCCAACGAATGATTTATCACCAGTTTTCAAATTATATTTCATTAATTTGCCATCCAAATCTCCGCTAAAGCAATATTGATCATTCACAGAAAAGCATCCCGAGAGAACACTTTTTGAGTGTTCATATTTCGAGACGATTGTGTTCAGAGTGACATTGTAGACGCGAACAGAGTTATCCCAACTAGTGACTAGCAAGAGGTCAGCATTGTGTGATGAAAAGTTTAATGATGATATTCCGTCCTTGGGAGGGTCCTTTAAATCAAAGTGGTCCGTGGAATATTTAGGATTGATAATGGTAGAACTCATTGGCTAGGCTAAGATGTGCGTTTTTCAATTTTTGTTTTTTTTTGTTTTCAAAATTTGAATGGCGCCAAAGCCTGTCGCCCAATTCAACCAAGCCTTGTTAAAAACAAATTTTAATAAATCTTGAAGTTATTCTTGTCGCATATAGTTCGTTCCAAGCTCGAGAAACTATTTGCTAGCTGGTTTAGGCTTGCTAGATTCATAACTGAAGGCAAATACACCTGCAAAGCTTAAAAAGACGCCAATCCAACCAAAGGCAGTGAAGGTTACACCAAAGAATAAAAAGCTGACTAGAAGTGTCAATAATTTGTAAGAGGCATTAGCAATAGAAATGGAAGTATTTGAAACAAGTTTAAGAAGGAAGAAGTAAGCAAGTCCAATAGAGAATCCGAAACATGATGTGATCACAAGGGAAAGCCAATCACCAGAATCAAATGACTCAAACATGGCATAAACATCATCTAAATTTTCCTTCATCAAGGAAATGCATATTAGCATGGGAATTGAGAGGAAATTTCTTGCAAAATTCATTCCTGTTGGAGTTTGGTTTGGAAGCCAATTGTTTAAAAGCCTCTTTTCGGCAATAGGAATTATCACAGAACAGGCAGTGTTTAAGATGACCCAATGAAATCCATTCCATTTAAGGGTGACTGGTAATTAAATGTTTTTGTATCAGACGACATAAAACACGTCAAATACTTACAATCTGTAAAGCTATAAAACACGCTTCCAATAAACACTGAAAGTAATGATAATCGAATTACATTGTTAGTTTGATATCCGAAAAATAAGGTTTCGATAAGGGCTGTTAATAAGGGAACCAAATTTCTGGTGACTGTTACCAACGGAACGCTGACAATTCTTAAACCCTCAAGAGAAGTCCAAGTCAATAAAACAAAGAAAAAGCTGGTGGGTAGCAAATATACCATTTCTTTCATGTTAGGCATTTTGAACGGTAAGATGCTATCCAGTCGAATAAAACAAACAAAAATACACTGAAAATATTCTGTAAAGTAATAATCACAAGTGGAGAGGTAAACTTCATGGACAAGTACTTGTTAGCAAGCGTGAGGGTGATAGAAGAAAGGCCTTGAACTCCAATCCAAAACCAGGCCTTTGAAAATACTGAATCTGATTTAACCAGAGTGAGATAACCTTTAAAGCTACCTCTATTTGCAGAGATCCATTCGTTCATTTCTGTTTGGTCTTCAATTTTGGTTGTGTTCATGAGCAATGAATAATGGATAGACTCGCTAGATGGAATTTTGAATTTTTCCATGGATGCAATTTTTAAAGCTTCAATTGTTTTAAAGGATCCTGATGACTCTAAATCTAGCATCACGGATTGACCTAGAAGTGTTTTAATTTCAATTGTGTTTGGAAAGGATGAAGTACTTGTATTATCCGCCATGTGATGATGATTAGCCAATCAGTAATGATGATGTAGTGGTGCTTCGGAATTACACACAAGGGAGTCAGTGAGCAGGAGAACGTGAGAGAAGATGAATTTGGTACGGACCACCTGGTGTTGTTGTTGATTGTGTGCCAGTGTAAATTTTCAGAATCACAGCAAAAGGCTCAACAAGAAGTCTTATTTTTTTGGGAGTCGTTGAGCAGTAATTTTCTGAACTTGTTTGCAAAACAAAGAAAATTGAATTAAAATGAGCAAATGTATCAAAAACAATGCTTTCAAAAGATTTCCTGGTTGAACCATTATCATTCTATGAAAATATGGCATTCAACATTATTACCATGGTAATTTCTATCCTTATGGCTCATCTATTCTTTAATGATTGGGAGGAGATTGTTTGTAATATTTAGTATCTACATAGGCTCTGCTTTGATTTTGAATCAGTAATTGCCTTACTTGTTCAGGAACTTGAGAGCGTTTTTGTGAATCTGCTTCTTTGTCGTTGGCCATTGGATGAACGACGTCGATGATCTTACCATATTCCCCCATGTGAAAATTGATAATGATTCCAGTTTCATTCTTGTGACCACCATAAATGTCATGACAAGCTTACCTCTTCCTGAGATTTGTAATTCTTATAAACTGAATTGTACCACATTGTTAATTTAACTCCCCACAACATGAACACGGCTCCAACAATCAACAAGATAAATTTCAAAGGACTCTTTTTGTGTTTCCTCATTTCGACAAACATTGCTTCGTGAGATCTTCTCAAAGCTTCCATGTCCTCTTTCTTTCGTTTTGCGAGAGACTCCACAAACTTCTTCTTTTCCTCTTCCGAAAGATGTATGGTTCTTATTCTTTGATTGGTTTGTTCCGAACGATGATGTTCAAATTCTCGTTGATGTTTTAATAATTCTTCATGACGTTCTTTATTCCGCATTTCTGCATCGTATTCTGCTCTCTTGAGCGGATCTGATAATGTCTTGTAGGCGTCATTGACTTGTTTAAACAGTTCTTCATCACCATTCTTGTTATCGGGATGATGTTGCTTGACAAGCTGAAGAAAGGCTTGTTTGATTTGTTTCGGTGATGAGGTGCGGGAAACTCCTAACACTTGGTACAAATTATGATGAGAAGATGAAACTGCTTGTAAATGCAATCTCGATGTTTTGAAGAACATGTTAATATTTACAAATAATATTTCGGAATGATTAACGAAAATTATTCACACAAAATTTTTCTCGAGAGGTTGCAGTGAAAGAATGAGAGCGTTTTTTAATTGATGATCAAGTCGCCGTTATTATGCTTCGCCTTCCAAAGATTCTTAATGTTTAAGGTTTTACAATAAACCTGTTCCCAAAGTTCTCCTAGCATTCTTAACTTGTCCATGATCCTTTTTGAGTGCTATTTCACCTCGCAAAAGGACTTATCACAACCTCCTTGAAATGATTAACCAAAATAAAGGTAAATTTTTTGGCGCGATTCGGGGTGTTTGGTACATATGGACATCTTTCCATTTCAAATATTGTAAAACAACTCCGTGATATCCTTTTCTTCCTCCATTCCACTGTTAAAAGTGCACTCGTTCTGAGAAAAGTACGAACGAAACACAAAAAAGAATGTCATCTCTCCAACTCGCCCTTCTTTCAGCAGTACTGAGTTTGCTCTTATTTTCTCTCCATTCAGTGTGTGCAGCTCATCATTCCTCCAGCCCAATGGCTCAATCCTTGCCTTTCAAGCTCATTCGTATGCAAGAACATTTTCAGGGAGCTAAAGTCATTGCAACTCCACAAAAAGATGTTTCGTATTCCTTGCAAACTGGACCAAAGTTGTTTCTGTCTAAACCAAGTGAGGAACCATTGCATCCCATTTGGCCTCTCCAATTCAATTGTACTCTCGCCAAGATCACACCCTTCAACCATGACATTCAATGGACCAAGCTTTATTATGATTACAAGAACAAGCTTGGAAGATTTGATTTCTTTGACAACTATTACGACATGGACAACTCATGGGGCTCGATCAATATGACCATCTTGTGGATTGGAAATGTGGTATGGTATGTTTATCCCAAAGTTAAACAATGCTCGCTGCGATCGAAAAACCTTCCTCTCATTTCTCCAGATTGGCTCAAAATGACGAATTATGTAGGGAGAACTCTGTTCAGGGAGATGTACTCAGATGTATGGCAGTTTCCAAACGTCGATGAGCTCGATGGAATGAGATACTATCATAGGGTTGGAAATTCTTCTGAAACCAAAACTCCTCTTCGAAGCACCAATCAGATCAATGATCCTGGAGCTACAGATTATTTCGATTTCACAGTAGGTCCTTCACACTTTAGCTTGTATCAAGTTCCAGTGTATTGTAAAGACGATATTTTCAACCATTAAATGCATGTAACATGAAGCACTTTTTCTCCTAAAATTTGTTGCATGAATGACTCTTGAAACACCATCTTTCTTTTGCGCATGGACTAACCAGTCCACTGATCCGATATGCACAAGCTTGGAATTGTTGTTTATGGTTGTCATTATAACCCATTTCTTCGCTTTCGATTGGAAAGGATAATCTCACTGCCTCTCTGTGAATACATCAATTTGTAACCTAAAAAATGCTCTCCAAAGCTTCCACTGCCATCTCTCAAGCGTTATCTTCATCACCTGCGTTGAGTGTTGGAATCGGTGCTGCAGTTGCACTTTACGGAGCTTGGAAGTTGTATCAAAAATTGTATGCTCCTACCGTTGTGAAGAGCCTTCGAATTTTCCCTGTCAAATCATGCAGAGGTAGGTAAATTTTAAATCATGGTTTGCTTGGCATGATCTTGTGCTATTCTATGTACTTCTTTGTAATTGCAATTTTATTTTTGTTAATTTTTCATGATGAACAATGCATAATCATGGTCTGAATTGACCATTCGCCACAAAATTATGAATAACTTTAAAATACACAACAGGATTCGAAGTTGATGAATGGGAAATTGGTGAATTCGGATTTCTCTATGATCGAGCTTGGATGATTGTCCGAGAAAAGGACAATAAATTCATCACCCAACGTGAAGTTCCAACCATGGTACTTATCAAAACAATTGTGGATCCAAAAACAGGTACCTTGCATTTGAATTTCCCAGGTATGGGAGTAAAATCAGTTCAATATACAAGACACATTGAAGTGAATGACTCAAATGCTGACAAGGTGAAAAAAGTTACTATTTGGAGCGATACTGTCACTGCTTTTGATTGTGGAAATGAAGTCGCACAATGGCTTTCAACTTGTCTTAAACAAAACGTTCGTCTCGTTCAAGTGATTGATCAATTCATCGATGCAAGAACTGACAAGACCATTGAAATTAAGCATCATCAAAGACCACCTGAAGAAGATGTGATTAGACCTTTTACTGAGCAAGGAGTTACAATTTCATACGTTTCTCAGTTTGCTGACGCTTATCCCTTCTTACTGACTTCAGATAATTCAGTTCGTGATTTCAACAAGCAAGTCATTGCTGACCAATCATCCAACGCAATTTCTGCATGGTTCAATACCTTGTGTACGATTTGTTTGGAGTGAACACTTACATTGATAATTGGAACTTCCGTTCAAATATTATCATTTCATCTCCAGCCATTAAACCCTATGAAGAAGAGAAATATAGACAAATTGAAATTAATGGAATACCATTGTTTGGTGTTAAACGTTGCACGAGATGTACCATGCCAAGTGTAGATACTGCAAAGGGTGTGAAGAGAAGTTTCATTACTGACTCCCTCAATAAGCATCGTTTTTGCAAGGTTGCAGATGGTACAGTTTTTGGAATGAATTTGTGTCATCAGGCAAAGAATGTCGGATCCAAAATTCGTGTTGGACAAGAAGTGAAAGTCAAAGAAGTCGCTTTTGTTAAGTAAAACTGCGAATTGTTTTTGTGAACATTGATCCTCAAAGCCTCGGAGGACCACATTTTGATTAAAATGGCAAAACAAGCACATTACAAGGTCTTGCTTTCCGTATGTCTCAAATGTCATAACATCATGCTGTCAACAAACATTCACGAATTAAAAAATGCCCACATTTGTGCGTCGTTTAGTGAGCAAGAACAAGAAGAGATTGCAAGAAGACAACTTTGATCTAGACCTGAGTATGTTGTTGTTTGATTTTGTGCTTTCTCATCACGTTAAATGATTAAAATTTTGTACAAATTTTTCCTTGTCATCACGAATAACCACTTACCGGATAAAAAGCTTATATTACCGACAATGTGATTGCAATGGTAAGTGAGAAATATGAATCATCATGGCAATGGTTTGCAAACAAAACCGATTCGAATGAATGAATATACAACAACAATAACAACAACAATTACAACAATGGACTTGTCATTGATTTTTGAAACTACTTTTAACAATCATGACACTTTTTCGTCCCAACAACAAAAACAACATGATAATGACATCAATCAGGGTTTTCCGAGTGAAGGTGTAGAATCGATCTATAGGTAAGCTCTCAATCCGCACAATTTAAAATACCACCATTACCCTATCCTAATGTGTCTCACAATTTGAACTACTAAAGAAATCCACGTGATGAAGTCGTAGATTTCCTTTCAACGAAACATGGAAACAAATATAAAGTCTATAACTTGTGCTCGGAAAGAGACTATAAAGATGAAATCTTTGAAGGCAGAGTGGGTATGTAGAAATTGAATTTCAATGAATGTGTAGGGTCATATGACACAATGTTTCTCATTGCCTCATATGCTGCTTGGCAACATTTTCATTCTCGGTGGTCATTGCTGTAATCTATAATTCTCATGCCGAAATAGCTCGTTTTCCTTTTGATGACCATCAATCTCCTCTCTTTGATTCGGTTTTGGAATTTTGTGTTGATGTTCACGAATTTTTGAGCGATGGAAAGAATAATGCTGCTGTGGTACACTGCAAAGCAGGAAAGGGAAGGTAGGTTTGAATTCAATGAATATGAAATTGAAAATCTATTGTGCCATTGACAATACTATTTTGCTTTAACTATTCATTGAACAGAACTGGAGTAATGATTTGTTGCTATCTTGTATTTAGTCACACTTGTAAAACTGCGTTAGATTCATTGCAATATTATGGTGACAAGAGAACAAAGGATTCCAAGGGTGTCACCATACCTTCCCAAAGAAGATATTGCTATTACTTTGAACAATACCTTAGAAATCAATTCCCAGTGAGAGGTTCTGTAAAATTAACTCGTGTAGCATTGAGACAATTCTCTAAATCAACAAAATATTTTATTGCTATTAAGAATTTAAAGAGAGAGGAAGTTTTCACAAGCAAGCAAAGTAATAAGGTAGCTACCAACGAAGATAGCGTTGTAATAACGCTCGACGATCCAATCGAATTATCTGGAGACTTCAAAGTTTGTTGTGTGAAAAATGGAGTTAATGTTTTGAAATCAGGAAATTTGTTCCATTGTTGGCTCAACTCACGATTTATTACAAATTATGTTAAAAACGCTTGTCCTGGTAATGGTATGGGCGTTAATACTTATCACAGCTCATTGGATGATGCTATTCCTCTGATAAAAAACATCAGTTTAGGAGCTACATCAGAACAGAAAGTTTCACCAGAAAAAGATGAAAGATTGAAGAATGGACGATATGTCACAGTTTCATTGGCAAAGGATGAATTGGATGGTCCTCATTCGGACAAGCATCACAAATCTTTTGCTGAAGATTTCCAAGTTGATTTAACCTTTGAATTATGCAACATGGAAAATGTTGAAGATGACTCATACTTACTTGGCCTCATCCCAAAAGAATTCCTTTCTGATGAACAATCCAAGAGGCTCTCAAATTCTCAAACACAGAGAAGGCAATCTGCTGTCACTCGAGGACTTATTATTGACAGCCATGATGACACTGTTGAAATCATTGATGAAACTGCTGATAGTGTAAAAACACCCAAAGCAGAAGATCAACACTTTTTCCAATAGAAACAGTTGACTGTACTTTAGCAAACTAGTACTCTTGCTCGAGTTCTTGCAATAAATTGAAATTCAAGCAAAAAAATTGGTGACGATCATCTGTTGAAGCGCTTTCCATCTTGCAAAAAAACCGCTTCACACCAAAAAATTTGTCAAACCCACACTTGCACAAATCATCAATTAAATTTCGGAAAAGCTGTAGAAGCAATTTCAACACCCTCTCATCATGCCAAAGGAAATCTCTTCGCTTGCTGTTCCAGAGTCTAAATTACAGCTGCTATTATCGGCTACTCCGTTCATCGGAACAAATTTGGAGACACTAAAAGCAAGGATACTTTCTGATAGTAAGTTTATTTCTGAATTTTTGAAATTGTTGATTTATTGTGTGGATATCCATATTTCGTTTCCGTAAAGATTTTCATGCTTTCAAAGTTGATCAACTGAAAGAAATGATTAAATTTCTCAGAACACACGCTGGCAGGCGGGATTTAGCACTTTCGGGAAACAAATCGGATCTTGTTGCTAGGCTTTCTGTAGCCTTTTTTCAACCTGGACAACCTACTTCTTCTTCATCATCCACAGCCTCTTCATCTAACACCTCTTCAAGCACACCACCACCATCAAAAACAACCTCTCAACCTAAATCATCCTCTTCTTCTAAATCAAAAATTACAAGTATGAGTCCCCTGAACTCTCTCAACCTACAAGTCGTGAGGAAGGAGGAGAATACACTAATGGAACTCTTTAAAAACGACATGTCCATAGGTGGGAAAATTGATCCACATCATCATGGTGAAAGGTTTTTATATATCAAAGTGTTCAAAAACGAAAATGCAAATTTTTCACTGGATTTTACACTGTCACAAGAAGAATTTACCAAGCTGACGACGCCAACAGAGAATTATCAAATTCAAATTCATTATTTTTCACATGATATGAAACCTAAAAATTGGAGTACGGAATATTGGATTGTTGCGAATGGAATACATAAATTGGAGCCTCCAGCTATGAACAGGAAGATTGCAAAGGGTATAAAAAAAGATTTACTAATCGTCTCTACACCCTTTGTGGTAAAAGGAAATCAAATAGTATCAGGTAGTAATAGGCTTGATATTAAATCCGGACCATACTGCATGTTAGATGGTAGATTGTTTGTTATTCTTACAAAAATATTGACAACAGAACAACTTGTAAATATAATTGAATCACAAGTTCCCACAAAACATAATTTAGATTTAGGAGATAATTTAGAAACATCAGCCAATGATAATACCTTAAACTCCTTATATATTCAAACTACACCCACAAAATCTGATCATTTAGCCATACCGCAACAAGAAGAAAACACTACCACCACTCCATATTAACTGAAAGCGAGAAGTCCTCAATTGATAGTATTCTTAAAGCAATCCAACATGAAACACCCATAGATAAGATGGAGGATGCCATCGAAGAAATTGGTGGAGGAGACGAAATTGTACCCCTCAGAGATCCACTCTCACTGAGTCCTATTGAAATACCTGCAAAGGGAAAATATTGTGTACACAAGTCATGCTTTGATTTAGCTGGATATTTAGATTTTGGACAGGCTTCAAAGACGTATAATTGTCCCAGGTGTGATAAACCTCTTCCATTTTCTGAATTAATCATAGATCGCCATATGCAAAAGATAATATCTGAAGTGGGACGTAATGTGGAAAAGGTACTCGTTAAGGATGATGGTAGCTTCACCATTTGTGACGATGCTCCAAAGAAGAAAGTTTCGAATGTTGTCAATATGGCACAAGTTATAGCAGAAATAGATGAAGATGAAGGAAACAAATCTCCACCTTTTCTCTCGTTTGGAACCTCATCACCCCCTTTCTCCTCGACTCCACCAAGCCATGGATTATCAAGCAACAACATGTCAACAAATTCCTCCTCAAGTTCAAATCGTTTATCTACAGGTATTACAATAGATGATGCAATTGAAATTGACTAAGACAGGATTCAAAGTTGGAGACGGTAGATATCAAGATTGCTGAGTATTAGTTTAGAAGGTGATAACGATAATGCGTCTCAATTTCAACGACAACATGCGCATCGTAATCATTTTTGTTATCGCACATTAAAGAGCGCCTGCAACGTTCAAAACACATCCAAACAAAAAATACAATCAGGTCATCGGTGCACAATCATTTCCCCGAGCCACACCAGCATTACTAGATCATCATGTCTTCTGTACCAACCGAAGGAAACCTTACGGAAACTGAAAAGAAGTTTCTTGAAGATCAATCCGATGTAGAATTATACAAAGAACAAGAGGGCATTCACAAGGAAGATCCAGAAGATGAATACTTGAAAGTCAAGGATCGAGAAGATTCATACAATATCATTTATGAATTTCTCAAACAATTGAGTCCGCAAACTGAATTGTGGAGAATCAGTGTTCCAGCCTATATTCTTCAACCAATCTCATTGTTAGAGAAAATTTCTCACTACTCATCTCCGAATAATACAATTGAGAAGATCAATGATGAACAATCTGCCGAGAAGAGATTTATTTCAATTTTGGCATGGGTCATTAGTAATTGGAGAACCATTCCTCGTCATGGTATGCAACAAAGTAAACCATTCAACCCTGTTCTTGGTGAGATTTTCAAATGTGAATGGACTCATGGCGAAGGAGATGTTTCCAAATTCTTAGGTGAACAAGTTTCCCACCACCCTCCAGTATCAGCATTTTGTTGTCACAATGAAAAACGTCAATTTACGTACACAGGTTATGTGTTTCCAGTTACATCATTTTCTTGGAACAGTGTTACCACTTTGATGGATGGTGAATTCAAGATTACTCTTGGAAAGTTTAATGAGGAATATATTGTGAATCATCCTCCTGTTAGTGTCAGTAATGTATTGTGGGGAACTACTGTCATTGAAATTTATGATTATCTCAAGATTAATTGTCCAAAGTCTGGTTTCAATGCTTCAATCTATTTTGACTATGGAAAAGACAATTACTTGAGTGGATATATTTATGATGCGGATGGTTACAAGAAGCATTGGATTGAAGGAAAGGTTAATCAATCTGTTGAAATTCAAGATTTATCAACAAAGGAAAAAAAACTTTTGTATTCAGTAGAAACCTTATCCCGTCCTCCAAAAACTATTAGACCTGTCCATGAACAAGAGCCAAGAGAATCCAGAAGAAATTGGCATAAGGCTATTTATGCATTGAAGAAGGAAGACTTTGAAGAGGCTCAACTCCAAAAACACTTGGTTGAGGAAAGAGAAAGGGCTATCAGAAAAGAAAGAGCTGAAGCTGGTATTACTTGGGCTCCAAAATATTTTACATTGGAAGGCGAAAAACGATGGGTTCTCAAGAATTTTGACTGTTTTAAATAAGCATTAATTACAAGCATTGTAATAGCTGACACGGTAATTAAATCAAGTATATTTTACAAGTGACTACAGTGTTATTTGATGGAAGCAAGTTGATCTCTAATTTTTGAAAGACCTTTCAACATGGTTGAGAGTGTTTCCTTGTCCATCTCAAAATTAATTTGCTCTGTTTTTGGCATGACTCCTGTCGAAACTGCTGGATTTTGTACATTGAGCTGAATAACAACGCTTGGTGCTGCCATCTTTTGAATGAGGTTTGATGCAGTGCTCAAATCTACCTCCATTTCATATCCACTAATTTGGGTAATCCAATTTGTGTATTCAATGCTTGTTCTTTCCAAACGCTATGGAATTTCAACACTGTTCCAGCAACAAGTTGTTTCAATTTATCGTGGGAGGTAAAAGCAGGATCATTATCAGTAAATAGCTCCGATGACAATATTTGTTCGGGAGTATTCAGTTGATGATAGACACAATATTGAATCACAAATAAAACAGCCGATAATAATTGTTCAATAGCAGAATGATAGTTCGCTTGTTGATTTTGTTGTAATTGCTCTGCCACGGATTCAACAAAATCTCTATTAAATCCGTCAAATCTTGTTTGATATACTCTCACAAATACTTGTTCCACAAACACTTTGGAAGGAGCTTGTAACAATAAAAGAAGAGGAGAAAGTGAGATGGTTCTCGAGTTGTTGAAATGTTTCATTTTTTTTGTAATGAAGATATTTTTCTATTACCGACAGTTTAACATATTTTCAACAAGACTATAGTGATCATTGACATTCAATTTCAATTTAAATACTTCACATTATTGAATTGTACTCTTAGAATTATAATAATATTAATTTAAAAAAAATGAAAAGAACCTTTGGAGAAGATCAAGCCCCTTCGGATCAAGATCCAACAGTAAGCATGGAAGATGATCAATCATCGGTTGCTTCCGATCAATCATCATCTACAGGTGGATACAATAGAGGTAGTAGAGGAGGCTATCGTGGTGGAGGTTATAGAGGAGGCCGAGGAGGTTACCGAGGTGGTGGAGGAAATTATGCTTCGAACAATCCAAAAAAGCCAAGACAATACAAACATGCTGTTGAAAAATTGTTTGATGATTATGCCACTGAATTAGATTACTCAAATAATAAGAAGGAAAGAATTTACAAAGCTGCCAGAGATGTAACAATAGAAGCAAAAAGAATTGTATTTTTACTTCATAGATATGACCCAAAATTAAATAACAAGGAAGATGTATTGAAAGAAGCAAAAGAAAAAATTGATTTTATTGTTACGGAATATCTTTCTCCAATTTTAAAGGAACTTGAAGAGAAGTTTAATGAATACTTCTGGAAATATGCGCGTTCATATTCTTTTGGATTGCAAGAATTTATAGAAGGAATCAGTTTTTATTATTATATCAAAGATGGCACTCTTGCAACGTGTGAAAACATTGAGCAAGAGACGAAATTTCCCGTTAGTAAGCTGGACTATTTATTAGGTATTGCAGATCTCTCTGGAGAATTGATGCGATTTGCAACCAATCATTTTATGATTGAAGAAATTCCAACGACTGTTATGAATTTTATGAGTGAGATGCATGCCAATTTTATGTATATTCTTACATCAAGCAAAGGCCTTTCTCCGTATGAAGAAAAGGATCTCCGACATAAGGTACGTTTTTTCTGTGGTGAATTTAAATTAATGTGTACGATTTGGCTCGCCCTGTGACAGATTGAAATAATGGAAGCATCGCTCACAAAAGTCGAGAAACTTTGTTACAACATTGCCCTCAACAAAAATGACAAATATACCAGTAAATTGCAACAATAATTTATTTGAACAACTTGCTAGTAATTTCGCTAATATCTTTTAAATGGGGTTCTAATTGTTGCAATAAGGTTGCAGAGGTGGTTTCAGCTGGTGACGTGCTGTTGTTGACGTCTAGCAAATCAGTAAGCGCTTTTCGAACTTGAGCTACCTGATCAACAATACTAATTGTTTGAATTGTCTTAATATTTGGTTTAACTTTTTGAAGTGATGTCGTGTAGGCTGTGGTTTGCCTTTTTCTTGACATGGCTTGCTTTGATTTTTCATTCTGTACATCGATGGAGCATTGTTCAGGCAATATTGAGTTTCCTTTGATTTGTCCTTGATTAATTAATGAAAGAATGTTGTCAATCACAGGCCTCATATCTGAGTGCAGGAATGCAAGTATGGTATCTACTGACTTGGGATTGGTTAAAATAAAATTGACGATGGCATGTATCAATAGTACTTGGGAGACACTTCCTGCTGACAGTGCCACTTCAAAAAATGCTTTTAAACATGTCCACAGCTTTGGTTCAACAGCATCTGTACATTTGTCTGAAACAGTGTCAATCAAGTAGCAAATGCACATTCTAATCCTTTCTGATTTTGGCCAAAAGTGTTGTCTTAAACAATCAATAATTTCTATCAAGTCTTCCAAATGATCAAGGAGGTTCTCAACCTTGCGAAGTATTTGTGCTGCTGTAAGGATGGCCTCCTCAATATATCTATCTGAAAATCCTGCATCTGAGAGATTGGTATGTGCAAGTAACATGAGAGAAATTATACCCTTTCCTTGCTTAAAAGCAACAGGTTTGAATGTAATAATGCTCCTCAAAATTGCAGCATAGGCAACATTAATAGGCTGAAATGTGGAATGTGCAATCTTGCGCGCACAGTGATTTAGAATTTTGCTTCCGTTTTCGAATAGAGTATCTAAGTTTTGACATAACATATTAATTGGTAAAAGAGCTGCTTGACTAATTCGTTCATCTGAGAGACGATCATAGGACAAGTCAATGAGACTTCCAATATCATTAATATTCAATTTGTTAATAAAAGGCCTCAATACTTTTTCTGCTATCATCCATTCAAGCTCCACATCGTCTTGATTCGAGGTATCTGCTATCCTCAGCTCTGGTGGGCACAAAAATAAATTGAACGACATGGTTTGTATGAGCTCCTTCAAAAGATCCAGATAATTCTGTTGGAATCCTGAATTATTATTAAATAGAAATGCAAGAATATCCATACACAAGTCTCTTGTTATATCTGGGTTCGATACGTCGAACAATTCTCTCCAAAGTACGATTTGTATCTCTGAAAACCAATTAGAGAACTTATTTTTCATTAAAAGCTCACAAAAAGACGTGAATATTTGATGGTACAAAGGAAGTCCATCCACAGTATCGTTCAATAGCATAGTATCACAAAATTTGATTTGCTTAATAAGGGCTTCCATAAATTTGCTGATTACTGGACTGTTTTCTGAACAATTTTTCAAATATAAGGTAAGAAGAGTTGATTTTGAGGTGGCATGTAGTACATCTGGATCTGTCGTTGTTGATTTGATTGTTAGATTGTTATCCAGAATATTGTCCTCAAAAGGTATCATTAGAAATAGTTGGTCACATTGTTCATTTGTCTCCTGTACTAAGTTAGATTTTCTAGGCATAAACAATGTTTTGGTTTTTGATACAATAATAGACCTAAGAATAAGCTCCTTTTGCTCACCCAACAAGGGTAAATATGTTCCAACTATGTAAACTAGCATTTGTATACCTTTTCTTGTAGTGTTTTTCTTTGTTTGTAGAGAATCACAAATTTCTGCAATTACATCTCGCAAAATGTCCAATTTAATCTCAGTCGATTTTTGTTTCCTTCGGTTTTCTGTGTAGTTTTGGATCAATAAAACTGCTGAGCGTAATTGGACGAATAGATGGATAAATGCACCGTTATATTTGTCGTTGGTCAATCCCTGATGAAATAGGCTTTTACACATTAGTAGATACTTGAAAATAAAATTGTCGTTTGCATTTACGAAAGAGTCTTCAGTAAAAACAGATGTTAGAAAATCTGTGTAAGCTACAATGGATAATTCAACTTCCTTATCGAAATCTACGTCTGATGAGGATGCTTTGTTATTATTATTGCACTCCATTTCTTCAAAAAAATTCATGACGAGTTGATGAATTTCGTAAATATTTTCCATTGATCGTGCACACTTTCCTTCTTTCGCTATTGTTTGGAGAGTGGTTAGAAATGATTTTAGTAATTTAATGTACTTGGTGTTTTTTTCTCGGATGCACCCATCCACACAAATACAAAAGCCTTTAGTATTTACAATTTCAAAGATGTCATCTATTGTTGACAGATCAGCCTTTTTGAGAGTAGCCAAGCAAATCAGTGCTATCATTGAAGCACCATAGCATACAGACGATTTAGCATCATCGTCAAAAGCATTTTCCAATTTACTTGAATATTCATCTATACAATATCGGTATGCCAACGCCACTTTTTCTTTATCGTCTTTGACAAATGAGTGTAGATTCTTTCTCTCGTGCACATCGGAAGGGTTTGCAAACAGCGAATCAATAGCGGAATAAATTTGATGATGTTCAGACATTTTTTTCCAATTATTTTTTGAATTTGTAATTTTATTATTAAACCAAGGGCATAATTTTCATTTCGTCTGCAAGTACCAACCGAAGAGATTGGCAACTTTGGTAAAGATAGCATTCTCTTTGAAAAACTTTGGCCGTTTAACCACTCGTTGTTGTTCATAGTGAAAATTTATCAAAAAAAACCGAACAAAATGCAAAGAAGCACCTCCTCTTCAAACAACAAGGCTTTGGAAGATCATCCACATTTGATGGATGCACCTGTATTATCGGCAAGCCCAATAAGGAGCTCAAAGAACACTCCTCTCAGCTCCAATAATTTAGGTGGAGTAAATTTGCAAATGAATTCATCACGGAATACGTTCGTAACCCCTTCATCTATTTTAAGGGATGTTTCTTCCTTAAACATTAACACCTCTCTTACCATTGAACTGAATCAACACGATTTAGTGTTTAAACAAATGGAAAGGCAGAGATCGGAATTGTACCAACGAATGCAAGATAGAATCCAACGAGCAAAGCAGCTTGGACATATTTGCAAAGATCAAATTGGATATTTGAAGACCAAAATCATGGATCTTGAAGAGAAAATTAATGAAGCCAACAACGAGCACTTCAATAAGCATATACTTCAGATAGATCCCAAGACGGCTCTCTCTACGCTGTCTGAAGTACTGTCGGATGAAACTGATAGTGTGGAAGAAGATGCTCGAGAAGATACAGAGAGCCTTCAACTGGCTAACCAACTGTTGTTGGATCAGGTGCACCAATCTCATTCTCATGCCTCTAAGGGAAGCAATGTTCTTTCAGTGTCGGCCCAATTCAAAGATAACGACGATAAGGAGTATGAAGCCAGTGTATCATCACCATTCGCTAAACGCTCCCCCAATAATTTGATGAGCATGTATCACATGGAATCTCCCATAAGAATTAGTCCCTTGCGGTCCGGAGAGAACAACATGTAAAAAAATGGTTAAATTTGACGAAGAGGAAGAACACAATGGTGGAAAGCATTCGAACGAATTAAACCATCCTTTGCAACATCCTTTTTCCGCTGTATTAGACGATGCACTCAATATGAATGATCGCAAAGAATCACATCTGATTCAACGATTACACAATATGAAATTAGAATCAAAATTCACAAAACAAGATTATGTGGTTTTAGGATGCATTACTAGTATTTTGTCCATGGTGGGAGTGGCAGCTTTCTATCCGCTCCAAAAGGTAATTCACTACCCTCCTCACATACATCACTTCATCACCAAATATTTAGCTCCGTATACAAGACATCATGCTGCATTATTCTTTGCTCTTCTAGGTTTAATATTATTGTCATAAATTTTGTGTAATAATAATCATCATTTCCATTCACGATTTTGCATGATGATGATGAACAAACAGTGATCGTCCAATGGTTCCGACTTGTAAATAAAAATGTCAGACTTGTATTTTAACTTGCGAATGGCAAGCAAACAATTCGAACGACAAAGGTAAGAAGATTTCAACACAACCGTCGCTAATATCGCCAAGTAAAAAGAGTGAAAAAGAACAAGCAAAACAACGATTAAAAGTCAAACAAGCTCTCGAAAAGGGAAATGTAGAAGCTGCTCGTATTCATGCTTCCAATGCAATTCGGTTAGGAAATGAAGCAAATAATTTTCTTCGTTTATCATCTCGTCTAGATGCTGCAGCAAGTAGGTCCGTATCATTGTGCCATTTCAAATCACTCCGATTAATATACCTTTTGATGGATTTCAAAAATTGGAATAATTATTTGATCAATATGTTTTAATTCGAATGCGATTAATTTCAAATTATTTTTAAATATAGAGTGAAACAAGCAGATATGATGAATACAGTAGCCAAAACATTAGGAACTGTTGTAAAAGGTCTCGATAAGGCTCTTGAAACTTTGGATACTGAAAAAATTGGTACAATTATGGATAAATTTGAACAACAAGTGGGTGATGTGGATGTAACTGTTCAATACATGGAATCAAGTATGAATGCAGTAACAAGTACCAATACACCAGAGGATGAAGTCAATTGTAAGTGTGCCACACTTAGCAATATTGAATTTTGCGAGAATGATTGCAATTGGATTCGATTCATATTTTCTTAAACATTTCCAAAATAATTTACATTAATACTGAAATTTATTAATTTTCAAATATTAATTGCCCACTCAACATAGCTCTCATGGCACAAGTCATTGATGAAAATAACATGGATCTCGATCAAACACTTTCACTTGCTAAGGTTGGAAAGGACGCTATTAGTGAAATTCAAGCAGAATCTCTTAAAAAAGAAGTTGAAAAACAACGAGAGAAAAAGAAAGCAATACTTTTGTAACATGTTTGCAACAATAGATGTTTACTTCCAAGCACTTCACAATAAATCATTAAAAAAATATTCAAAACAAAATATTGAAAAAAACAATGAGATCGGAAGATAGCAGTGCTACATCATTGGATCATTTTGTGGTCATGATACTTCCAGGAAATGGATGTGAAGACATCTTGGATTCAAATTGGTATAGTGACTGTAAAGATAAAATTGAAAAATTGTTTGAGAATGACATTTCTAGGAAAGTTACTGGTATGTTCAGAATGCTAAAGCCATTGGATGAATTTAATATTAATTAATTTCAATGAAATGATATTTGTGACAATGGATTTTTTTATTACGGATTATTATTATTTAATAATCAGTGATTTGCAAGGATATGCCAGATCCATATGTAGCAAGAGAATCAATTTGGATTCCATTTGTGGAGCAACAATTCAAGCCCTATGAAGGCAATGAGCAGTGTAAATTCGTTTTAATTGGGCACAGTTCTGGAGGTAGGTCAGCATTGAAAAAAAGTTTTGCATGAAGACTTAACTATCAAAAGCGGAATGTGCAATGAGATACATGGAGAAACACCCTCTGCATGCATGCATTCTAGTTTCTGCTTGTGTAACAGATATGGGGGATGAGAATGAAAGAAAGAGTGGCTATTACAACAGAGAATGGAAATGGAAAGCAATGAAACAGAATTGCTCGACCATCATTCAATTTGGATCTAAGGATGATCATTTGGTGGACTTTGAAAGCGAGCAAGAGATCGTGAACCAGAACTTGAAGCCCATTACTTACTTTTTCGAAGACAAGAACCACTTCCTCAGTTACACAGTGGATGCTGAGATCATCAAAAGCTTCAACAACGACATTATTAAAAGGAATTGAGCTGGAACTCTTCAACAACCCATCTTTCCCTTAAAATTGAACAATCTCGAGAATTGAATTTAATTATTTATTTAGTGTGAAGATTTATTCGCTCTTTTGACTCTTGAGCTTCTTTCTGGTAATTCTACCTGGCTTGCCTCCTTGGACCAAAGCAGAGAAAGGTGACATATTGATGTGCTTCTCGGAGTCAACTCTAACAATGAATGAAGGAACGTTAACAGTTTGCTTACCAACACGGATGTGTCTTTGGAAAATGAGTTGACGAGCATGGTGGATGGACTTGGACAAACCGAGCTTTTGAACGATGGTTTGCAATCTTCTTTCCAACAAGTCTTCAGTCTTCAAGGACAAGATGTAATCGAGTTGTTGCTTGCTTTCATCCAAAAGACCCAATCTGGTCATTCTTCTCAACAAAGCAGAACCTTCAAATTGTCTCTTCATATCGTCTTCTGGCAAAGTGAGCAAGTGTCTGGCGGTCTTACGAGCACGAGCAAGATAGTATTGGAGTCTCCAGATTTCTTGCTTGTTCTTCAAACCATATTTACCGCACATCTTCAATTCTCTATCCATACGTTCCTTTTCGAATGGACGTCTTGGTGGCAAGGAGACCTTGCTGTGGACTCTATAACATCTGTTTTGGACCATCTATTAATTTTGAGAGTTTTAGTTCACAACGATTGTTCAAGATGAAGGACGAGAATTGAGAAAAGAATGTTCAGAAAATGATGTGTAACGGTGAGTATGTGATACAAACCTTTTTGGCGTATTTTTTTCAACAAACAATTTTTAAAAATTATTGGTCAACCAGCAATTGTTTTTTACAATGACCTGCAAAGAATGAGCAAGCTTTGTGCTTGATACGGTTGAATGAGCATTCAGAGATGCTCTGGAGTTGAAAACGACTGTGGTCTCTATGCTTGTTGTCAAAGCCTCCTGCTTTTTTGTCTCTTTCATACACTCGGCCTCTTCCTCCAATATTCGTCCACCCAAAAAATGTTAAACAGTCATCACGAAGAAAACAACTCGGAACCGATAAACGACATCAGCCACGTTGAAATTCATCATTCGGATCCAACTATCGGTACCATCTTGAGCAAAACTAAGAGGTCAGACAAGAGAAAAAACTCAAACCAAAGCACTCAAAACCCAGTCCCAACACCATCAAGAACAAAGTATGAAGAAAAATTACCCTTTCCAAGATTCGGAGAGAAGCTAGACCAAAAAGCAACTCTTCCTAAAGAACAAGTCAACGAAATGGTAAATGAACGAAAGAATATTTTGTTTAGTTTGTTAAAGGTAGACAGACAAAGAAGAGAGTAGGTTCATCATCATACATTTCCGAATGATCCATGATGAAAATTGAATTGGTCGTGATGACAATATGTTAATTGCATATTTTATTCCAAATAATTGATATAATGGTAACTGAATAACTGTTTCAAATGTCAGAAAAGATATTTCTATTGGTGAATTCATTCCCGAGCTTAATGCAGTGAAAACACTTCAAATGAAAGGAAAAATTGGCAGTGATATGGGATTTTCTGTTCGAAAAGAAAATCTTTGTGAAAGAATACGAAATAATCCAGCTGTTTATGTTGAAGGGCTTGATGAAAAACTAATAATAAGGCAAGATTCGGAAAATGCCTATAGATTTTTGCACATTGAAGAAGCCCTCTATTTAATAGATATTGGTGCATTGATATTAATTTTTGAAAAGGAGCCATATCAGTTATGCAATTTGTCAATTCAGGAAAAAAAAGTAATCGCTCGAGTTGGACATGTAGTAGCATCAATTCAAGAAGCATTTGCTTTATTTATTCGTCATTCATCTATTTCAAAGCACTTCTTTAGAAATCCTGAAGATCTGATAAACTCATTCCTAGCATATTCATATCTTAAGAAATTAGGATTTTCCATTCAACGACATGACAAGGATAGAGAGGAAAAAATGAAGACCAAGCTTGAACGACAAAAAATGAAAAAAAACCAAAAAGAAGAGACCAAGATTGAGGACTCTACACATGAGAATGTATCAACACAGGATCAGCTACAACACCCAAGAACAGAAAATGAGAAAAAGAAACGGAAAATAGATAGTAATGAGAAGTTAGAAAAAACTCCATTACAATCCTTTGACACCCCAACGCCAATAATGCCAAAGAAAAGTAGCACTAGAGTTTTATGGAGCACTTTTGATTGGTTTTCACAACAACAAGTGAGTGAGGACTTTGAAACAAATGTTATTCCTCTCGCTTACAATCTTGAATTGAAAGACGAACAATTATTGGAGCAACAACTATTATTTGACACGCTGAATATTATTAAGAGTGGGATTTACATTTCGCACGACAAGAGCATCATCACAACAGACTCCTCTCTTCGATCAACTCTGGGGTCTTCAAGTCATAGCAGCATGGGTTCATCTGAACAAATTATGTTTGATGTTTGGAAACCTGGAGTAAGCTTTAATGAGCCTCCTTCCATGATTATTATTGTGACTTCTTTTTCCAACAGCACTGTTCCCACAATTAACGATATTTTCAAAGTGGGCGAACATGGTTCGAACCAAATCCCAATTTTTCATTGTGTTATTGGTGATGGTGGCTCTGTCATGTTTATGAATTTATGTCCATGCGAAATTGAAAATCTGTACTTGACTTCTCCAACCAACCACGGTAGCTTTAAGTGACATGGAAACAACAACTACCAATGATCAAGAAGAAGTGGTCATGATCCAAGAAGATGCCACAAAATAAAACGCCTTCTTTTTCGCTGTACAAATCGTACTTGGAATTTGGGTGGCGAAATTCACCCAAGTTGCATTACAAAACAACCTGTTCCTATTAATAAATCTCAACGTCTGAAAAATTATTATTTTCATCCGAATCAAAACAACACCCATGCACCCACGATATGCCTTGTATTTCATCGTGTTACTGGCGTTGTTCTCATCACTAACGCTCATTCTCTATATCAAATATTATTCTACAAAGACACAAATGATTATCGCGAATGCTAATACAAGCGGACAACATCATCATGGTATTTTACATCCACCTCCTGGATCGAATATAATCAAAAGAATAGTGAAAGAATTTATGATACAACACAAAAGGATGTTGAAAAACAATCGGACGGATCGCCAATCCATGAAGAGGAAAATTCAATATCAATTCAAAAAACTCTTGGTGATATGCAACAAGCTGAAAAAAACAAAACAGAAAATGTTCAGCAAGTGGATTCACGAAAATTTAGTCACAAAACAGATATTATTGATGGATTTTATGACGAGAGAATTGAATTAACTGTTGGAGATGTTGTGAAAAGCGCAGTAAATACTAACTTTGACGAACAAGAAACAAAGGAAGAGTCAGTAAATTTCCAATTTACAAGAGATCCTTCGAAACATATTAAATGCAGAAATACTGTTCAAGGAGCAGACTATATTACTGACTCCAGAGGGTACATTTGCAGTATTATGCATGTAGATCCAAAAACCCATTGTTGTAGAACAGACATCAATCCAGACCAAGCCAAAAAAGATGGCCTTCCTCCCATAGAGAGATATTCTTGCTCAACCTGTAATACCAATAATCAATGTTGCTCTTCATATGAACATTGTGTCAGTTGTTGCATGGACATTGACAAGAGAGAAGATTTACGAAAAATGTTTCAGCAAAGAAAGGACGATAAGCTCTTTAAGGGTGTAAAAACAGTTTTTGAGCTTTGTTTATTGAGATGCAGAACTACATCTAGAAGCGTTCAAAATGAAAATAGGTTTAAAGATCCAACCTACAGATACTGTTATGGGTCTATTAATTAGATTCACCGAGAGTTGGTACGGAAAGAGTCAAATCCTATCAAACGGTGAATTACAACAATTTATTGGTGAGTCTTGGAGATGTTTTTGGTGAAGCCATATTTTTGGAAATTAGATTGATAGCAGCACTAGAAGAAGTACCAGACAGTGGTCTTAGTTGAACTGGCGATCTAGATTGGCCTTTGATATTTGTTGGAAGGGGAGCCGAGAAGGAATGGAGCGACCCTCGAGCTGGGCTGGTAAATCCCAAGCTATATTGCTTATCTATGTCATCACAACCGCTATTACCAAACATAGCGACGAACCCTTTTGGTGACATCATTCTGCTCTTTTCTGATGATCTAAGCTTCTGTTGTACAATAGCTGGATTTGAGCTTTCATATGCAATTCCAGTATTAATGAACATTGGAAGTGACTTGTCTCGAGTGAATTCTTCTGATTTTCCTACTGAGGTTATGAAACCCTTACCGTTGACCCATTTAGACTTGTCTGATGGTCTGAAAAAACTATCTTTGGGATCTGAATAAGGCCCAGCGGTGGTTATGTAAAGGCCTTCAATGTCTGCTACTGTATAGCCTGGAGTTTGTAGAGCTGAATTCATGTTGGCTTGCTGAACCTCAGATAGGTTTTCAATTGCAGAAGGGCTAACGTCAGCTCCAGAGAGAATATAGGAGGTATTGTACAACAGTTGTGGTGAAGAGTAAATCTTGAGGAATGGGTTGCCATCTGAGGCAAGTCTTCCCTTACCCTTTTGCAAAAACGAATGTCTCTGTTTGCTTGCACTGGATGATGAAGAAAACGAATCTGCAGAATGAGCAAGATCTCCAACTGAGAGCATTGAAGACGATCTTGATCTGTTTGGAGCTTGGAAACGTGGACTGCTTGATCTAGGCCGCTCCTGAATGTTTCTCCTTTTCTTTAACTTGGCAAATTCTTCTTCATTCATTTCAATTTCTAAATGAAGACTTCTGCCAAGAGAAGGGGAAAGAGGTGCATGAACCGATTGCTTACTTTCCTTTGTTTTCCCAAATCTTCTTGGTGAGCTATCTCTCTTTGGGGAGGATTGTCTTTGGTTGGCTAATTGTTCCTCCATAAACTTTCCAACTCGACTCATTTGCTCACTGAAGGAATTTTGATCCATCTTATGGGGTAGATCAATGGAAGATGAGGTTTCCATCTTTTTGTTATCTGTTGAATTTGGAGCTCCTTTCTCCCACGAGTAAATTGGCTTTACCTTCTTTTGTTTTGGCCTGTCTAAGGACTTATTAGCTTGCTTTGAAGGATTGCCATGTTTTATGGGCTTCTTCTCTTCCGAAGCTGATGAATGTCCTAAACTATCCTTACTCTTTGTTGATGCTGAGAAGGGGTTGTTTTCCTCTGTTATTTCCTCACATGGGTCCTCTGAATTTTGCTGTTGTACGGAGAACAAGGCATTCTTTAATTCATCAATCTTCGAGAGAGTTTTAACTGGGTAATTGTCCAGTAAGTGTTCAAAAGTTGTACGAATTTCAAGGATTGTGTTGGAGAACTCTGTATAAAAGATAATATAGTGATTATGGGCATACGAGTGTTATGACTTGTTGTTTATGAAACTACATACCTTGAGGAATATCTGTTGATCTTAGATGATCAATGTCCTTAATTCTCTCTTGCAAGGCCTTACCGAGCTTGTAATGACTCCCATCTTATCAATGGTTGATTTACCGGAATTTGGAGCAACGGTAGATTCCTTTTGACTTCGTAGTAGCCCATGAATTTCTTGCTGCTTCTCAAGCTTGAGTTGAAGAAAAAGAACGCGGTACAGCTCCGCAATTTCATTTGCTTGTTTTTCAATTTCATCTGATTTATTGATGGAGAGTGGTACCCATTTCATGGTGATGATGATAGACTTGAACACTATTAATGCATTAATATTTTTTTTAATATTTATTTGAGAACACTTTCAAAGCTCTTGGTTTAAGGTAAACGTTACGCTAAGAGAGACTGCTTTCATTCTGTATTGATAAATTATTGAATTTCACCACACTAGCCACTCGATAGTACTGTATTTGCAAGTTGGGAACTGTACCTTCTCGTTGGAATCATGCACATCGGAATGAGAGTGATGATTAGTCATCAACTGTCCATGCTTGAGAAGAACACTGTTCACCATGCATGCAAGAGAGCATGTGGCCTCTTCCGCACCAATTTATTGGTGAGACAACTTTTATTAATCCTTGCGATCCACTTTGAGGGTTCTTGTGAGACAAGAGTTTACAATGTCATTTTCAAGAATGATAACATTTAGTACGAGCTCGAAATAAATAACTTCAAAAGGATGCGTTCGACCGTGCGGTTTAACATCGTGTTGACGTCAGTAATAAATAGTTGGTCTGGAATCATTGAAAGAAGAAACAACAAAAAAACAAAAGTAATATCAAAAGCTACAATAACGTTTTACTTGATTTCAAAATGGTCTATGAAATTGTTTACTTTGATCACTACGGAAGAGTTGTAAGTGTACCCATTTGTTGAAATCAATTCTATTAAGGCTCTTTCTGTTTTATACATCCAAAGGATCTTGTTAAATTGATCGCCGAGGTTGCAAATATACCTTACAAGTTTGTTGGAATTGAGGACAAGGACTGGAAGGACTTTCAACCAACCACTCGATACGGATTGTTGCCCTTTGTGAAAGTTAATGACAAATGGACTCTCTATCAAAGTATTGCCATTTCCCGTTTCTTTGCTCAGGAAGGAGAAGGTAATTTGTATCCTACCGATCGAGTTGAAGCAACTATCACTGAGGAATATGTTGCCGCGTTGGAAGACGCTTACAATCAATTTGTTTATGCCACTTTCCTTGCTCCAGAAGACAGAAAGGAGGAAGAAACAAAGAGACTCACAGAAGGAGTCTTGAAAAATGTTTTTAAGGTATTGAATGCCGAGTTGGAGAAAAATGGAGGATATTTGCTCCCTGGGGATAGACTCACTTGGGCTGATTTGTATTTCGCCGAGTTTGCTAGCAACTTGGAGTACTATACCAAGATCAAGCCTGTGGATTTCGCTCCTCAAATTCCAAAGCTCAGAGAAAATGTGTTGAAACACCCAAGAGCAAAAGCTTATTTGGAAAGTGAGAGAAATCTCAGAAAGATCGTGTTTTAAGGCTTTGCAAAAATAAATGGAAATTGTTTCTTTCAAGACAAAAATATTATGCATTAGCCGGGAGTCGAACCCGGGTCACCAGCTTGGAAGGCTGGTATGATACCGTTACACTACTAATGCTATTCGAAAATATTAATGGGAGCCTCGTCGAGCATGCAAATACTTACTATTAAACTTTACTCAATGCTTCTTCTCAGCTTTATGAAATGGGCATCTTTTTTCATTTCTTCCTTGAAAGGAACGTCATCCGTTCCGTATTCTTCTAATTTGCACTTATTCTTGTAGAACTGAACTAGAGCCGTGGACACATTAAATACTACACATGTAACGGTTTCACACTTCCCTAACTTTCCAACATATGCAACCATTTCAATCATTAGCTGTCCAAATGATAAATTCTGCAAGCTTCCAAAAGAAAATGTTGCTCCAGGTTGTATTTTCTTTTCCTCTTTTGCAAGCATTCCAAAGTAAATCGTTTGTGGGTCTTTTTTAAATTGAACAAAGATTGATCCTAACAGCTCATTAGTTTCTGCATTTAAAAGGCATACAATTCCATGAGGCGTCGTTGCACTCTCCTCAATAAGACGTTTGACTTCATTATCATTGGTTCGTTTTCGTTCTTCTACCAATTTAAAAACGTGACCTTCTTTTCTGTATGCATAATTTACCATCGCTAAATGGTTCATACATTGACAGAAACAAATGATATTCACACCCTTGTAAAATTGAAAATTTTCAACAGTAAACACACCTCTAATTTCTTCTACTTGTTCGGTACGTGCAAGTCGGACAGAAAGTGGTGAAGTACCCGATGAAACAGTCATGGAAGGATGACATTCTTGTTCTATAAATTCGCTGACACGATTGTTGTCCCAGAACTCTCTCAAAGCTGTTCCGATTTTATTGCAGTTTAGTGAGTGGTGACTCGAACGAATCAAAGCAATTTAAATTTAACAACACATACGAATATCGGATGCTGTGGGTTGAGCCATTTTTTTAAAGTGTCGAGCCCTTAAAAAATACCGCAAGATGATCAACAGAAAAGACTCTGACATGCTCCACAGCTTGGAAAAACGGTTAGCAAAGATTGAACAACAAACGCATTACATTATCTTTACCCTCCAACAATTAAATAACATACTCGATGAATACATACAAAACCACGAGGAAAGTACACAGCACCCTCATCACATTACTTTAAACACACACCATCCACCAATTGAAACCGTCAATAATTCAAATGTTGAAAAACCAGAGAAAAAGCCACCAGAAATTAATACCGAACGACCAACGCCACTAACACCTGAGAAAACAAGCATGAGAATACAACCCAAGAAACCACGTACAACCGTCAAAGCCAAGCCAAGAAGAAAAACTAACCAAAAGATGAACAAAGTTCACAACCACGTTGTTCATGACGACGATGAAATTGGACAAGCACTTACGATCCACTTGACCAAACATCAACTCGACAAGAAACATGTAGTGGTTAGAGGATTAAGAAAAAAACATCTCACCCTTTATTGGATCCAGGATTGCTCTCCACCCTGCTGTACCACGACTATTATGACATGAATTCTATGAAGAACAAACTGGTAATCTTATATATTTGTTTATTGACTAATCAGCACTATTTACTAATTCGTGACCTATTAATATGATTATTGATAACCCAATATTACTAACCATTGATATTTCAAAAAACATTAATAGAACAATCCTTGCATTATTTTCGCCATCTGTTCATCGATGGACTTAACCCGCTCCATTTATAGCAGTTGCTCAAAACAAGCAAGAAACCTGTTAATATTTGAAATATCCTTACAAAAACATTTGACATTCTGAAGTCGTATCCTTACTAAACGAACGTCTAATGTAACGTACTGAGGCACCGAAGGGCCAATAAATAATATTTAAATTTTTTTAAAGTGTTCCAACTTGTACAATCCTTTCGTGGAATATTAGTGTTGGGCTCGGAGTTGCAAACTAAACTCCGTTTTGCACTGGTTGATAACATAAATTACAAATACTTTTGGCTCTCTCAAAGGCAGTACCGAGCATGTACTGGCTGTAATAGCCCAACGATTGATGCTTTTGCTCAATCTTCTCGAAAATGTACTGAATGTGGTTAATGTAATTCAATTGTACCTGCTTGTCATCTTTAAGAGCTCGGATAATTTTCTCAAGCTGTGATAACTCTCCAAGACTTGTCCCACTCAAGTTTACATCTCTTCTTCTAATGTATGAAGCAAAGGCTACTTGTTTTCTAATTTCGTTTGGACATGCAATGCTTATTACTCGAGAGGCTGTTGGTAGAGGTAAAAATCTAAAATTTCTTCCAATCGAGCAGCCTGACATAAAGAGTTGTTACAAATTTCGGAAAGTCCATGACATTATGG